TTTCTCAAAGCCATCCCGGCGATGGCAACGTGTAGCCACAGCAGAGAACCGCTGCGTAAGTCTGTGTGTCTAAACTCATTCTAACTGATACACGGCTCAGCTGAAAGGTCTTCTTCTCCCAAAAGTCCCAGGTGGAGGGTGCTCAGGGCTCCCTCCAGGGCTTCTGCTGAGCTTCATGCTAGTTTCTGTTAGTGGTACCTGACAGTTTATTGTATTGGTTTTGTTTTGGTCAGTCTCCTCGCTGTCCTCTGAGCTCCTCCAGGGTGGGACCATGTTGGATCAGCGATTTTCAGCCAGTGTGCTGCAAGAATTTTCCAAACATGCAATACCTGTTTAGTCAGGGGCACGACTTTTTTCCCCTGAGATTGTCAAATAAAAAGAAAAAAATGATAACTGCCAACACAACAATAGCCATCTGATGTGGAAAAAAAAAATCAAAATTATACCTCTTTTTTTGTCCAATTGGCAAAAAATATATTTTTTGGCGTGCCACAGAATTTTAGTAGTTAGTTTATATGTGCCGTGGGATGGAAAAGTTTGAACACCACTGTGTTAGATCCATCCAGGGTGCTGGCTCAGGAGTCAGGGTTCTTACCGGGGCCTCCAAAGCCCTGCACGGCCTGGTCCCAGCCCACACCTTCTGCCGCTTCCAGAGCCAGCCACCCCTTCATGGTTCCTGCTTCCACTCTATTTGTCTTTCCCTGGTCCCTGGAATGTATCTTGACCCCTCCCACCGCAAGACCTGTGCATATGCCTGTCCCTTTCAGCTGTACCTTTAACCTGCCTCTTCATTTAGTCAATCCCTGCTTGCCCTTCAGCTTTCATCCTGTGCTCTTGCTACTCAAAGCGTGCTCTTGGCACCAGCAGCATGGGCATCACCGGGAACTTGTTAGAAATGCAGAGTGTAAGGCATTTGTAGTTAAGAAGGTTTAAGAAGGTCCCCAGAATACGTAGGTTGCGATGCTGACCAGTTCTGACTCAAAAATAGGATTGGGGTGGAGGCGGGAGCACGGGGGACTCTGTTTGCTGTTTTCAGAAGAAAGGCTTGCTGGGTAAACGGAAGGCACAATGCCCGCCAGAAGGATGCTGTGTCCACACGTGAAATACTGTTGACCGCCTGGCCTGCTCCAGCTAGACTAGGGGCCATAAACTCAAATGCCTATAAAAAGCTGTAAATGAATTCATCATTGTATTTGTTTCCTATTTGTTAGTTGTAACAAAGTATCATAAACTTAGTGGCTTAAAACAATACAAATGTATTAATTTATAGTTCGGGGGCTCAGAAGTCTGATATGTGTCACACTGGGCTGAAATTACAGTGTTGGCAGACACGCACCTGTCTAGAATGCGGGAGGAGGGGGAGGGAATTTTGTATTTGTGCCTTTTCCAGCTGCTTGTATTCTTTGGCTGGCGGCTGCATCACTTCAACCTCTGCTTCTGTCATCACATCCCGTCCTCTGCTGTTGACTTTCCTGTCTCTCTTTGATAAGGAGCCTTGTGATGCAACACTGGGCCCTCCAGTGCAATCAGGTTAGCCTCCCCCACTCCAGATCCTCAACCTCAGACGCCCATGTGCTGCCACGTGCTCCGCTCCCACCCCAGTGCCATCGGGGTGCTAGCATGACAGCCTGGACTGTAGTCTGATCTTGGACACTCATCCTCGGTGTGACCTTGGGCAGGTCCCTTTCCCTTTCTGGTCTCAGTCTCCTCAATTTTACACCCAGGGCAGAGGGAAAGAGCAAGGGAGCCAGGCAGGCGAAGGGAAGCTGCACTTGTGGGAAATATTCAGGTCTGGTTTGACAACATTCAGATTTTGGTCATATTCGCAGAGTGTAGACTGTACTTAGAGGTACCCTTAGGAGAAAAAGAGGGAGAAAAGGGTATATGCATCTTTATTTTAAAATTCCCATTCCTTTTAACTTCCTTAGTATTCTGAGCCAGTGTTCCACCTTCAGTTCAAATGCAGCGAACAGAGGCACCTGTTAAGCTCAATGTAGAATAAACACCCAGTACAATTCACATGTCTTTTTATTTAGAATCTGTCTGTTCCGTTCATTTGCTCAGAGCCTGGAATCTTCTCCAGTGACTTCTTAGACATATAAGGCTCCAAAACGCCGAAGGCTAGAAATAGCTTCTTCCCTTACCTGGCCCCTGAAAATACATCTCTGGGTGACATTCCTTGCTGACAATGACCTGACTGTGGCTTATGTTATCCCACAGTTTCCCCTTCAATCCTTTTAGTCCAAACACTCGCAGTGGCACCAGGCCCAACATCCGTTGCAGAGGCCTGGATATTTTCTTTGCCAATGAAAAAAAGCTGAATCTAAAACAATCCTGAAACACAGTCAACCCCTCTGCAAAAATAATTTGTGCCTTTTCCCCTCAGCCACTGCGCGATCATCCTTCTATCCAAACCACACATGGCAGGCATTGTGGAAAGTTTTAGGTTTTCCTGTTTTGTTTTGTTTTTTAAGTTTGGGATGCTTTTAACAAGTGCCTTGCGACATGACTGCTGCTTTCAGCCCTGGAGCCAGCCACAGCCCAGGAGGTGCCAAGGGCGAGCGTGTGGGGTGGAATCTGGAGACAGACAAACGGTTCACGGGGTAAGTCTGTGTCTGAAAACCACGTGCGTTGGAGTTATGGAATTCCCAAAGGCCACTGAGACTGGTGCTTCCCAAATATGGTTGCACATCAGAAGCATGTGGGGCCCCAACATGTAATCATTTAGAATCTCTGAAGGCAAGACCCAGGGAGGTTGTAAATTTTTTTTTGAAGTTTCTGAAGCTCAGCTAAGTCAAGTGCACTCCTTATCTACAGGATTTTGCCAAATGGTTGTCTAACCCTCCTTGTATTATTTCAGTGATGAGGGGCGCGCTGCCTTCCAAGGCGGTCCCTGCCATCTGTCCTTAGCAAGCTGTGCTATGTCAGAAGTTCTTCCTCTGCCCCTGTCCCCTCCCCTTGCTGGCCTGCCTTTCCTTCTAGGATCCCACAGACCACATCTGCTTTCACCCTTCAGAGATTTGGAGGGTGCAACCTTGTCCCCTGAGTTCTAAGGAGCGGACCTCCCCAGTTTCTTCAGCTCCTTCTCCTAGGACACAGCCTCCAACCTCTCCCGCCTGCCACAGCTTTCCATTTCAGCCTGACGAAATGAAGACTGAAACTAGTTTTGTCATGGACCCACTGTGGGCAAGGGCTTGCGGCAAGGACTGTGGGCATCCTAAGGATGACACGGTAACAGAAGATTCCATAGAGATGTTGCTTAAGGAAAGAACGATGGGAAGTGGTCAGGTGCAAGCAGAAGAACGTGAATGATACTGTGGAGAGGCAGGGAGTTATCGTATTTTGCTGTGTATAATGCACACTTTTTTGCCCACATTTTCTAGGGAAAAATAAGGATGTGCCTTACACGTGGGTAGTACTAATGCCGTGTTTATACAAATGTTTTTAATTATTTTATTTATGCTTATGCATTAAAAGTGTAACTCTAGAAAGCAATAATGATCTCCATAAGCAAAATAATACCCAGGAAGATGCTAATTGGTTTTGTTTCTAAATATAAATAAATAAATCAATATTTGAATTTAAAAAATTAAAACAGAAGATTTTTTTTTCCTGAAAGTTTGGGCCAAAAATGTGGGTGCATCTTATGCGCAGCCAAACATGGGTAACACAGAGAATCAGGGGCTGACAACATTGCTGATGGGCCAGAGGGGAAAGTGGCCCCGGGGGAGCCCTTCGGGACCACCCCCCAGGACAAGATGGACGTGGCCCACCAGCATCATTACTGTCTGAAGCCACCTCTGAGCTATTTAGGTCAAGACACACCCTTGCAGCCATGATTCAAAGAGCAGGTAGCCAGAGTGAACCTGCAGCCACAGAAGCCACCCCACACCCAGGAAGCCAGGGAAAGGACAAGGAACACTAGTGGAGACAATCCTCACATTTCTGCCACCATGCTAGTGATGTTCCAAAGGGGCAGGACTATACCTCCCACCTGCCACATCTGGCAGGGGTACTGCATTGTAATCAGCAGCACATAGTTCACATCCGGAACTCGAGCTGCACACAAGGCCTGGGAACTTAGTCTTTACCCTCCCAAACTGTCCAGCCAGGAGGAGGGTGCGACACAGATGAGTGAGCAAGAGATCTGGGAGTATGTCCGTCTGGGCGTCCTCTATGACAGTGACAAGATGGAGACAAGCTAAAGGTTCCATCCACAGTCCTCCCTACTGTGGAATTCTATGCCACCTTGGAGAGAATGATGTAGTCTTATAATTAATTAGAGAAATGAGAAAACGTTCCTAAGAAATCCCTAACAGGGGCAGGGTGGGGGGAGGGAGCACGCAGCAAAACAGAAGGCACCATATCATTTTATTTCAACTAAAAGAATTTTTGAAAAGTGCAGGAAAAAACAATACCAGCAAGATAAATGACAACTTCTGGATGAAAGGATAGAAGGTAGTTTTTTTTTTTCTTTCTTCACCCTCTCCTGTTTCCAAGCTTTCTATAGTGTGCATATATTCTTTTTATCCTTAGGACAAAATTTGCTTTTTAAAAATGCACAAGCATAAAATCTTCATGGAACTGGGAAAAAGAGCAGTGAAGGTTGAAACAGAAATTGAACAAAGGTAAAAACAGAGGGGGGAGGAAACAAGAGGGCAAGGAGAGGTGCAAGGACCGCAACCTAACTAGGAGTGTCGTGCAGGAGGGGAAAATGCAAAATATTGTATAATTGGGGACCAGTCTCAGATGGCTATGTGACCTGCGGAAGGCCTGGCCCTTTCTGGGTCTTTGTTTCCACATCCAAACAAGCACCTTAGGACCCCAGGTCTGAACCGCATTGCAAAGGAGAGCACGCTTGAGTGGTGCAGTTCCCCTGGGGAAGCGAGATGAGGTTGAGCCACTCCACTGGGAACCCTGACCTCTCGGCCCCTGGAGGGAGGAACGACCGGCCCCTGGAGGGAGGAATGACCGTGACCTTGAGGCTGCCGCCCCTCCAGCGCAGAAAGAGCCTCTTTGGCTGCTGAGCCTCTGGGATTAGCGGAGGCGGGACCTGCGGCGCCCTCTAGGCGCAAAGCGGAACTACCTGGTGAGAGCCTGAAGCTGCACTTGAGAGAAAGCCCGAGCCTGCCGCAGGTAAGTTCCCACCTTACCCTCTCGAACCGCCCGGGCAGGCCGCAGCTGCCGTCAGCGCGATGGAGGCTTCCTCTCTAGGCCTCGGCTTACGCATGCGGGGGTCGGTCTTTTTGCCTGGCGTGCGCTCTAGGACCTCACCCCTTTCCCTGGACCCGAGTCCCGAGGCGGCACCTGAGGGCCCGGAGGACGCAGTCCTCCCCTCCCCCTCAAACCTTTCGGATTAGCTGGACCTCAGTGCTCCCGCCCACCTGGCCCACTTCAGCGGGGGGGCCCTAACGACGGTAGCCGGTGGTGGAGAGGCCAGAATGCGCGCCCCTCCACGCAGAATGGGTGAGGGCGGGCGGCCTCCTGGTCCTGGCTCGATGACCCGTAAGGTCCGATGCTTGGCACAGGGGGCACTAATACAGGGAACCAAAGAGACTGCCCGTAGTCAGGAGGAAACACAAAGCTAGGACTGCGGGAACCTGGGCTGAGGCTCCTCTTCTTACTTGCTATGTGTTCTCCGTGAGTCCCTGAAGCTTTCTGATCCTCAACCTTCTTCCAGAATGGGGCTTATCACCTTCTCTAATCACCCCAGGGCTGCTAACGTTTGTGTGAGTTCACTGCCAACCAAGTGGCCTGCAAACTGTAAAGCCTGGTGCACCAATGAGCAGTGATCTTCCTTCATGTACAGAGAGGTGCCAGGACAGACCCCACAGGGGCCTCTAGAGCAGGAACAGGTTTGGCTTGGCCTAACAGATTTCCCAGCCGCAATCTAAAACCACTTCTCCGACCGGTTTAGCCTTTCCACCCCCCTTCTGTGGACTGGTGACTCCTCCTTACACCCATTCCAGTGGACTCCTCCCTCCTGAGACTCTGGGCCGTTGGTGCCAAGGCTGCTTCTGCCCAGCATGGGGCAGAGCCCTGAGCCAAGTGGAACCCTAGTGCATCGCTGATAGGCTTGCTGGCATAGGGCCCTCCTCACCCACAAGGGAGGGCATTTCTGGGCAGCACTGATTTGTATAGAGCTGAGGACCTGGTGGGGGTGTTTTTTTGGATGAGTTCTTTGCTCCTCTCCATGCCCAATGGCAGAGGGTAGGGAGTAGGGGGTTTGGGGGCGGGGGATGGGCAAAGCAGTGCCTTTTTGCTGTTGAGTGGGGCATTACTCCCACTCGAGAGAGTAAAGGTGGAGGACTCCCTGTCCTGGCTGGGGAGTGATGGCTTCAGTGAATCTAGGAACTTTATACACCCTTTACATTTCATGGAATACATGTTATATACTGTTTAAATTTTACAGCTGCTGATCGGGTCTACACTGTTTTCAGAGTTGTGGGCAAGATACACCCAGGCCCTTCTTCCCAGCTACTGCTGGACTTGCCGCACCCCTGGGAGGCTGAGGCCTGTGCCTGGGGGGCTGGGCTAGGCTGGCAGCTGCCAGCTCTGACGCCCTGGGGGGAGGGTGACCGGCTTCCCTCCACACCACCCCATTCAACACAGCCCCAGGAGGCATTTTACGTAGGAGGCGTCTGAGGCACAGAGTTGACCTGATGTGAAGTAGCCCCTGTCTCTGAGTCCTTTTGGTCTCTATTCCATTCTCAGGTCAGTTAAACAGCCTTTTTGGAAATTTACGTAGCAATCATAATTCTAGGCAGCCAGGGCTATGGCAATGAACAAAACAGGAAAAGAAATTCTTGTCCTCATGGAGATGATGTTTTATTGGGGAGAGGCAACACTAAACATATAAGCGTGTAATGTCAGCTGGGGAAAAATAAACCACGGTAAGAGGGATAGAGGTGAAGAGAGTTGCAGGGGTTGTTTTGTTTTGTTTTGTTTTTTTCCTAGTTAAACATTCTCACATTCAATACAATCTTCACCTCTTAACTGGTTGGATGACCTTCAAAAAGTTATTTAACCTCAATGAGCTTGTTTCCTCATTTGGAAATTTAATATAATGCCACGTACTTCTCAGAGAAAAGGGATTAGGAAGAGTAAGAATAGGTATAAGTAAATACACCGCACAATGTTTAACACATACCTTCCCCACTTTCTCTCCACTGGCCCAATAGCAGGGTGAAGGTGTCTTATTCCTTCCTCTACTTCCACAACAGCTCTCTCTGCTTAATCCAGGACTGGATGTGGCCAAGCGATCCTCCCTCTCAGTCTGTTGTGGAGTTGAGGGTCACCTGAGGTGTTTGGATCTCAGGAGATATTTGAGGTCTGAGGGTGTAGGCCTGGGCCTTAGGAGCAGAACAAACTCAGAACTTTGGGTGGGTTGCCCCGAGGATAAATCCGTCTAAGGAGAAAATGTTCACTGGATGCTTCTTGAAGAGCTGAGTTCTAGCCTTATTTTTACTGCATCTACTGTTCCTGGACAATTATATGGGATATAGGAGCCCTTAATATGAGAGGGACCTCCCCAAAATGAAATTTATTTATAAAAAATTGTGTATTCTTACATGTTTAAACTTCAGCCACCTTCAAACTACTCTCCATTTCATTCAATACCATCTAGACTTTTTTCCACTGCTCAAAACAGTATTTGAACTCATTGATTTTGATGCTTTTTAGTGCTTCTGCCATTTTTTTCACTTCTTCCACATAAGCAAAGCATTTCTCCTTGAGGACTTTTTTCATCTGTGGAAACAACAACAAAAAAGTCACTCAGGGTGAGATCAGGTGAATAGGGAGGGTGGGGCAAGGGGGTCACGCCATTTTTGGTCGAAAGCTCCTGAATACTCAACACGTTGTGGGCAGGTGAACTCGTAAATCACCCACCATGAAATGGACAAACTTGTTGAAGGAGTCTTCAAAGAAATTCGCTAAAGCCAAAGGCAGCCTCTCACAACAGTGCCAGCTGGTGCACTGATACAGATGGGTTCCTAGAACACTCACCTAGTGGAGAAAGCCTGTACTACTAGGGGCCCCCCTCCTGTTTTGGAGGGGTCCCCCCTCATATATAATTGCTGAATGAATGAATGAATGAATGATGAATATATGGATGCAATCACAATCAAATAGTGATTAAGAGACTGGGTTCTGAACAGCCTGAATTTGAATCCTAGCTTTCTTTTTTTTTTCTTTAAGTAATTTATTTACTTTTCTAAATACATTTGTCTCTACCTTCCCCCCAGAAAGTTTCAGTTTTATAAATGGTGGTCAGGGAAGGCCTTGCTGAGAAGGAGACATTGTAGCACGGACTCAGGAGAGATGAGGGACTGAGCTGGACGCTAGATTGTACCCCTTAACAATCCATGTTTTTTTGAGGTGACACCCGTTATGCTCAAATCTGGGAACATCTGAGCTGGTGGGCTTTTGCGGGCCCACCTGAGTCCCTCTCACCTGTTCACCTGGTTCCTCCTGTCCCTCTCCAGAGCCGTCAGTATGCTGCGCTTCCTGGTGCCCCGGCTGCTTTGCCTCCGAGGCAGGACTGCCCCGTACTCTTCGGCAGCAGCCCTTCCAAGCCCCATCCAGAACCCAGACATCCGGTACCACCAGCTGTTCATCAACAATGAGTGGCAAGATGCAGTCAGCAAGAAGACCTTTCCAACAGTTAACCCCAGCACGGGAGAGGTCATTGGCCACGTGGCTGAAGGGGACAAGGCTGATGTGGATCGGGCCGTGAAAGCAGCCCGAAAGGCCTTCCGCCTGGGGTCTCCATGGCGCCGGATGGATGCCTCCGAGCGGGGCCACCTGTTGAACCGCCTGGCCGACCTAGTGGAGCGGGATCGGGTTTACTTGGCCTCACTGGAGACCTTGGACAATGGGAAGCCTTTTCAAGAGTCTTATGTCTTGGACCTGGATGAGGTCATCAAGGTGTACCGGTACTTTGCTGGCTGGGCTGACAAATGGCATGGCAAGACCATCCCCATGGATGGTGAGCATTTCTGCTTTACCCGGCACGAGCCCGTTGGTGTCTGTGGCCAGATTATCCCATGGAACTTCCCCTTGGTCATGCAGGGCTGGAAGCTTGCACCGGCCCTTGCCACTGGCAACACTGTTGTTATGAAGGTTGCAGAGCAGACCCCCCTTTCTGCCCTGTACTTGGCCTCCCTTATCAAGGAGGCGGGCTTCCCCCCTGGGGTGGTGAACATCATCACCGGCTATGGCCCCACAGCAGGAGCGGCCATTGCTCAGCACATGGATATCGACAAAATTACTTTCACCGGCTCCACTGAGGTGGGCCATCTGATCCAGAAGGCAGCCGGAGATTCCAACCTCAAGAGAATCACCTTAGAGCTGGGCGGGAAGAGCCCCAGCATCGTGTTGGCTGACGCCGACATGGACCACGCTGTGGAGCAGTGCCACGAAGCCCTCTTCTTCAACATGGGCCAGTGCTGCTGTGCAGGGTCCCGGACCTTCGTTGAAGAATCTATCTATGACGAGTTTCTTCAGAGAACAGTGGAGAAAGCTAAGCAGAGGAAAGTGGGGAACCCCTTTGAGCTGGACACCCAGCAGGGGCCCCAGGTAGACAAGGAGCAGTTTGAACGAATCCTGGGCTATATCCAGCTTGGCCAGAAAGAGGGGGCAAAACTTCTCTGTGGTGGGCAGCGTTTTGGGGAGCGTGGTTTCTTCATCAAGCCCACGGTCTTTGGTGATGTGCAAGATGACATGAGGATTGCCAAGGAGGAGATCTTTGGGCCTGTGCAACCCCTGTTCAAGTTCAAGAAAATCGAGGAGGTAATTGAGAGGGCCAACAACACCAGGTATGGCTTGGCTGCTGCTGTGTTCACCCAGGACCTGGACAAGGCCATGTACTTCACACAGGCACTCCAAGCTGGGACGGTGTGGGTAAACACGTACAATATTGTCACCTGCCACACGCCCTTTGGAGGCTTTAAGGAATCTGGCTTTGGGAGGGAGCTGGGGGAGGATGGGCTGAAGGCCTACACGGAGGTGAAGACAGTCACCATCAAGGTTCCACAGAAGAACTCGTAAGAACATCCACCCACAACCTCTTACCGGTGGTCACCAAACATTTTTTAGCCATGGACCCCCTTTATTTGTTCCAAATGAACTTGTAGGACCTCAACTAATGAAACAAAATCATAGTTGCTCTAGTTAAAGCAGGGATGGGTGCTGTGCTGGGAGTCCTAGCCCTCTCTGCTCCAACCCCAGCCCCCTTGGACATCATGAGTTACTTCTATGAAACCTTCAGGATCCCTGGAAGATAGATTAAAAACCACTGATCTGGACTTTTAGTTCTTCCTGCTGACCCAATGGCTTTCTAATGGATTAGCCTGGTGGCTTAGTGGACGGGCTCACCTCAGACATGGAATTAGAAGACATTAGGAATTTTGATGGATGCCAGATCTTGTTTCCATTCTTCAATGACTTAACCTAAAGATCAAGGGTTCTTTTCCTTCTCTAAGTACCAGTTGTTGGATATTTTGCTTGCTTGCCCTTCATTTTGCTACTGATTTTCTTTAATTTGAGGGAAGGAATGGGCAAAGAATGAATTTACATATCCATTCCTTTACAGTAAGCTCAAATAACACAAATGTCCATCAACTGCTGAGTGAATAAGCAAAATGTTTCTGTGGAATATTCCATATACTTTTCAGCCATAAAAAGGAATGGAGTACTGACACGCTGCAACATGGATGGTCCTTGGAGACATTACGCTGAACGAAAGAAGACAGACACAAAAGGCCATGTATTGTGTGATTCCATTTATATGAAATATCCAGAGCAGGCAAATCTATAAAGATAGAAAGTAGTTCAGTGGTTGCCAGGGTGTAGGGGTAGAGGGAATGGGAATGGGTATGGGTAGAGTAACTGTTAATGGGTATGGGATTTTTTTGGGTGGGAGGTTTTAAAATACTCTGGAATTGGATAGTGGTGATAGTTCCACAACTTTATTACATACTAAAAATCAGTGAATTGTATACCATATTTTGCCATGTATAATGTGCACCCATGTTTTTGTGCACATTATACATGGGATTACTATACCCATTATTATACCTATGTTGTATAGTCATTGTACCCATGTATGATGCACATCCTTATTTTTCCCTCAAATATTTGAGCAAAAAATTGTGCATTATATGTAGCAAAATATGATAAGGTGAATTTTATGAAATGTGAATGGATTTCAATTAAAAATTAAAATAAACTCACATTTTGTTTGCCAATCCATTTTGTGTCAATATTCTCTTGTTGCTGAATGTTTTGCAGAGTCTTGGGGATGGAGGGGACCCACGTAGTCCCCTTGTCAAGTCATCTTGTCATCTTGTCCCCAAGTCATCTTGTCAACCCCCAGCCAGGCGCAAAAGTCCCCGCCACAATATTTCTAGTTTTGTTTTGGTTTTCACTTGGCTGGCTGGGTGACAAAGTGCAACTTTAAGACCCACAGAGAAAAGCTCTGGTTCCTGCCTGGAACAAGTCCCTGTCAGGTCTCATTTCAAGACTTCCACTGGCATTGTCCTCCATCGTCTACCAAAACACTGCCCCTCAAGCCATGCTCCGTATCAGGGCCATCCTGATGTGCTGGGATTTCCAGAGGTTCAAACCTGAGAGCTCAGTGTGTTTACTGTTAATTTTAATTTCCCAGTAGATGGGCGTAATGCCAAGCCAGCAGGCCACGGCACCTAACCAGACTGCTGAGCCCCGTTCTCCTTGTCTTTCACCTTTCTGTCGCATTAATAATGAATCATGCTACTTTTAGGTCCACTCAGTCTACTACATGCACACCGCCCCCCCACATGGCATCTGTTTAGCATCCTGTTGTCTACCCTAGGCTTCAAGATGATTTTGTTCAGTATCTGACTTTGGAGTTGACCTGAAAATGCTTTCTGGGGCTTCTGAGTCTGTTTAGTCCCCTCATCTCTCCTTCCCTGGACCTCCTTTCTGTGCCATTTGTCTAAGGCTGGGGTGACCCTGACTGTCCCCCAAAGTGCACTTTTTGTCTCCTTCTCTTAGAAGCCATTGGCACTTTGCATAGTAGTCAGAGCTTCTCACGAAACAGGGAAACAGGAGTGAGTAGCTGGGTGAATGGGGGTCCCTAATGACCATCAAGCAATATCCCAGTGTTTTAACAAATCCATTGTTCGTTTGCCTCTCAGTACGTCTAAACCTAGAGCAACTTGGTACAGGGTGTCCCGGGATGGGTTGGGACTGGGACAGGACAGTCTTCTGGGTCCCTTATTTTGATTCCTGAAATTCTGTGACTGAGGAGACAGATGAGTCAGATTGCTGGCCATCTCAGCCCCCTGCCTCTGCTCTCATCGTCACTGCTCTGGGTACAGGGCCGTGTGAGCGGGGAGGTTGAACTTGGCATCCTTTAATGCAGACACTTGCACGTAGATGCTGCAACTTTGGGGCACCCACTCATTCCAACAAACTACCCCCAGCTCTACTCTGCCAGCTGCTATCTGTGCCAGGCACCTTTACACGCCACTGAAGCCTCACACAAACCTATAAAATAGGCAGTGGGGTTACCCTTCTTTTTTTAGATGAGGAAATGGGAGGTGAGAGGTTTCACATGAAGCTCATTTGGGCTCACTTTCCCATGTGCATACATAGCACTCTGGGCCAGAAAGGGGACCAACTGAGAGCCCATCTAATCCAGCCTCGACTCCTGAAGAGCCCGAGGACTCAGCTTTGCTGCATCCATTGAGGCTGCTGCTTGCCCACAGCAACATTGCTTTCCTTGATGGGATCCCAGATGCTAGGCACTTGAAGAACTTTGATTTGGTTTGGCTCTATTCTGGGTGTGAGGCTGACCTCTGGTGGCCACCTGGTTAATTAATTTGCTCAGATTGTTTGTTGGTTTAAAAAAAAAAAAAAAAAAAGGGCTTCCAGGTTCTGGCTCCCAGCCAGTTGCGGGGACAGAGGATTGTGTGAGGCAGCCCCTGCCCTCTGACTTACTTCACTTGGTGTGATACCCTCTAGGTCCATCTGTGCTGTCACAAACGGCAAGATCTCATTCTTTTGTATGGCTCATAGTACATTGTATATAGGTACCACATCTTCCTTTTCCATTCTACAAATGGGCACTTAGGTGGGTTCCATATCTTGGCTATTGTAAATAATGCTGCAGTGAACATAGGTATGCATAGGTGTTTTCAAATTAGTGTTTTGGATTCTTCAGATAAATGCCCACATGTGAGATTGCTGGGTCATGCGGTAGTTCTATTTTTAATTTTTTTGAGGAAGTTCCATACTGTTTTCCACAGTGGCTGCACCAATTTACAATCCCATCAAGCATGCACAAGGGTTCCTTTTTCTGCACATCCTCATCAGGCACTTCTTAATATTATTCCACACTCGGTAAGTAATCATGGTGGCCCTTGAACAGAGATGTTCAGATAGTAAGGAGCCAGGATGCAAACTCGGGTCTTCCACCTCTACTGCACCCACTCGGCCCAGGAGAAAGGCCCAGTGGGAGGGACATGGGATCCTACTAGACAAGAAGGAGGTAACCAGGCAGAGCGATGCAGGAAGGGTGTTCCTGGGAGAGGGAATGGCATGAAGTTTGTGAAAAAGCTTGGAGGGTACGAAGCAATGGTGGAGGAAGGGGAAGGCAGGGAAGACCTGGGAGGGGGGCGGGGCCTGGGCTGGGAAGGGGCTGCCCGCCCTGCAAGGACGTCCACACACGTCATCCAGAGGTGGGAAACCGTGAGAGCGGTGAAAGGAAAGTGCGAGGATCACACTCCGGTTTCTAAAGCTGACTCTGTTTCAGTGGGAGGACAGGCTGAGGGGGCGACCTGAAGCTGGAGGCCACTCGGCACCTCTGCCCAGCCCGCCATGCTACTAGCCTGGACCAGGTGTGAGGACGGGTGGGAGACGGCGGGAGGCAGGAGGTGACGGCGTGTGGCTGCTGGGGTAACCCAGTGGTGGCGGTACTAGCACAGTGAAAGGGAACCTAGCTAGAGGAGCGGGTTTGGGGACAAGGTGGTGAGTTTATTCGCTTATTCAACACTTTTTTTATTGAGTGCGGCACCCCTCGGCACCCAGTGAAGCCTGGTGCCTAGTCGGTGCTCTGCAGATGTTGTAAGTGGTGGGTAGGTTTATAAATGGAGATAAGAGAGGCTTCTGTCCCTCCCACCCCCACTCCCACCTTCTAGTGATGACGATTTTTACTCTTCCCTCGACAACCAACCACTCCCTGACTCCCAGCAGGGGGAGAGTTGAGTGTGAGGAAGAGGAGACGCAGGTGAAACTCTTCCACCCCTGGATGCCCCGGAGGCTGGCCTCAGCGGCAGTTCTGGCCCCGGGAGCTCTTGCGGCTGGAGGGGACGCCTGCCCCACGGAGCTAGGCAAGCGCAAGTTTCGGTGTCTAATTCTGCCCTGGGTGACGGGTTTCCAAGTTCTGAATTCATTATTGAGCTGCCGACGCCAGGGCACTTTCGTTTCCCTTAATTAATTAAAATATCACATAATAATCTTTCTCTGATTTAATGTTCAAGAGGCCCTGGCGAAGGCTGGGAGTGAGGAAATTCATTAGAGGAGATTGTTCACTGTCGATTGATTTGCTCATTCTTATTAATTTTTCCTGCATCATCCATCCCTGGGGGGAGAGGGGAGGGCAATGTTTTTTTTTTAAAAAACATAGGATTAAATTCACCATAAAACCTGATGGAAAAAAAATCCATTTTGACTAAAAATCAGACTTTTTTATTTAAGGTCGGAAGTGGGAACATTTGGGATTGGACACTGGTTTTCAAATGATCTTCCTTGCGCTTAGTTATAACTCACTTGACAACAGAAGACCGAGATTCAGGCTGCTTACTGCTTATAGCACCAAGTCCAATCCTTTCCAGTGGCATTTAGGGGTGTGGCCAAGGCCCCCCACCCACCCACTTGCCACCACAGCTCCCAGAAGCCGCACTGGTCACAACGCCCTGTTTCCAAAGTAAGCTGCGCGGCTCCACCCCTGCTCCTTTCACATGAGGTTTCCCTGGCCAGGAATCCCCATGCCCACTCCAGTCCCCAGCTCAGACGCCGCCTTTCCTCTTTCAGGAAATCTTCCTTGATCTTCCCCCTACTCTGATCACAGAGCAGACATTCTGTGCTTCCTGGAAGGACAGTGACTTCATCCCACTCATCCCCCCCCACTGGAGTCTCCCCTGAGTGCAGGGCCCAGGTCCCACCCACGTTCGTATGGCCAGTGTCTGCGCCCTTCTGTCCTCTGGAGAACGCCACTCGCATGAATGTGGAAGATGACAGAGGGCGGGGCTCGTGAGTGAATTAAATCCTACAATGTTCATACAGCGGGAGACCCACATTCAATAAGAGCTAGAAGAACCGGGCCAGCAGCAAACGATTAGGACTGGTTAATAATCGCACGCAAGGTGACCAGGCGGGGCTGTGACTATAGCCAAGGTGGGAGATGAGGACCCGGGCAAGCAAAACGGGGGCAAGACGCAAAAAGGCTGCAAAGACTGTCCTTAAAAACATTCATTTGCAGTGCCCAGGGGTCATACGATGTCATCACATATACGACAGTAGGGTGGAAAACCAGGTTCAGGGAAATCGTTTTTTCCCAACGGCAGTAGCCACCGCGCCCATCCTTTCAGCCCGGGCAGAGGTCTTGGGGCTCTCGCCGTTGAGAAGTCATTAGGCTGGGACTTTGTTGGTTTTGGTGAAAGCTTCAGACAGGGTAACGGTTGTCATTATTTTTGCAAATAATCCTGATGCTAAACCCAGCCTCGTGCAGTTCTCCTTGCTCAGCTCTGACCTTACGCGGCTCTGTCCACCCTGCTCTCTGGGTCTACGTCCAGCTTTCTGATTTTGACGAGGCAAATCTGAGGGGATTCAACTGATTTCATTAAGTGTGCTTATTAGCAGATGCATGCTGTTCTGCTACCTTCTCCAGGGCCTCAGCATCCGTTTCTCCTGAGGGTCTCAACACCCACTAGAGAGGGAGGCGGTGCTGAGTAGAGAGTGGATGTGAGCATCCCCAACCTCCAACAAACAGAAAGAGCTTCCGCTTTGATCAGTTTCAATTCTAATTTTATTCAAAGAAAGGGTTCCAATGTTTTAAAAGTCTGAAAACCACCCATCTAGTTTCATTCCTTTCTTATTCAAAATGAGGAAAGTGAGGTGTAGGAAGTGAAGGGAATTTGTTCGGGCTCACACAGCAAGCCAGGGAGGAGGTCCCAAGGGAACCCCGCGTTCCTAGATTCCCAGGCCAGTCTCCTGCTGCGCAGTATGCCAGAGTGATGCTGCCCCAGTATTTCAAATGTGAGACAGCCGGCCTTAAAAGCAGAAAATGCAGTCTCAGAAAGGACCCCCAAATGGCATGCCCGCGGTGGGCAGCAGACATGGGCCTGGACACGAATCCCTGAAACCTGGGCAACTGGCTGCACCTTCCTTCACGTAGGTATGAGTTATCCTGAGAAGCAGCACCACGGAGAGGAAAGAGCACCAAGGAGGGCCAGGCAGCCCGCGCTCTGGTCCTTCTCGGAGGTCTTCAGACCCTGGGCAAATGCTTCCCTCGCGGAGCCTAGTTTCTTGGTCTGCAAAGGGGGAGGCACATTAACACTCACCCTCCCTGCTATCCTGGAGCTGCAAAGTGACTACAGATGGCTTTGTGGACTTTAAGGACTATCCACACATGAGATCCCAATTTAAAAAGTTTAATTGCCTAGGATTTCTATTTTTTTTTTAATTCCAGATATTAAATATTCACCTTTCTTTCTTCATTAAAAAAAGCAAGCCTCATTCCTGGGTGAGGTCAAAATATTGCTAAGTAAAACATGTTCTCTTCCACAGCCAGAGAAAGCAGAGCCATGTCTCCACTGCCCACCTGGCTGGAGAATCCTGGGCTTGTTCACGAGTGGGCATCTTGGTCCCCAAACGCCCAACCACGGGGCCCCTGAGTCCGGTAAAGTGTTTCTTTAAGATGAGAAACCAGCAGGAATAGGAGAGCTACAGCCAGCTGTCTATTCCCTAGTATGAAGCAATGGCATTTGTTTTTGAGGAAATACCAGTTTAAAAAGAAGGCTAAGGCCACACTTCCCGCATTTTTTTCGTAGGGCCATCCTACTCTAGCATGGCAGGGCTGGAAGGGCCACAGGTAACATCCAGTTCAAATGCCACATTGACAGGTGAAGAGACCAAGGCCCAAAGAGGGAAGGGAACTGTCCAGGTCACACAGCAAGTTAGAGGTCAGGCGGGAGAGAGCAGGACCCTCTTCTTCCTACAACACACACTAAGTCACAGAGCTCCACTAATCAGTCGCAGACAAATGAGGTCAGGAGGCCCAGCTGCCGCATGCCCCACCCAGCCCTTTAGAGTTACAAATGTTACCGTGACAGGATCTTCCCTGGGAGGGAGTAGTTAAAAAAAGAATTCTCACAGAGCAATTCATTTCAAAAGTATAAACAACCACGTGCAGTTTGTTTTCCCAGTGTTTGCCCAGCTAAAAACTACATCTGCCTATGAATCTAGTTTGTGTCTAATTTTTAAAAACATACAGAAGGGGTCTTCTACAAACAGTTTTTCCAACTTGTCACAGAGCCAAATGATCCATGACTTGACTTTTCCATCATCCTGTGATCACTGTTTCCAAGACCCTAGGAGAAAGGAGGGAAAAGAGTTAGAGGGAAGAGGCCTGCCCTGCCGCCACCGACTGTGTGTTAAGTGGAAGGTGAGGGAAAGGACCCTTGACTTTGAATCTCTCCCCGGTGAGAAGTGCTGCGGGCACGGGGGCGGGGCGGCCATGGGGCCCTGCGGAGGCCCAAGAGGTACACGCACGATCAATGGGTGGATGTTTCAGGCAGAGTCCAACTTAATGTGAGGAAGAACTTCCAAATACTGGAAAACCCAGGGACAGCGCGCTCGCAGTGGCGAGCACTGGAACACCCGGCGGAGGTGCGCACGCAGGAGCCCACCCACAGGGCGCGCCACGGCGGGAACTCGAGAACCGGGAGGTGCCGGTGGACTTGAGATTCCATGGCTCCCTTTGGAAAACTCATCTATAATAGACTGTATTCATAGCCAGGTATAATTTCTGTTTTTTAAAGAAAAACATTTATACTTGGAAACTATATATTTAAACATGAAACATATAGATACATACATATATGTATACACATACATATACGCATACAAGTATACAGGACAAAATGTCTCAACTTGATTTTTTTTAATATATTTATAACAATAAAACAAAAAGTCCAGTATCAGGGCAACTGTAAAAGCCATTTCCTAACTGCATTTCTATTTGATGATTTTACCTTATATCTTCCTCCTCGTTTCTAGGAGCTCTAACTACTTGCATCCACCCATCCTTCAACCCCACAGGAAGCCACAGCAAAGTCTTCCTTTGTTTCCCCGGCTCTAAGCTGCTTCACTTGCCTCAAACTCACACACGCCCCATGCTGCCTCAGTATTGCATTCCCTGTCGTTTAATGATGTTCACTTTCTGGTTTCCTGGGCATCCCTGACAGGCCTGATGAAATAAGGCCTTGCACACAGAAGGTGCCTAACAACAGTGGCCACATACGGAATAATAGGCATTACAACCACAGCGAAGTCCTTCTGCTTTTCATACTCAAGCTTGCTTCCCACTTTCCCATCTCTACGAAGTACCTGCCAGTAAGCCTTGGTGACCGCACCTGTTCATGGTGGCTCCTCCCACCCTGTGAGGGGATCAGGCCTCCCTGCCTGGGGCCGCCAGTGAGAGGAGCAGACTTCTACCCACCCCTGTGCTGCTGGGTGTGGCCCTGTGACTCGCGCTGGCTAACAGACTTAAGCAGATGTGACAAATGCTGTATCTGAGCAGAAGCTTTAAATGAGATTGTGTGCTTGGCTTGGCCTCTTGCTGGTCCCCTCTGCTGCGAGAGTGGACATATTCCACTCTTTGGCTCCTCTAGCTGGGTCCCCTATCACAGAAGACACATGGAGCATAGCCACAGTCCACCCGCCACCTGGACATGGAATGTGAACAAGAGATAAATGTTGGTGGCTGTGAACCACTGAGGTTTGGGGGTTGTTAAGCAGCAAAAGCTGGCTATTAAGGGATTCGTTTCCTAAGTTCCCAGTCCACCTGTTGGCACGGGACAGCTGCAACCCCGGCCCTCACCCAGGTGAGTCCGCGGACGCAGGCCCACCTGGCCCAGGGAGATGCAGATTCTCTGCAGATGTGCTGCCCAGAGGCACCGAGTCCAGGACAGGGAGGAACAGCCTGGAGATGGCAGAGCTGCTGACGAGGAGGAACCCGGACAGAGACAAACAAGGGCCACGTTATCTTCCCCATGGGCATGTTTTCACACGGGTGCCGTCACCGTGACGATGTCTGCTCTCTCAGGGCCCTCTCTAGAAGCCGGAGGAAATATTTGGTTCGACCTTGGAAACAAAAGCAGCTGCTCCTTCTGGACGCCTGGAATGTTCACAGCTCTTGACTTGCATGCTAGGTGGGAAGCCCAGAGTGATATGCATGGAGAACATACTAGAGATACTACCTGCTAGTTGTAGTATGTTCCTCCTCTTGTTTTGTATCCTTCTGGTTTCCTTGATTTACGTGTTTTTCTTCTTTTTTATTACACATCTTATAAACTGTCTCAATTTCTTGTGACATAGGTGTATGAATACTGAAAATGACAAAGAACATATGCTTACTCTGTCACATGCGGTCGTCTGGAGCTGGGAAGTGAAAGGCCTTGTATATCCTCAGGTCACTAACTGTCACTGTGCCATGAGACTTGGCCTCCCCAACCGCGTTGGCCGAATGGCACTGGTACACTCCCTCATCTTCCTTTCTCAGAGGGTTGATCTAGAAACAAAGTAAGCAAACTTACATAGTTCTATGTGGCAAAGCAAAATCACTTCCTTATTTAGCCTTCATGATACCTCTGAACACTTACTCCTTTTTACAATAAGCTAGAGCTCACTCTATTTCTCCTCTTGCCTTCTCAATACCTTCTATCGTGGCTCTAATTTTAATGTTTCCTCTGCATTCTTGCCTTTTACGGTGAGCTACCTGGTTCTATTTTTTTTTTTTAAGATTTTTATTTATTTATTTTTAGAGAAGGAGGAAAGGAAGAAGAGAAGGAGAGAAACGTCAATGTGCCAGAGATATATTGATCAGCTGCCTCTCACACGCCCCCAACTGGGGACCTGGCCCACAACCCAGGCCCTGGGAACAGGACAGTGACCTCTTGGTTCACAGGCCAGCATTCGATCCACTGAGCCACACCAGCCAGGGCTGATCCTCTTATTGAAGGTGATAGATATAGCTTATAAGAAAAATACTGCAAATTAAAAGAATAACAATCTATTGCCCAAGGAATGGCCCACCAGGGTTCCCCAAAGGAGGCAGCCTTCACAAATTAACACCGGAGAAAACATTTTCCTCCACCCTTTCTCGTAATAAAGTATGGGAATGTTAGGGTCTCAGGGCCTTTGGATGCTGTCCAGTCTAAAGCCCTCTTTTTAAAACTGCGGATGTGGAGGCTCAAATTTGAAAAAGCCCCTGACCCAACTGCATTGTGAGTTTCTGATCTGTGTGCGGAAGAGTCACCAAATCTCGTAAGGGGGCGGGGGGGACTGGGGAAGACAGCCCCGGAGGGGAGCCTGCCCTCCTGCCCCTGCGGCTCTCCCCTCCGCTGCTTTCTCTTATTAGAACAACCTCTGTCAATGGCGAGCCACTGCATAGACCAGGAAGGATTTATGCGCACCATCTTGTTTTGAACTCACGCCAGTGGTGGGCCACGAGGGAGCATGGTTATCCTCACGTTACAGGAGACGTGCACATAAGTCATAGGCTGTTAGAGTCACATGGCCCTTTGACGCTGTCCGTCCAAAGCCCTCTTTTTACAATTGTGGACACAGAGCGACTCGGCCAACATGCACCCCTGTCTCGTCACTCCATTACTCCTTCAACCACACGGCATTCCCTCTCCTTAGCAAAACTGCAGCAAATGGCACAGAGGAGCCATGAGAGGATGCGGAGGTGCCATCTTCCCTCCTTATTGGCCATGCAGTCTTGGGCAAGTTTCCTACGGCCGTGCAACAAATTACCACACACTTAATGGCTTAAAATGACATACACGTTATCTATACTTTCCGAGGTCAGAAGTCCAAGTGAGTCTCAGTGGGCTAAAATCAAGATGTCGGCAGGGCTGCCTTCTTTCTAGAGCCCTTAGGGGAACCGCTTCTTGCCTTTTCCAGTCTAGAGGTAGTCTGCATTCCTTGGCCTGCAGCCCCTGTCCCCCATCTTATTCCGATGGTGGGTCACGCCTTTCTCACACTGCCATCTTTCTGGCTCTCTCTCCTGCCTCCCTCTTCTACATTTAAAGAACTCTTGTGATGACCTTGGGCCCACCCAGATAATCTGGGGTAACTTCCTTATTAAAGTCAGCTGATTAGCAACCTTAATTCCAGTTGCAAGCTTAATCCCCTCTTGCCATGTAACAGAAAAGATGCACAGGTCCCAGGCCTAAGGCACGGACATCTTTCTGGGGCTGTAATTCTGCCTACCACGGGAGGTCACTCATGCTCCCAGAGGTTACACTACCTGCCCTGCTTTCCTCACAAGTCTCACAGGGTCCTATGAGAAGTGGGTAAGAACAGCTTTGAAATGTGTAACATGGTATAGAAATATCAAGGGTGCTTTATACGGGCCAGTCAGTAATAGCCAATAATCCTAAACAAATGAGATGCTCACCAAGATCCAGGCTGTGGCCTCGTGGTCAGAAGGGCCCCCTCGCACCTGGACAGCTACATTGACATGGTCACCGGGCAGGTCCTCCAGCACCTGGGTGCCCTCAGGAGACTGTGTGACCTAAAGAGGACAGGAACACCAGGAATGGTTTAGTAAAAACATTTCTGGGTACGTACCACCCCACAGACATCCTCGCTGTCTTTATCTTCCCCCTGACTTGAAGGCCAAAACCCTAGTAGCTCTTGTTCCTATTAAAATGTCCATCCCTTTTAAACCCCAGATCTATGTACAAACAGCACACCCTGGCGGACAGCAAGATGTGGACACCACCACCGTCTCGCAAAAGCGGTTCAGAACCCCGTGCCCCTTCTCAGGGCTGTTGAGACAAGGGGACAACCTCTGCTGTGATCCACGCTAGTCCCTCAAAGACTGATCTCCAGGAAGATCTAGTTTCAGAATAGGATTGGGTAATCGGCCACCAGCCAAGTCCTCCTAAAACCCAAATCCAGTGTAGCAGTCTGTAACTTCATCGCAGCTGATCCCGGCTAGATAGGCAGCAGAACTTTCTGGACAGCTAAGTGGCCAAGAGGGCAAATGCCACAGGAAGGATGGCAACAGCCCTTCTCTGGGAGAGCTTTAGGGTAAAAGTTTTGTGGCATAAACCTGGAGGCAGAGGAATGGTACATAAGATAGCCTTTTAAAATCCTCTGATCCACATATAAAGATACACACACAAGCACACTTAGAAGAAAAAAAGACATTTACACCTCCCCCCGCCCCCACGATTCTTGGCTATAAATACCTTCCTCCACGTGATGACGGGGGGCGGCGCAGCCCTCACCTCACAGGACAGGTACACCTGTGCCCCAGTGACGTTGTGAACGCTTCGGGGTGGAATGATGACCACAGGAGCTGGATGAAGAAGGCAAGGGAGCACAGTCATTATCCCGCCAGGTCCCAAGGACCCCGCTTCTAGAATTCCCTGCCTGCAGAGAGCCTGCTGGGACAGACTAACGTGGCAAGAGCAGTGGCCAACAAAAATTCTCCACACAAAAAAAACCAAACTCTTAAGCAAGGAATCGTGGAAGAGAGTTTTCCTTAGACCTGGAAGGATGCTTACATGCTTCCTTGCGCATGGCCTTTGTTCTACTAACAGGAAAACAGGGATCCAGAGAGAAAAGACAATTACCTAAAGTCTCGCAGCCTGTCTGTGGCAGAGCTCTGGTCTCATCACACTCCTCCGAGGGCCCCAGCTGCCATCTGCTTTTGGCTCAACCACAGGATAGGGTGGTGAGCTCTGGGAGGGGCTGGTGTCACTTCCCCATCTTCTAACAGATGGGCCTTTCTCCTCTGACGTGGAGGGTGTTTCAAAGAATAACGCCATGTAGGACAGCTGCATCCACCCAGGAGCGGAGACCCCCTGCGGTCCTTTCAAGACGCTCATTTGCATATCACAGCCTCACAGACTCCACACAAGGCCTCCCCCACCCCACACGTCTCCCATCCCCAATGGCAAAACTGCTGGCCTGGAAGCTGTGTAGAGACTAGGAATCAGGCAATGTGGATCTAGGCAGCCAGAGCATGACAGAAAGGAGAGGGAGCGTGTGGGTTCGCTGGATGGGACCGGAGAGCATGCGGACATCTGAATTAGAAATTCTTAGCTGATACTCCATACTCTGCCCTCCTTTCTGTGCCTGGTATCTGCTCTGTTCACACTGGGACTAAAAGAATCAAGTCCATTGGCCTTGGCCTTCGTGCCCTGCATCGGTCCTTCAATGGACCTGCCTCTGCATGGAATGCAGCCCCCAGCTCCACAGGTGGATGGCTCCCCATCGTGCAGGGCCCACAGGGTGTGTTCCAGCCCACAACCAGGGTGTCTGCACTGCTTTCGCCTGCTGAATCCTAGCCTGCCGTGCAGCCCACACACCCGGGCTCTCGTGCACAAGAAAGCAAGCTCGGCCCACCCGTGGATCTGCCCCATGGCGTCTTGGGCAAGGTGAAATGCGGTCCCCGGCGAGGAAAGCGCTCTCTGTTTGGTTCTGCTTGTCTGTAAGATACGAACAACACCCTTGGCTTCGCAGGTCTGTTGAACGGATCTTACCACGTGATGAGTGTGAAAGTGATGGTTTAAGTTATCACAATATGCAAGTAGGGGTCAGGAGCAGGTCTGGTAAACAGACGACTGGATGAAGAATCACATGACAAATAAAAGAGCGAGCGCATTCATTCTCGCTCCATCCAACCGCAGAGACTATGGACTCCTGGGGCTTCCCTGGTGACTCAAGGACAGCCCGGCAGGCTGGCCTTGGACAGGAAAAGAACAAAGAGAGGGAGACAGAAGGCTGGAGGAAAAGGGGAGAGGGACGGGGTGAAAGGATGCAGAAATGATACTGGTCTGGCTCCTTCAGACAGACTGGGAAGTAGACTCTGTCAAGCTGGTGCCAAAATACCCCCCAGAAAACAAAAACCAAAACAAAACAAAACAAAACAAAACTTTGGGAAACTGTCTTAGAGCTGCAGAATCTCCAATAGAGAAGCCTAACTCAAGATCCTGTGCCTGACCATCTATGATGTGTTCATCAAGTCTCCACTTGCATGCCTCTAATGACAGAGAGCTCACTACCTATGGAGCCAGGCCCTTCTATCCCTGGAGGGCTCTGCAAGTAAGAAAGCTTGCCCTCATCGGAGCTAAAACCCACCTCCCTGTATCTCCCTGCTGTCTATTCCAGGGCTGCCCTCCGAAGCTTCACAGCCTCCTGGGTGTCCCAAGGGCCTCCGGTGAGGTGAGTACAGACACTGCCCTTCTCCCCTGCAGGCTTTCTTCCTCCTCAGCATGATCAGCTCACTCCTTCATCTTTATCTCATCTCTGCCCGCCAGGCACCAAACCCCTGCCCACATCCCTGAGTAGAGCCAACGTCCCCCCAGCGAGCCAAGGCCCTGGGCTTCCAACGCGGCCCATGTGCCCCAGCCACCTGCCTGGCTGCCACAAAGGACCACAACAGCCCTGCTCTCTGGCAGGAGCCCCATCTGCACAGACAACAAAGAGAGGCTGATTTATTCACGTTCTCCTGCCAGCATCGCCTCCCCCGGAGCCCAAACCGATCCTCGGATGGCGCGCTGTGGGCACAATCAGAACCATGTCTTATTCCAGAGCCCTCAATGGATTCCAAAGGGACACTCAATCAACGTGTTTTACTTTTGTTCATGTAAAGTCATAAATTTTAAATGAGATTTCATCAATCCCTTTCAGGTCTAAATGAATAAACCAGTAAATCACATTTCACCTTTCTCTCCTGCATTTCCCTCTCCCTCTCTTTCAATAACTACACTTAAGAAAGCCTGTCTTGGAAATACTGTCTTTGCCACAGATTTCATGGCAGAAAATACCATTTGTTTTACAAAAGAGCCCCCTACGTTGGATGACAAATTGGCATTCAAATTTTTATTTTAAAATTTACATACAGTACGTTCACGCTTTCTGGCGTACAGTTCTGAGCTTTGACAGATGCATACAGACGTGCAAACGCGGCCATAACCAAGACACAGAATAGTTCCGTTAGCTCGAAAAATCTCCTCCTGCGTCTCTTTGTCACAGTAATCTGTCTTTAATTTTGACATGTCTGATTTGAAATTGAAAATATTTTTATCCATAATAGCTCTTTACAGTCAGTCGTCGTCGTCATCATCATCATCATCATCATCATCATCATCGTAATAACGGAAACAATGCCCCCAGCTAACACTGAGAGCTTGCTGTGTGCTGCGCACGCTTCGGTTACGGGGACGCGAACCCGTCTGATCTTCCCCGCAATCTCACCAGCCAGGGCAGTGAGCCCGGGTCACCCAGGCTCACGTGGTGGGGCGACGCTACGGGCCCAGCAACCTGGCTCTGCGCTCTGTCCACACCACTTCGCCCTCTCCTTGCATGACACTGCCATGCTCACTACTCTTTTCATCCACACACCAGCCCTGCACTCCCTGCCCCCACCCCCACCCCCACCCCAGCCATTTTACGCATGAGAAAACCAGGGCTCAGAGAGGTGACGTGTCTGGGGGAACAGGGACTCAAATCCAGGACCCTGAGTCCATGAACTCCACACTGATTTTTAAAGTGAAACAGTTGTTATCGTGCATGGATGCCCTTCCAGTATAAGAAAGAATTCCTTGGGGACTGTGTTGGGGGTCCCCAAGACAACCCCTAGGTTCCATGATTTGCTAAGGGGACCACAGGACTCAGCAGCGTTTTACTCACAGCTATGATTTATCGCAGCGAAAGGAGAAGGCACAAGGAGCAAAGACTGGGGAAAGTGGGTGCGGGCTTCCCAGTGAAGTCACACAGGACACACTCAACTCCCCAGCAACGAATTGTGACAACATGTGCAAAATGTCCTCTACTGGGGAAGCTCACTAGGCACTCAGGGCCCGGTGGTTTTCACTGGGGGCCGGAGACCCAGGCTCCCTCTGCCTGCTACATCCCACTTCCAGGCTTCCAGGAAAAAAGCAGGTGTCCAACTATCCTCTGTTCAGTTTGGGCGGTGAGGCACCATTAGGAGTCCTGAAATCCAAGTTCCCAGGCACCAGCCACGGGCCACCCTTGCCAGCAGCCTGCCCGAGGGTGCACTGCTCTGGGGACCCTTTTCTGCCCGGGCATGACACCCTCCAGGCATCACCCCAAAGATACCATTAAATGGGCAATGTGTCCTCAACACTAGCAGGGCATTCCCAGCCCTACTGTCCCCAAGGGCTCATTCAGATGTGGCACTGGGAGGCTCAACGTCATGACCATCACAGGCAGAAGGAACCCAGGTTCGATCCTGTCTCTGCCGCACCCCAGAGCTATGATGTGGCCTCAGTTTCTTCTTTAAAATGAGCATGGGAGTCCATGGTCCCTCCCCTTCCCTCCTCTCCCCATATGGTGCTGTAAGAAAGCTACAAGACCCCTTGCAAACCGTAGCGGCCTCCCTGAAGGGACCTGAGGACTCGGCAGGTTGTCCTACCCTGAGGGCAGTCTCCTCGAAGATGCCTCTATTGGCCTCCGACATCGAGCAGGCCTATCGGGGCCCTACCCAGAGGCTCCAGAGGCGTGGCCACAGCCCTTCCTCGGGGGAGCCCGGGGCAAGCAAGGCCTTACCGTTGCCAGAGCAGCCATGCTCCTGGGAGAGCCAGCACTTTCCTTCCCTCTGACAAGCCCGACGTCACTCTGGAGAGAAAGGATGGTGCCTGATGGGCCCAGTCTCTGAATGTGCCAGCTTTGTCTTTCTAGCGCTTTCTTACTCAATGCTTGTTTCCTTCTGTTTGTGCCAGGAACAGCCCTGGGGATGCTGGGACAGCACAAATCTACCCATCAGGTAACAGCAAAGAGTCACGCAGCTGTGTCCCGACAAAGGCAGCACTGTGGGTGGGCAACATGGTCCCGAGGGAATGTCAAATGCCCAGGGGTCCAGTCACCAACCACTGGAGCTTGGGCTACTTGCTAACCACTTCCTCCTGATCTGGAAATGAAGATGATGACTTCAGCCTTCATCCTCTAGAGGGAAGGGAGAGAATGGATGCCACAGCGTTATTAAACATGTGGCTACAAACGAAAGGGATCAATATTATTATTATAGTGTGTGGTGCTCTGGCCCCCTACCCCGTTGTCAGCTGTGTTCCTGACGGCTGGAATGAAAGACCTTCCCAAAGGCCTCTGAGATTTCTTTAAAGTTAATGGTACTAGGGAAAGAAATACTATGCTTTCTACCTGTAGGAAAAGGCACACCACCAAAGAGTTTAATGATCAATGCATTGAACAGCCCATAATAATTTATGCTAATAGTCACGTTACAATGTAGAAGGAGAAGCAGCTTAATCCTGCTCCCTGCAGCCTGCGCCTCAAACCCCTCCCTCGGCATGAAAGGCTTTTGAGCATGAGACCTCCCCCCCTTCTTTGTCCCTCTCACAAAGTGGCATTCACTGCCTCTCCTGGTTACCTGGTAACACATGCTTCACAAAGACAGATTTCTAAGTGGAGCTGGAATTTCAAACAAGGTAAATTTTCTAAGATTCTGGATCTCAAGAACTCACTGAAGCCTCAGGGGGCTCAGTGTCCCAGCAGGCACTGACATGGGACCCTGTTCCTATGTAAGTTAGCATTCAAAACGGGGCATCAACCTGCTGTCTGCAGGATCCTACCCCCTCCCAACGTCAGCAAATGGTCACAGTGCATCCATGGAACAACACAGCCTTTTAAAGTAATGATCGCAATAACAACATAATGCCAGGCGACCTTGCAGTTGAGAAAGAAAACCAGTAATTTAGTACAGAATAAAGCTTTGCCCCTTCGCCTGGCACTTCAGGCTGGCAACGAGCCTGCCGTAAACTACACTGGGCCTCGGCTCCGGGGGGCCGCCCAGCAGCTCCCCTGTTCACACTCACCACCGGGCCTCCTCCCTCTGTGTCTTGGTTCCTGCTGTGCCTCTCCCGCCACCACCCCTCAGCCCGGGGATGTTCCACCCACCCTTCAAGACTCCTCTCCTACGCTTTCCCTTCTGCGAAGCGACCCTGTTCCCCTCAGGAGCCATCGCCCTGTGCTAAACAGAGGAGCCAGCAGCAAACGTCAGGGGAAAACAGGGAGGTAGATCCAGACTGAGAAACCCTCATGATTTAAGAGTGGCCGATTTGCAGCACCTTCCCAATCAGGTTGCCAGTGGGCTAGAGATGTGTGGCCCCACTTGAAACAAGCCAGGAAAACCTAGGTTGGGGCTCCGCCTGAGCTGGGAAATAGCCAGCGGGCTCCAGGGAATACCCTCCTGCACGCCTCGGTTTTCTCTTCTCTGTAATGGGAGTGGGACCTGGCCAGGGCAGTTGTAAAAATCAAGTAAGAAGATGGGACGCGAACGCAATTTCGAACAGTAAAGAATGATTCCTATGCGGGAACGTAGTGGGCGTTCAATAAATAAATGTGTGTTGATCAGAGGATTACTTGCATTAGGCAATTTGGGTCATTTCAGAGCACAGGAGGAAGGGTGAGCATTTAAGGAAACTGTTTCCAAATGCTCCTGAGAGGCATGTGTGAGAACACCTCCCACACCGTGTGGAACTTAATACATATTTACAGACGCCTCGTTCTGTTCAAGTCAGGAGCTCACACACTGAAGGAGTAGGTGAGAGGCTGAGGAGGGCGGTTTTACTGCCAGTGCTGGAGCGGAACAGCTGCTGCCGGGACTCAGTCTGCTTCCCTTCAACCAGGGTCCCCAGGGGCGTTGTTAAAAAGTGCGCCTGCTGTGTCTCTGAATAGACGACGGCTTGAGGGCAGCCCAGAGTGTGGTGCCGCTTTTGCCTTAGTCATGAGGTAGGAAAGGCCCCCCTGTCCACACCTTCACGACTGACCAGGACACAGGGGCCGGGGCCACACAGGCATTTCAGGACAAAAAGCAACGGGGAAACAGGGCCCGGTCCGGCGCGGATGACAACTGCTGGTGGGTTCTGGGGAGGCCTGCTGCCTGTCACTAATGGGATCATTAAAAGCAGCTTCTGTATTGTCTCCATGTGGCTCCACGAACATCCTTACGCCCGCCCGGGGCCCGTGCCTGAGGTGCGCCTCAGGGCCCATAGATCAGAGTGGAGGGGCTGTCACATTTACTTGTCATTTGGTAATTTTCAATGAATTAGGGGTATGGGGTTTCCATCTGCCATCTGGCCTCACTCTGGTAACCACGGCAACCACCACCTGCCTGACTTAACACTATCAAGTCCTGTCCTGAAAGAGCACAAAACAGGGTGCAGGGACTTGGGAGCCGGCCAGGCTTTACTGGTCACCCTGACCAGTCCCCCGCACTCCCCCCTCCTCGGCCCCAACCAGAGTCTCCGTCTCCTCCCCCTAGTAGCAGACTCGGCTTAAATATCTTAAACATCTTCAAGGCATCTCTTTTGGGAACAGAACACCACTCCCGGGAAAAATCATCTGAGGCCATCCACGCGGGCAGATTCTGGGGACCTGGTCAGCATTTATGTCTCCTGCGTGTGGAGTGAAAGTATTACCTGTCTGCAGACAAAGAGAACCGCCTGTGAATTAACTGCTGAGGAAAGCAGATTGTAAAATCGAGTGACAGGAACTAGAAAAAGGAAGGAGACAGGACTGTTTCCGTGCCACAGGGCAGAAACAAAGGGGCCTCAACGGTGGCTCCACAGGGGCTGACACAGTCCAGAGGAGGGATGGGACCAGCCCAAGGTCACTCGGGGAGACAGGAGCACGGGCAGTGCCAGCCAGCTCCCTCCTCCTCGGGAGCCCCAACGAGGAATAGCCAGGGAGGCCGCAGCCCCCACGGGCTGCACAGTGTTCTCACGTTTCTGGAAAGGAACCTTCCTGCCCCATCTCCAACAGCACAACAACACGGGTCTCTTGGCACAGGTCTAAATAGACTGCCTGGGAGAAAATAAGAATAGAAACTTCCCAATGCCTGTTAAGGCCTTCCCCCACCCCCAAGTCTGCCGGGTCGGAGCTGAAGTCATTACACTGACTTAGGCATTTAGGTTGGACCTGGTCCCCAGGCATGGCCCTGAACCTCAGGCTGGACTCCTTGGGACTCGCCACTGCCCCCTCGAGGCAGCGTAGAAAGGGGCAGTTCTCCAAAACCGAATCGGCCAAAAAGGTGCTCCTCTGAGCATTTCTTTACCAATAATTTGGTTTATTTTTGTTTGATTTAAAAAAAAATTACACATAGAGGGTGGGCAGCAGTAACACCCATAGACGACTTTACTGTGATGTTAATGAAGTTTAAGTTTCTAGGTCCCAAGTAATTTCATTTTTGATTCCTTTCCTTAAAGTGGGACCCTTCAAAATGTATAAGCCTTAGCCCCACAAAACCAGGGTCTGCCCCTGAAGGCACTATAATTTTTTCAGGGCCTAGGTCTGCAAAGGTCTTACCTGTCCTAAGAGGGAGCTCCCTCAGGAATCCCCAGCAGGGTCCCAGCCCTGGTGCTCAGCTCCGGTGGGTCCCAAGTGCTGGTCTGGAGCTCCTTCTCCTCTGGCATCCTCACCTTTACTCCCTCACCATTCAAACAACCCACACCGGGGACTTGAACCCAATGACGACCTCCCACTCCCAAACTCCCAGACTTGTGGAGGCAAAGACACCAGGCCTGCGAATAACTGCATCAGCAAGTACTTAAGTACCGAAAGGGACAGCAGGCTCTCCAAATTCCGACCAGCTCACAGGCTGGTGACTCCATGAGTTTGGTGAGGGAGGGTGCAGGATGTGATGCCTGCCCCAGCTTCCTTGAGCACCCTGACAGATAAGAAAAACTGCTTAGGCAGTACCGGTGCAGGGAAATGGGGAGAGACATTCTTTTCCCCATACCCCAGAGGGCTAGGGTCCCTCTTTCTCCCACGCCAGCACAGCCAGGAGGAAGCCGGACTCACCAAATTCGCAGGGGCCGTCGTATGCCTTGTGCAGGTGGCCTGGGTGCCCGTGGGGCGCGTGCCGGGCGCGCAGGCGCAGTGCACAGATGCTGGGGTAAGAGCGGCCGTCGGAGCCGCAGACCGCGCCGCGCTGCGCGCACACGCAGAGCCCGGTGCCCTCGGGCGCCGCCCCCGCGGCGCGGCTAGCGCACACCAGCTCGGGGCCACAGCGCGCGCCAGCTCGCCCCCCGCAACTCGCGCCCTCGGAGCCCAGGCAGCGCGGGCAGCAGCCGCACTCATCACGCGCCGGAATCCCTGGCGCCGGGCAGCGCACGAGCGCTGGACAGCGCTCTGGCCGACACGGACCGCACTCGGGGCGCCGGCCGCCCGCGCGGAGTAGCCCGAGGCCTGGGGCCAGCGGCGGCAGCAGCAAAAGCAGCAGCGGGAAGAGCACGGATGAGCGTGGCATGGTCCGCTCCGGGACGGCAGTAGCGCCTCTGCTTCGCTCTCCGTTCCGTGCGCGCGGCGCCGCCACCCCACCCGCCCCGCGGCCGCTGATTGGCCGGGCCTGCACCGCGGGGTGCCCGCAGACGGCTGCCCGGCCCGGGACCTGAGCGGCGGGGTGAGCTCCCAGCTGCCCCGGTTCGGAGCTCGAGAGATGTTCCTAGACCCGCTGTCTGATACCTAAGGGGAGTAGGGGCGGGAACTTGACCCAAATCGCTTTGTTAGAGCCAATTTGTATCCAAGGCTGGCTCCAAATATTTTGTTCTTTAATCCTCTCAGAAGGATGCGCCATTTTATTTTGCATTCTGTAGTTTTCAAAGTTTTATTTTTTAAAAAAAGAACATATGGCTTAAAATTTCAGAGTTTACAGATGGATGTAACGATGTAGAGCCGGTTTCCCTTCTTCCCTGTCCCAATTCCCCAGCCCCGTCTCAAGAGGGCACTCGTTATCAGGTTCTCGTTGTATCTTTAAGGAATGTTGTGTGCCTATAAAAAGCACGTGCGTGATTCTGTAGCCCCTCTCTTTAAACACATACACGCACAGTAGCATGCCCTGTGCATTGCTCCGTGCTTGTCTTTCCCACCTATGGTATTTCCCAGTTTCCCCACCTTTTATCATGTCTGAAATCGGCCTCTTTTACAATCAATGCAGCATTAATTAGTCTCCCCCCAACCCCCTTAATTCTACGTAAAGTCGTGGTGCATCTCATGGTTAGGAGTGACTTGGGTGAGATATGGTGATATATTTGGGATTGGCTTCGAAATTTTAAACTTTGCACAGCATTTAATTACACAAAAACTGCATTTATTCAGCCAGTTGTTTTTGGTCTTTTTGTTACTACAAATAGTGTTGTGTTGGATGTTCTGGCACACAAGTGTCAGCATATCTGTGACTTCGTGGGGCGTGCATGTTGGAAAGACTGTGGAACAAGTTCTTGCAGCCACGTATTTTTTTCATGCGGTCCCCATGCCTGCTCAGAGCCAGGTTCTGTGCGTCCAGTCTTGGCAGAGGACTCGGACAAAACACACAGGGAGCCTTGGTTGCTGAAATTTGATGTGTGGCCAAGTGAAGAAAACAGACAGAAAGAGGGACATGCTAACCAGGCTTCTCGGACAGTTTTTCTTGCCTTCACCCCCTAGCCCTCATTTGGCCCACGTTGCTTTTTCTGAACTCCCAGAGATGGAGAAAGCCTCTTGGAGTTTAGGAAGACTGGCTACAGTCTTAGCTACAGTCTTAGGTGGTGCCTCCTTTGCTTTTCAAGCAGGTCCTTCCCAGTTTGCAGTCTTTCAGGGGATGCCCTTATCTCCAAGAGGGGCCCCAGCAGAGGCCACTTTCTGTGGCGGTCAGAACAGCGCCAGCTGCCTGGCCTGCGCCAGTTCTTCCCTTACAAGCGAACACAGAGGACGGTGTATGATCAGGCTTCACGGAGTGGAGGTAGGTGGTGGTGAGGACTAAGTATCCCAGTTCAGAATAGCACTCAACACGGCTCTCAGTGCTTATTAACACTTGGTTTCATCCAGAGGCTGCTGCCTTGACCTGGAATGGCCTTTGAGAGTACTTACGCTCCTTCGGAATCTCTCCGAAGGAGATGTCACTGTGTGTGAAGATTTTGTTCTGGAGTTGGTCACTACAGCAAACAATTGGAAACAATCTAAATGCCCACTGATTGGTAATGATTCAATAAAGTGATGGTACAGTCAACATTAGAAGATTAGATGGGCAATGAAAAGGAGCAAGGAGATGTAGGGAAACAAACAAAAAGATGTTTGTAATGTATTGTTTAGTGAAATAGCAATTATGAGTTGCATGTCATGTGTGATGGCATATTTGTAAATGTGTGATTGTATATATGTGAAGAAATTCAAGATTGTTTAATGACATGATGGAAACACTTATATTAAATGAATAAGGCAGGACTGGAAAACAAAAGAGAGAAACTCCATGCTGCATTTCAGGGACATCCTTCTTAGTAAGTTCAGACTTTCAAATGGCCATAGCTGTCCAAAAAGAGAATGGACTACTCCAGACGTAGTGAGCTCCCTGTCTGCGGAGGAGTTCAAGGGTGAGTCTTGGCAAGGAGTATGGGGGGGAGAAAAGAATCAGGGGTTGGGTGAGAGGATCTTTACATCCTTCACTCTGAGCCACCATTTTCACACCACAGGTGTCTGACCCTGAGACCTGAGTTGTACAAAATGTGGTCATGATTAGCAAATACATGTGTTCAGGAATGATTTGCCTGCTTTTTATGCAAACATTGACCTAATAAAGTGTATCATTATTATGAAATTAATGAGTGCTTCACACAGGTTGGGATAGACAATCAAAGACGCACATTTACACCTGATCCACATGCTTTTTAAGTAGTAGGGAGAGCATTACATAAGCATGACTCCTTGAGAGAATGAGCAGAAGACTCACTTTCTAACCCTGAGCCTGTGGTATCTGAATGGAGAAAACATTCCAAAGCTTTGAAGATGATCGGCATCCATTTCCTGTTTAAAACTGCCCCAAAGCCCATAGCCCAGTGGACTCCGGTTCCCAGAGCGCCAGTTGACACTGTGGCAACACTGTGGGCCCATAGAATTCTGGGGAAAAGTGGGGGTGAATTCTTTCAGCAGGGAAGAGAGTTGATGCCCATCTATTGTCTGGCAAGGGTTAAGGAGCCTTTCTGGAAAAGAGGCTTCCTAAACTGAGCCTGGGGGAGACAGGAAGTGTTGTCTGGGAGGCGGGCAGAGAGAGGGAGCAGTGTGTCCGCAGCCATGAAGACCGGAGAGAGCACGGTACAGTCAGGAGCTCAGCCCAGCTACATGGGTGTGTGGAAGCTCGGGAGGCGGGAGCTGAGGCTCAGAGGTCAGGGAGGGCCAGATCACCGGCTTTGCCTGGCCTGCTGGATATGCTGGGACCCCGGCTTGGCGCTGGTTGTTTGGGCCTGCGTTACTGTTTGACAGGCAGATATTTTAAATGTGGAGGGGAAGGGGAGAGCATATTCCCACTGGGAAGGCAGGGAATAAGTCTGCAGAAAGGCTTTCCTGGTTCTCCATTCTTCTCTTCAGGATTTTTTTCCCCAGGGCTTCAACCAAATTGCAAGTTTTGTGTTGTGGCCACGCATGCAAATCGCCACCTTGTGGACAACACAGGGATTACAGATCCAGAAGTTCCTCATTCATTGGTTCAATAAACGTTTTCTAATAGTTCTTAAGAGCCAAAGTTCTGGGGTAAGGTGCTTTGGGTCTGGAGGAGAGGAGACATGCGTACAGATAATCACCAAATGCTTAAAGGTGTGAATCTGCCTGAAGTAATGGGGTGAGTGGGGCAAGTCGGGGAAGGCTTCACAAAGGTGACAACTGAGTCAGAGAGGGGAAAGGGGTCTTTAGAAATCACCTCTGACATTCTCACTTTACTCAGGGGGTGACTGCAGCAGAGGGTAGGCTTGAGACTAGGTCAAAATCATGCAGCTTCTCCGGGCAGAGCTAGGGTAGGTGTCTGGATGTCCCGGCCCAGGAATGAGCTGAGCCTCATCTTGGTTGGCTTTCGGTTTCAATGGGTCCCCCTCCTGGCGCTTGAAAAATGGCCCCTGCAGGGTCTGGTCTTTGCCGCCTGATCCCCCCAGCAGCCGCATCTCGGCAGTGTGTCCAGCCTGCCTTCTAGTGCACTAATCTCTCCTCTCGTTCTCTGTGTTCCATATGAGAGACATTGGAAAGCACCAAAAACCCTTCTAGGGTGGACACTGTGCTTTAGCCAGGATCTTGGCCAACCTGGAAAGAGGGCTCAAGATGTGTCTCTAGAGTGTCTATCCTCAGGGACTAGCATACTTCTTGGCCCATGGGTATTTGGTAAATACTTGTGACATAAATAAACAAGTGAGGGACAGGGGAGGTGGATAGCGCCTGAGAGGTCAGCTCAGCTTTCCCGTGGACTTAGCCAGAGCTGAGTCTAGTCTGGGAAGATAAATTGGGGCCACAGTGCAAAGGTCGCCGACGGCCCAGCTAAGGAGTTTGTCTCGATCCTGCCAGCAGGTGGCGCCAGCCCTGTTTGTGACGGGATAGGAATATAGTTAGTTTCATTCTTTTTCAAAGGGAGAAAAAAAATATTCCTAGTCCAGTGTCATGCCCATCCCAGAAAGCCATCGATGCTACTTAATGGAGAAATTGCACTAGGTCTTCCACATATCTGGGTTCTTTTGTTTCTAAGCTTACTAATTAAGCCATGTGTCTCTAGAATAAATAGAGGCTGCCCTGGGGTAAGCTGCCAACTACCTGGGAGACAAGCACAGCGTTTGTGAAGAACTGCTGAACTTCCTTCCGTCATGGAAGAACTCTGAACCCTGCTGAATACAGAGCTCAAACACTGGAACCCTTTCTCAGCTGGGTTGTGGTGTCACCAGTCACCTGTTTCCTCGCCCTTCGCCAACTGACTGCAGCGTCATCATGTGGCTCCTGGAAAGAGGTCTCCAGGGGAGCACTGTGGGGCCCTATTCAATAACCTGGATGAATGCAGGAAAAGTGTGTAAATGCCCTGAAGCTTCAAGAAGGAATTAATGTACCTTGGATAGGAAAAGCAATATTCAAAAAGGCTTGCATAGGTTAGAATGGTAGAGATAAGTGAATGTTGACATATTCTGCAGGTCCATGTAAAGTACTATGTTTGGGTTTGATACTAAACTGAGAAAGTAGGAGAAAGGGAAAATGAAATCTGTCACACAGTTTGACTTCAGATTCAAAAGGGGTCATTCTGGAGCATGGTATCCCCTTAGAAATGGGCCTTGATCACTGTGGATGAAATTTTGCTGAAGCTGAGTGTTTGATAACAAGGGTCTTGTGTTTCTCCCACTGTAAGGTAGCTGCCCCCACAACCTCCTCAGGGTAATTCAAAATGACTCCTCCTTACTGGTATGAAGAGAGGAATTGTAGGACTGTGAGGAAAACCACCATGATAATTCAAGAATTTAGAATATCCATGTGAAGTCTGGGCAGTGGAACCAGGAAGCCAGTGGCTGAAGGGCACTCCTGGAAGAGACAGCATCTCCGCGTGCCTGGAAGAAGACGTGCTTTGCACGTCTTTCCCCTGAACGGGTGTGGCATGGATGCACGAAGCGCTGCTTCCTCCAGGCAAGGATAAGGCCTGCTTCCAGAGAAAACACATTTACAGTGTTTCTTTGCTCCTAGGCATCCAAGAAGAGGGTTATGTTGTACCCAAACATTGTATTTCTGTCATTTTCACTTTTCTTTCATTATTAATTTTGAGAACAAGCATTTATGGGGCCTCCCCTGTATCCCAGATGTTGTGGTGAATCAGACCTAGTTGTGGTTTCTAAGCCCCTGCAATCTATCGGGGGAGCTAAGGCTTAGACACGATGGACTGTGATGTGACTATGTAGTCGCTTGCCAGTCAGTACCTGGCAGAGAAGAGGAGCCCCAAAGCAGCTGCTGTTCACTGAGCACTTACTGTCAGCACCTTCCTAAGCGTTTCGTCTGTATTATGTCACTTCAAACTCACACGTCCATGAAGTAGGTATAACTTAGACAAAACTAAGGATCAGAGAGGATAACCCTGTACCTTGCCCAAAGTTACACAGCTAGTAAATTGTGGAGTTGGCCCCAAAGTCTACAGTCTGAAACAGCACACCAGACTACTTCTCCATAAATGTGTTAAATAAAAAATAAATAAAGGCCTAAATACACACCGTAAAATAGACGTAGACCAAGGCAAGAGAAATAAGATCATACCGTGGTGATCAGGAGACACATCATGTCAGAAATTACGCTCAAGGTAGGAGCCAATGAACAAAAACCAGGGTGGTGAGTGGAAGTGGAGAACGTGTCCAAGTTGGAGTGAAGGGATCAGGGTGGGCTAACACCAGTGGCTTGAGTTTGTCAGTGATGGTGCCTGCTCACTGACTCCATGACCCTCTCCCCTCCACCAGAGCAGCTTAGACCACGGGTGTTACGGACTGAATGGTGTCCCCCTAAATTCATAAATTGAAGCCATAACCCCAGTACCTTAGAATGTGACTGTATTTGGAAATAGGGCCTATAAAGAGGTAATTAAGTTAAAATGAGGCTGTTAGGGTGAGCCCTCATCCAATATGATTAGTGGCCTTATAAGAAGAGGAGATTAGGACAGACCGAGAGAGACACCACGGATGTATGTGACAGGAAAAGCTATATGAGGACACAGTGACAAGGCAGCCTTCTGCAAGCCAAGGAAAGAGGCCTTAGTGGGAATCGCACCTGCTGACACCTTGATTTTGGACTCCCAGCTTTCCGAACTGTGAAATAATGAATGTCTGCTGGTTAAGCCTCCTGGTACGTGACATCTTGTTATGGTAGCCCTACAAATTAACAAGGGGTGTGCGATTGAGCCAAAGACAGAAAGGCATAGACTGGCCTGTGTCCTACCTGGGGGAAAAGATAAACAGGGGGATCTTTTCTCTTGACAGTTGGAACTGGGGAAAATCCTAGAAAAGAGCCAGTGAATTTGGGGGGCAAGTATAAAGGACGCCATGAACTAGAGTCAGGACAGTGCTGAGCAGAGGCCGTGGGAGAATGCAAATCATAAGGAAACAAGGGGACTGACTGAGCCACAAAGACAACAGACTGAAGGAAAAATGCCAAGAGGGAGAAATACAAGAGAGAGGCACATTAGCCATGAGAGGGGAGGAACCATTCCCAAGAGTGGCGCCAGTTTCCAACACCTTCGCAGGATGGGTCCCAGCCCTTGCCGGGGAGCAGTAGGGAGCCCCTTGAACTCAGGGCAACTTCAGCGGATTTCTGTTCCTTGCTCCCTAAAGATCCACAGTAGCATGGAGGGCTATGTTTAAGGATGACTAAGCAACTTTAAAAATACCTGTCAATGCGTGCAGGAAAGCAGTGGAGATTAGGCTGGAAAAGAGGGCTGAGGCAGCTTCTCGGAGGGCTTGCAGTGGAGTGCTAGGGTAGGGAGTGCAGAGTGTGGAGGACGCTTGGCAAGGGCCTGATGGGTCTGAGCTGCGCTTTGGGGAGAAGTGTGTATGGACCAAGCTTGGAGCCTGGAGCAGGGCCATTAGAGAGCTCTCATGGTGGTCCAGACAGGAAGTGAAGAGGGAGGGATCTGGGGCAAAAGCAGTGTGAATGGAAAAGACAGCGTATTGATTAGGGCAAGGACCAGCTGCCGTAGCCAACTGCCAAGTGTGTAATGACTCTAACGTAGTAGAAGTTAATTGCTTATTCATGTAAAGTCTCAAACAGCTACTCCTAGTCTCCTCCAGTGTTGATTCAGGGACCCAGGCTCCTTCCAGGTTGTGGTTCTACCAGTCCTGCACCAACTCCATGCTGCAGAAGGAAAATGAGGACGTGAACAAGACACACTCACAGCCTGAACCCTCTGATGCAAATGGGTGGATAAGAACCATTGGGAGATATAATGAATGGAGTGAGGGAAGGGGAGATGATAGAGGCAGTGAATTGACAGACAAGGACACCTGGGGTCTAGTTCCCATTCGGTCCCAGAAGATCATTTGGCAACAGGGTGGCCATTTAAAATTCATGAACAATTCTGATAATTGGGAAAGCTTACCACATTCTCCTCTGCATTGGTAGGGTTCAGCTTTGGATTTGTTTCCAGCCCCTTCTCCCAGCAAATGGGCAGGCAGGCTTGTTTCCCAGGAGAATCTTGGAGCCACTGGTTCCAGTTTCCTAGTTTATTGCCCAGAGGCACAGTCCTACTTAATTGTTGATAATATTTTTTACAGCTAGCTAAAGAGGCCTCAGCTGCTGGGCAAAGCTCTGATAGCTCAGGGGGCCCGTGCTCATAGCAGGGGCCAGAAGAGCCAACAGGAGCCCAGGAGAGAGGAAATAGGAAGGAGATTCCTGCGTTTGCAGCCTGAGAAGGGGAGGAAGAGCGGAGGAATGGCCAGCGGCCTTCTGAAACAAGGAAGAGGGCCGCCCATTTGCTTTCATTCCTCTGGTAAATATTTGACTGGATGTTTTCCTTGTCTGTGAATTTTTTGGGTGCTGTGAGAACTGGGCAGGACACCGGACTCTAGAAGCAGGCGTAAGCAAGAGGCTGGAGAAGCTCAGAGAGCAACCTAGAGAGAAGCACATTGTTCACCGGTGTGGCAGGTGGTACTTTTCCACCGAGATGAATTCCACGAGTGAGAGGTGAGTTATAAGACAAGGCTTAGGCGGGTTATGCCGACCCAACCACATGCCCCAGCAGCTGTGTCCTTTGATCTCGGTGACTCATGGAAATCAGGAGCCAGGCATGGTGTAGCTAGTTTGTGTGCAGGCTGGCGCAGGGAAAGGAACCGCGGATAGAGTTCCTGAGTGAGTGAACAGGTTTCCGTTTGTCTTCAGTCTGGGATCACAGAATGGAGTGGGAAGAGCCCAAGTGTGGTATCAGAGGACCTGGGTTTAAATCCTGGTTCGGCAGTTTTGGGCAAATGTCAAAGCCTCAGTTTCTTCATCTGTAAATCGGAAGTGATAACCCCTGTCCTGCCTAGCCCACAGCTTTGTGGAGATCTCATGAGAATGAGAACATGGAAGGACTTTGAGAGCTGTAAAGCCTTGCCCAGACGTCAGGAATGAAGAATTCTCACTCAAACATTTAACTATCTAAGATCTAAGAACCGTAAAGACGACTCCAAGTACACACAAAATAGAGGTATACGCGAAGTAGAACCTTTGTGTTTGGGAGTTACAGTGGATCGGTTTAGATTTTTAAGGCACACTGTGGAAGACAAAAGGGAGGGACGGAGTCATGAGAACTCGGACAGGTGTCATGAGAGTCATTTGGAAAAGGGGATCCCTGGAGTCCCAGCGATGGAGCAGGAGGGAGGAAGCCTGAGAGCCGTGCATGCAAAAGGACAGGTGACAGCAAACGGACTGGACGTCGGCCTGAAGGACATGAGGACAGAGAGTGGGGAGCCAGCTGGGCGGGTGAGGGCACGAACTAGAAAGCCCGAGGAACTCGGCCTCTTCCGCTCCTCTCTCCAGCTGGGCTCCTGGGCTCAGAGGGACCCGGGCAGTGACGTGGCGGGATGTGGACTTTTAGGAACACCAGTCACAGGATGGAGAGTGGCTTGGAGCAGGGCAATGCTGGATGTAGGAGACCTGGCAGGAGGCTATTGCGAAGCCCAGCTAGAGGTGATGGTGGCCTGGACTAAGCTGGTGGTTGTAGGGATCGAGATGTTTGTGAATTTGGTAGTGACTGGAGAGGTCAAACTGACTGGGCTTGCTGCGGGCGCGAATTGGAGGGGAGGGAGTTGGGGATCACTCTGGGGTCTCTGGCTTAGACCAAAGGTGGACGGAGGCGCCGTTCCCGAGGGGAGGACCCTGGAGGGCGAGCAGGTTGGAGCGGGTGTTCAGGTGGGACGTGCTGGACTGGAGGGCCCATGGGACATCCAAAAGGAGAGGGCCAGGAGGGAAGCCATTGGCTTCATGGTCTGGACCCAGAAGAAAAGTCTGGGCCAGACCCAAGAACTTGGCCCACCTGCGATGTCCGTTGTGGCCTCCAGGCTCCTGACATTTATTTGAAGTCAGCACCCCATGGCCACACGGCCTGCATGCCCCCCTCCCAGGACGTCCTCTCCATCGTGGCCATCTCCCAGGACAGGGGCCAGCTGGTCAGCGCCCTTCTCACAGGGCGGGGCTCAGGCCTGAGCAGCTTGCTCAGATTTGTCTGACCAGTGGGGAGTAGGGGGTCATTGTCTTCTCCAAGGACCACAGACATAGAACCTTATTGAATGTCTCAGTGTAATTTTTGTATGTGAATATGTTTCCTGTTTAGAAAATACAAGTGTTCAAATTCCAGTTCTGCCGCTCTCTAGCTGAGTGACTTTGGGCATTTACTCGTCCTCTCTTTGCCTCAGTTTTCTCATCCATGAAGTGGGAATAATAGTCCCTGCTGCCTAAGCTGTGAAAGGGTTAAGCAAGGTCATAACTATAAAGACTTTTGTTTAATGTCCAACACGTGGCAAACCTTTGCTAAATGATATTATTATTTTTATCTTATTAAGCGGAAAGAAATGAAAACAAATGTCCTTTTAGTGGACAGTTAAGCATGGTAGTGAGTAGAAAAGTGGGCCTTTGCCTTCTTCAATCACCACTTTTTCTCCATCCAGCTCTCTCCAAACTTTTCAGATGTGTGTGGAAAATGCACACCCTCTCACGGAGGGGTCCCACCTGGAACCGACTATGCTTCTCTGTACAGTAAGCTCAGAATGAATGGGCGAGGTCAACGCAAAGGACAATAAACAGAGACCTGTACACAGAGGAAGAAACAGGAGGCTGTGGGAGAAAACGGAATAAAGACAGACCAGACATGAAAGGCCATTTAATACCTCATCTCTGATCCTCAGAGCTCGTTAGTACCTGTGTTTGAATTGTACTGTGGGCCAGGGGCAGCCTCTGTTTGAATCTTTTCTTTTTTTCTTTTTGCATAGTTTATTTTTAAAAACTTTTTAAAGAAAAAAACAAGGTGTAGACAATCAACACAAAAGTATAGCTCAGTGAATACAGGACAAATACGTTTGTAACAATTGCCCAGTTCAAGAAATAGAACTTTGACACACTCCAGTTTCCTTTCTTCTGTTCCAGCCACCTTCCTCCCCCAAAAAGATAATTATTAACATCAGAAACAAAAGAGCATACAGGAGGCCCCGGCTGGGTAATTCAATTGGTTAGAGCATCGTTCCCATAGCCAAGGTTGCAGGTTTGATCCCAGGTCAAGGTGCATATGAGAATCAACCAATGAATGCATAAATAAGTGGAACAACAAAATTGATGTCTCTCTCTCTCTCTCTCTCTCTCTCTCTCTCTCTCTCCCCCTCTCTCCCTCTCCCTCTGCCTCTCCCTTCTTCCCACTCTAAAGTCAATAAATAAAATTTTTGTAAAAAATGTATTTTAAAAAAAAGCATACAGAAAAGGAAATGTAATCATTGTTTACCACCTGGTACAGCCGTGATATTTATATAATCATAATAATTAAAACATTGTATTTGGACTTAGGCATAACTTTTGATAGAGATGTATCACAATTTTTTACCCTGAGAAAATATCACCAGAGACACAAGCCTTTGATCTTGTGGTGCCAGCTGCATTGTGGCGGTGAATATTGGGAAAGAAAAGAATAAAAAATTCTTTTAAATGATTTCTTTCCTGATTACAACAGTGGTACATGTTCATTAAAGAACTTTTGGAAAATAAAAACAAAAAAGTTATAAAAAGAATCTACAATGGCCCTAAAATCCAACCAGGAGACAACCATCTTTATTTTAGTTATGTTCTCTTCCGGGCATTTTTCTATGGCTGTGTGCAGTTTCAGAGTGTTTTATGACATTAAAATATACTCTGTATATGGTTTTTATGCTAATGTTAACACATAACGTTATATCAGGACTTCCCCACATTGTTAGAAACCCTGTGAGCCTCAGACCCCCTGCAGCGGCTGCCGTGGGAGTGAGTCAGGGAGGGGGGCAGGGCCTTGTTTGTAGTGCCCCACAGGTCACCGCAAGCCCACATTTTGAAGTTCACCTTTTATATATTTTATTTGTTCACACCACTGAGGAAGATTTACTTTGTTTTTTCTTCTTAATATATATTTTATTGATTATGCTATTGCAATTGTCCCCTTTTTTCCTCCCCTTTTTTCCCCTCCACCCTGCAGCGCCCCTCCCACCAGCATCAACGCCCCCCACCCTCGCTTAGTTCATGTCCATGGGCTGTACATACAAGGTCTTTGGCTTCTCCATTCCCTATACTATTCTTAACCTCCCCTGTCTATTTTGTATCTACTATTTACGCTGCTTATTCCCTGTACCTTTTCACCCATTCTGCCCCTTCCCCCTCTCCTCTGTTTTACTGTTCATAGTTTTTGATCTTCTTTTTTTTCTTTAGATAAGCCCCTTTAACATTTCATATAAGGGCGTGGTGATGATGAACTCCTTTAACTTGGCCTTATCCAGGAAGCACTTTATCTGCCCTTCTATTCTAAGTGATAGCTTTGCTGGATAAGTAATCTTGGATGTAGGTCCTTGCTTTTCATGACTTTGAAAACTTCTTGTCAGCCCCTTCTTGCCTGCAAGGTTTCTTTTGAGAAATCAGCTGGAAATCCTGTGGGAAGTCCTTTGTAGGTAACTGTCTCCTTTTTTCTTGCTGCTTTTAAGATTCTTTCCTTATCCTTAATCTTGAGTAACGTAATTATGATGTGCCTTGGTATATGCTTCCTTGGATCCAACTTCTTTGGGACTCTGAGCTTCCTGGATCTCCTGGAAGTCTATTTCCTTGGCTAGATTGGGGAAATTCTCCTTCATTATTTTTTCCAGTAAGTTTTCAATTTCTTGCTCTCCTCTTCTCTTTCTGGTACCCCTATGATTCGGATGTTGGATTGTTTACAGTTGTCCCAGAGGTTCCTAAGCCTCTCCTCATTTTTTTTGAATTCTTATTTCTTCATTCTGTTCTGGTTGACTGCTTATCTCTTCCTTCTTCTCCAAATCATTGATTTGAGTCCTAGTTTCCTTCCCTTTACTGTTGGTTCCCTGTATATATATATTTTTAATTTTACTTTGCAGAGTGTATCTACCTATCTCTTTGAACCTTTTCTGAGGATCCAGTGAACCCTGGGGAATGAGAACACTGTGCAAACTGTAAATTACCGTGCTATCCCCATCGCGCCTGTAGCTTGGCACAAGGGGAGAACCCGCGGCTCAGCCCCATGGAGAGCTCTGTTCCCGAGCTGGTTGACCTGATTCTGTCTCTCTTAGATGGTTAATCAGCTGTTCACTGGTGGAGCCAGGGCACCCAACCAGGGTGTCCAGCTCCTTGGTACAGTAGCTCCTAGGTCTCTTGATAATGTCAGTGTCCCCCCAGGGGAGTCCCCCACTAGGTCTGCTGGGGACCAGGCTGCTGCTTGGAGTCCTCGTTCCCACCTTGTGAAACAGTGTATGTGGGAGGCAGCTATAGGGATGGCGGAAGCCGGCCGAGAACCAGCATGCGTGGTACGTTTCAGTTTACAAACACCATTCCTATCCATTCTTTAACGACCTAGGGAAGTGATGGCATCACGCCCATTCCACAGAGGAAGCAACCAAGGCTCAGAAGCAGAAATGATTCACCCAAGGCCTCAAGGCCCCGCACTGCAAATGCCACACTTTTCCCTCCAGGCAGGTCCGAGGGCCCACACAAGCATGAAAACACCCAATGCCCATCGTCTGAAGGAGGGTCTGACCCAGAGCTGACCTTGCCTGGCTGCACAGCAAGGTCAAAACGAATAGAAGAGGTTGAGGCAAAGAAGAGAACAGAGATTTGGACACAGAGAAAAGAGAGTCTCGGGAAGAAAATGGAATAAAAAGAGGGCGTCTACGTTTCTTTCATTATAGAACTGTCCCCTGATTCTCAGAGAGTTACAGAAAGTGACAGGCAGAGAGAAACCAGCAGGCAATTAGAGAGAGAGGCAGGCAGAAGGGTACAGATGACACTCTGGGAAGGCTGTCAGAGGCAGGCCTGAGGGCAATAGAGGGACCGGGAAGAAAACAGAAGAGACCGGCAGCAAGGTGGCAGGCAGCCTGTGTGGGTTTTATAATAATCATGGAACTGATTTTATTTTATTTTTAAAATGTCAACTTTTCATTATGAAAGTGTGCAAGCTTATATAAAAGAAGAGAGACTAGTATGAAGCGCCCCCACATCCCCATCACCCGGCTCCCACAACTGCCAACACAAGGCAGGCTTGTTTTGTTGATACTCCCACCTACCCACCCTCTCCAGACAGCCCGTCATTTCATCATGGGTTTCACTTGTGAAAAGAAGTTTGCCTTCCCGTGGAATTCCTAGGCCTTGCACAAATGACTTGGCACGCAGATTTACTCTTAAATCTTCACAAGTTCCTGCAATTCTTGTCTTTGTTCCAAGAGACACAAGACCTTGTGTCTTTGTCCAAGAGACCAGAGATCTCAGGCTGCCGTGGCCATAGGAACAGAAAACTATGTTGAAGAGCCATAGAATGTGCAGTGGGGAATTACCTATATGATCTCCCACATTGCCAGAGTCTCAGTCTCGGCTCCCCTACCCACTAGCTGGGGAAGCTTGGATAAGTTTCCTGATCTTCTGGTGCCTCAGTTTCCTCACTTGTGAAACAGGATGATAATAATAGTACCTCTCTCACAGGGCTGCTGTGAGGATGAACTTAACTAATAAAAGTGTAACCCTTAACAGAGAGCTTAGTGCACAGTAGGTCCTTGTGGGATGTCAGGTTTCTGTCCATCTATTTAGGGAATATTAGTGAGCACCTGCTATTGCCACATGGCGGCCCAGGAGCTGGGCACACGGAGGCGAATGCCCCCAAGGAGCTCCCTATCCAGTGGGGACACAGACTCATAAAAAGACATTCCTAAAGGATGGGCTGGCTGCTGTGACAGTGGGTTAAGTCCCAAGCAGTCCCAGCTTCTCAATTTGCAAGCAACTGAGCTGAAACCCACGGGTGCCCTGAGCCTAAGGAGCCAGGGTACATAGCAGCAGAGCTGGGGCGGACCCGGCTGTTTCTCCTGGCTCGGCCTCTCTTCACAAGGGCCGAGGAGGAGGCCGGCAGCAGGAGGGCAGCAGGGCGCTTCGGGGCCAGCGTGTCATGCTTTGGGCCACCCTGCCAGCATCAAGCCTGGTCACGGGGCCAGGTTGGGGCAGCTGCTCTGGCTACTGGTTAATCAGGTGAAGGACTTCAGTCACTGTGGGGTCAGGGGTACCAGGGTAGGGGAGCCCCTGATACCCCCACATCTAGCAGGAGGCCAGGCATACAGGCCGGCTGCCCTTGGTATGCGCTTGATTGAGGCCGGAGTATTGGCACTCAGCCTGGAGAATGGCTGACCCTGGACACTCCAGGGGCTGTGGAGCAGACAGGGTCTGGGATCTGAGGAGGTAGAAACACAGACAGTCAGAGTTCCCTTTCAGTCCACCTGAAGGGAAGTCCTCTTTTGATCAGAGCTATTCAAAAGCAGGTAGGGGATAAGGAAGAAGATCAATACTCACTGATCAATGAGACTGTTTTTTAGGGGAAAAGAAAGTAAAATGATCTCTTGTTCCACCACTGTTTACAAACCTGGGGTTATATTGTTTTATAATTTTTTTTTTCACTTAACAGCATATCAAGAATACACATGCAAGGCATCACCACTGGAAAGCGGACCTTCCACATTTGAGGGGGCCGGTTTGCGGCTGCCTTGCAGATGTTGTCCCTTCCACAGACCTGCCCCACTAGGTGGCAGTATGAGTCTCAGAGACCCCGAAAATGATCTCCGCGGCTTCGTAACAGGTTGGCTTCCGTGCACACTTCATCCGTTCACTGCATTGGCCGCAGGAGTGGAAGCATAGCCCAGGGGCATCCGCCTCCGCCCCGCCTTCCTTGAGCTCACCTCTTTCCCGCTGCTGCAGACTAATTCTGGCTCAGCCCCTCGGAGCAGGAGACGGGCTCAGCAGCGACTCTCTGAAGGCAGGGTCTCCCATCCAAAAAGTCCAATGCTGACGTGAGAAGTTCCCTTTCCTTTTTAAAATGGATATCCTTTCCTTTATTGATTAAATGAAGAAAATAAGTTTAATCTGATCCAGTTTTTGCTTAAAACTCTAAGTCATAAGCGCACATGCTTAAAACTATATAATTATGGGAGGAGAAAAAGCCTTTATTTACTGCTTTATACATTTGTAAATATTTTGAATGTTTTACAACGAGCATAAATTACATTTAAAACGTTATACACACATATGAGGAAGAGATTGAGAGAGAATCTTGGCATTCTAGTATCAATATATATCTTCAGACACCTCTCTGATTTCCTTAACTTACATTTTTTAGAAGTAGATTTCCTGGAAATGGAATTGCTATATTTTAAAAGTTCTTGGTGTATATATTACAGAATTAATCCTCAGAATGACTATACCAATTTATACTCTGATGATCAATAAATGAATGCCAATTTGTCTTAACCTTCAGTAATGCGGGGTAGCATTTTCAATAATTCCTAATTTAATAGATAAGACATTTCATCTTAATTTCTACTTGTATTACTACCTGAAAATTTAAGAATTTATTGGATGTTTATATTCCTTAGTTTGTGGCTTATTCTTTGGACATTTTTGTTCCTGCGATGCTCCTCCTTCAGTCTTTATCTATTTCTTTCTCTCCTGTGCTTTGGTGAAGCAATTGAGTCTTCTTTCATGTACACTTTACAGTTTTAAATATATGACTTTACATTCTATTTATATTCTTACAGTAATTAACTGTGGATTTTTAATACACTTGCTTAGATTTCTATTTTCCTCATGATGTCCAGAAAGAGAAGACAGGTTCCGGCATCTCCTCCTGAACTCGGCGAGCACTGGCCCTTGTTCCACTTCCTTCTGCGTCCGCCCCTGCTCTCCCTGCCTCTCCCTCCCCCCAAGTGGGATGTTGCCTGGTATTTGACCTCTAAATGGGCACTTCAAACATTTGGTTTCATCATAATTCCTTATCTAGATATTTAACAATGTATTTTATTAATTTCTCTGTTCATTGCTGCTTTTGAATTCTTCTCTGTCTAGATTAATTTTTCATGTTACTTGAAAATTTCCTCCAAGATTTGTTTCAGAGAAGGTCTTTTGAGTATTTGTGTTTCTGAAAATGGCATATATATATATATAAATTTATTTATAGAATAAATTTACATTATAAACAATATAAATAAATATAAATATATACATATTTCTATGTAAATATATTATTATATAATTTATATAGATGTAAGTTTATATGGTAAATTTATTTATTACACATAAATATATATTTAAAATTTTGTGCTCTGTATTAACAGTGAGTTTTGCTAATGTCTTTGCCTGCCGTTCCTTTTTTGTATCCCTCTACTTCCCTATAGAGAATTCCCTCTATTTTGTATTAACCTTACTTCCTCAGGAGGAAGTTCCCCCACCTGTGGAATTTCTGGCTCCCTTCTGTGTACTCTCTCCTCAGCTGCTTCATGGTTCCTGGTTGTGTGCTGGTCTTTGTGATGGAGCTTTCCCCTGGGACATTAGCTTTGGGAGGGGTGGCGGCTGCTGCCAGGACTAAGGCCTCTTTCTGGGCAGCGAGGTGGGGGTGGGATGTACTCCCGAATGGGGTGCCTCAGGAGCTGGCCTGCTGGAGGCCGGAACTGTTGGTGCCTCCCAGGTGCCACCTGTGATCTGGGCACTGCCCCTCTCTGAGTGACCCGTCTGTGCTATTCCCGGAGATACCAACTCCACTGCCCCAGCTGGTCAGCAGGGCTGGGAGGACACTTGGGTACCTGAGGACCCCCCAGTTCGTCATGCTGTGCTCTGCCGGCAGCCCATTCTGCACCAGCCCCTTGCAGTCTGGGTGAGGAGTATTTCTTGAGTGGTCCTGCAGCCTGTAGCCTGATGCTTCTGTAACCAAGTGGTTGGCTGATGCTTTTTTCCGTTGATCTAGCCCTTGTCTCTCTCCATTGTTCAGGGTCTTCTAGTAGTTTCTCTGTCCCTGATAGATTTCCAGCTTACTTTCAAATGTGGCCACATTTTCTTTCTTTTAAAAAAAATAACATCCAATGCTTTTTGTATGGCATGGGGGGCGCTATATGTTGCTCACTGGACCTTCCTAAAAGCCAAAGTCTGAGCTTTATAGTTCCATCACATTGCTGACAATTTAAGCTCCCCACACCCCCTCCACTTGTAGGATGTTTCAGACTCATGGTTAGACATAGCTGGAGGGCACTTGAATTTTAAAGAATTATGGGGGAATGTGTCATGCTCTTGGGCTCCTGAGCAGAGCGCTCTCCCCTGAGACTTCTGAGGGAGAGGTAAGAGCTGGCCAGGGAAGAAAGCACGGGATACAGCTACAGGGATGCTGCTGGCGTAGGGCACCAAGTGAGCAAAGATCCGGAGGAGGGAGAGCGTGCAGGGACGGTGTGCTGCAAGTCAGAGTGGCAGGAGCAGAGTGTGGTGGGAGCCTCAGAAAGGAGGAGGTCCTTTAAAGAGAAGTCACAAAACTGCTGTCACATGAGACGCCGGCAACCCTGTCCTGCAGACTCTGAAGCCTGGAGAGGACGAAGCCCACCCTCCATTGCCCAGATAAGCACTGTCGTGCCCCACGGGCCCAGCAGTGGATCAGCAGCGAGCTGATGCTTCTCGACCTGTGGTTATGGAAAACCGTGTCCAAGTGCTGATTTCCTGTGAAAGTTACAGAAACTTAAAGTCCAGGGCTCCTCAGTTGCACCAGACCTTTCCAAGGCTCTGGGAGGGTGCACCTTAGTTAAGTGTTTACATGATGGTGTGTTTTCCTTAAAATATGAAAAAAAGTGTGTAGTTTCATTTGAAAAGGATGTCCAAATTATTTAAGCTGTGGGCCCCACAGAGCCTGAATCTGTCCCTGACTGTGTCATCAAGGAAGGAAGGCATTAGATCCAGCCAGCGGGGCAGTTGGGTAGATAATCAGGCTGGGGAAAGAATCAGAAAGGTTAATCCCCATAGGGAAGGTACATCACAGGTGAGCAGTACGGGCTCTGAGGAAACAAAATGTAAAAAGATCAGATGATTGCAGTGGGCTACAAGCCAAATTCCTGACAGAGATGGTCAAGATTGAAGGGTCCATGACTGCCGCAGTGACTGATCATGTGAATGTGTTTTTTGGCTGTTTTCCAGGGAAAGGCAGCTAAATGGCACCTGTGCTGGCTCAGTGGACATGGAACTCTTCCTCCATTACTCCCTCATCCCTTCAGTAAGTAAAGGCAGGGGTCAGGGGGAAGGGGGACTGGGCTGCTCCCAGACACAGGCTCCCAAAGGGGCCTGAATAGGTCAGCAGAGAGAAATCAGCTATATTTCCTCGACTTGCTCTCCTATATTATACACTAAAAACACAGGTGGAAGAAGTCTTTTAAGGGCCATAAAGTCAGGGACACTGACTTTTAGGGGAAGCAAGAACAAGCTGAGTTCTGTTGAAAGATGCAGTAAAGAGCGTTTCAGGCAGAGGGCAGAGCACATGCAATGTGTGTAAGTGTGTGGCAGGGGTGGGGGCAGCAGGGTGGAGATTGGAGAGCACGAATAACCGAGAGGGACAGCTTGGCCGGAGCGAACTGAGGTGAAGTCATCTGTCCGAGGAGGTGGGCAGGGCCAGGCTCAGTGGAGCACCGTGAGGCTCAGTGCAAAGGAGTTTTTATTCTAAGCACAATGGGAAGTGTTTCTAGCGTGAGGGTGGCGTGATCAGATTTATGTTTAAAAATGATCACTCTGGTTGCCATGTGAGGATCAGGTTGGAGGTAGGCAAGAGAGGAGGCAGGAAGACCAGTTAGGAGATGGTTTTAGTGGCCCAGGTGAGTGAGAGGCAGTTTTAGTTCATCCTAGATGACGGTGGTCAACTCAAGATGTTTGGGAGTAAAAACAATAGGTCTTGATAATGGGTTGGATAGAGAGGTTAAGGAGAGGGAGATGTTGAGGATGACTCTGGTTTCTGACTTGCACAGCTGGGAGGACAGTTGTAGCTGCCATTCCCTACTTAAGGACGATTAGAAGAGACCCAGGTTTGGGGTAAATGAAGGAATAGGGCAGGGAGGAAAATCATGAGTTTCAGATATACTGAATTCAAGAAGCTTTCAATACATCAAAAACAAATGCCAACTATGGATTTGGATGAACAGTTACGGAGCTCAAGGTCAAGGCCTGGGTTCAAGATCAAGTTTGTGAGTTTTCTGTGCATTGGTGGCTTTTGAAAGCACAGACATGGATCAGATTGCTGAGGGGGAGAGGATCAGGTAATGAGACAAGTGGTCCTTGGGCTGAACTAGGAGGAACGCCAGGTCTCATGGTTGGGTAAAGAATGGTCTAACAAAGGAGACTGAGAAGTAATCGAGAAAACCCAGAAAAGCATGGGAGGCTAGAGAAGAGTGTCTCTAAGAGAAGGAGGTGGTCAACACTGGGAAATGCTGCTGAAGGGTCAAGCCAGGTTTGAACTTCAAGTTTACATTGGATGGAGCAACAAGATGGTAGGTAGTGACTTTGGCCAGAGTTGTGTCCAAGGACTGATGGGGTGGAAGCCAGGTTAGAGGCTCACAGAACAAGTGAGACGTAAAGAAACGGAGTCAGCAAGTCGAGATGGGTCTCAAGAAGTCTCTAGAAAAGGGGGAGAGAAAAGGACCTCAAGTATGTGAGAAAATGAATCCACAGGGAAAAAAAGCAAAGAAGGATTTGCAACCCAACAGTTATTGTCCCCTTTTTACAGGAAACTGAGAGTCAAAGAAGTCTCTTCCCAGCCAGTGTGTGGGAGACTAGATTTGAACTCATGTCTGTTCAGGGCAACCCAAAGGAGCACTCATCATAAAACGTTCTGGAAGCTCCAGGGTGCGGGCTGCCACCTCCACGCCTCTGGCGTTGGAGGAGTACACCCCTTCTGAGCGCTCTGCTCCCCGACGCGTTCTCTTTCAGAGCAGGCACCAAGTCCGCGCAGAGGATGGATATTCCCACTGACCCTCTCATCTTTTCTTCTGGTAGCTTTGCATCATTTTGATCTTGTCCTTTCTCCAAAGACGACAGCACTGTAGACAGAGAGATGACACTTCCTACCTCCTGGGGAACCACTTTGGAATTGTCATGTGAGTTGAGCCAGGGCTGATCACTGCAGCTTGTAGTACCAGAGATTGGGGCCAGCACCAGTGGTCAGGCCGGGATAACTCCCAGCTACCACCCCCACCCGCCTCTGCCTCACTGTGGACAGCCCTGCCCCTCCCTGCCCCAACCCAAACCAAACTCTGACAGTTCAGGACTGGTTTTCAAGCCATTGTACCCTAGGCACCCATGGCAGCTCACATGTGCTTAACACATCTCAACAAGGAGGCTCAGATCACAATGGGAAGGGCCTTCCCACATCAGGACTATGGCTGCCTCAGGAAGCACAGGAAGAGAGTTCCCTGTCCCTGACGGCAGCGAGCCTTCATGTTGGAATGGTACCGTGAGTCACATGCCAGGAAAGCATTGGACCAGGGAACTTTCAGGGCCTTCCTAGCTCTGCCATTCTGAGGCTATGCACCCCTCACCCCATTTTCCCTTAATATCTAATCATTCATATCTCTTCATAATTATCATTAATATTTATTAATATTTCTAATAATTATAATAAATCACTTAACATTTATTGCACAGTGATATGACCCAGGCAGTGAACCGTTTGCTTTGCCTACATTACTTTGATGAACCCTCTTGCCAACCCAGCATGGTAGAGGTTGTTATCCTCATGTAATGGATGAGCAAACTTAGGCTCAGAGAAGTTAAGTGACTTGCCCAAGACCACACAGTGCAATAAGTGTCAGGAGCTTTCACCCAGGTTTGGTTGATACTTGCTCTGATTCCCCCAGTGTCTTAACCTAAGCAGGCTCAAGCACACGGGCATGCCGAGACCTCAGCATTGGCCTCTGGAGAAGTAAGAGGAGGGCAGGATGTCAGGACCGGGGCTAGAGGTGGCCTGGACTTCCAGGCGAGGGAAACCCAACTGCCGTGTCCAAGGACTGGGAGGCCAGCACTGAGTGGCAGACTTGGTCTGGATACCACCCATTGGCGCGGTCAGCCCCTCCCAGGATGCCAGGTCTAAGCCACATGGGTTGGGGAACAGAGAAAGTCTGAGGCTGGTAGATCCTCAGACTCTGCCCTGAACATTTGGCCTGTAGGGCCTGGTGCCTGACTTTTTAAGAAGTAGGTGCTCAATATGGGTCACATTAAACAGCTTTGAATTAAATTGACAATGGCATAATTCACTTACTCTGTGCTCATCAAAACCTCTGATTTTCTGAGTGGTTCTGGCTCACTGTCTTTGCTTATTAGTCAGCCCTCCTGTGCGTGCGGCTTTCCACAGTTTATAAAGCAGTTCTTCATTTGCAGTCCAGAATGGCTCTGTGGTTGGGCAGAGCAGGGGTTTCCCTCTCTGCTTTAAAGATAGGGAAACTGAGTCTCACAGAGCGCTCAAGTACTGCAGGTGAGACTGATTAGAATCCAACTCAGTTTAACAGAGTGCGTGTCTGTGGATGTGCAGTGCACCTACTGTTTTCAAGGTCCTGTGCTAGGTCCCTACCCCAGAGGAGTTCATGGTTTATGGAACAGGTGACAACACTAAGGAATGTGTGGGAAACATGGACATGAACTTAGGGGACACTGAGCGGACACTGATGGGACAGCCGCGAGGTGTGCCTGACTGGGAGTGGGAGGTCAGGGAGGCTTCAGAGAAGAGATGCTCCTGAGCTGATCCTTGAAGGTGACGAGGAGAGAGGCAAAGGGCACAGGAAACTGAGATTGCTCTCGGCCCCACGCTGAGTTTTCATTTAGGCCGCTGCTTCGGGTGGCGCTTTGCGGGGAAAGCCTTCTCTCTTTTCCCGAATGCAATTGCTTACTCCGATGCAGACAAATCTCTCTTGATGAGAAGAAACAGATATCCATCCAGTAAAGCTTGTTTACATAAAAGGAAAAGACAGATTTTTAAAATAAAGTGTCGAGATCTCACAGAAACTGCAAGGCCAGACTCGTGGGAACTGGGGCTTTGAAATGGGCATCTCTGGGAGACTGATCCTCTCTGTTTCCTCCTCTCTGTGCCACTGGGGCTCCCTCAGCACCATTTTACCATTTCGTCTCTGTCACCTGACTTAAGACCTCCACTTCTATAAAGCCTCAGCTTGCCTCTAACACTGATTCTGGTCCAAACTTGGCGTGACTTTCTAGAACAGAATATTAACAGCGGATTGGCTCAAGTCCTCAGGGCCACGAGTCCAAAATGTAAGACCAGACATCTGACTGGTTCATCTAAAGTCAATTGGTCACCCACAGGCCAGTCAGCTGTGGCCAGGAAGGTGTGATTGCATGGAACTAGCACAGCCAATGATACCCAGGCCTTCCCAGGAATGTTGGAAAGAACTCTCATAGACCCTGGCTGGGTGCAGGGCAAGCTCTCCCATGCCTGTCTCGGACATTCTCTTTGTTTTGGTCTTTCCAGTCATACCACCCATGTCTATCATAGATGAAACTCATCCCCTTTTGCTTGTTGGTATGGCTACTGGTGTCCTTGTTTGTGTCCTCTTAGACTTGAAGCATCTCAATGGAAAGAATTTTGTCTTCCTCACTTCAGTGTCCTGAATCAAAGCCTAGCTCCAGCATTGGCGCACAGGGCCTAAGAAAATGTCAGTTGAAACAAATAGTTCACTCCCCAATCATTCACCCCCAGGGTGGGTTTGGTACTCTGGGGATGTCTCAGAGCCACGTTCTGGCCTCATGTGCTGTTTCTCTCGTTCACAGACCTCTGGACTTCGTGGGCACTTTTAGTAACCGATGGTCCTATGGGATCGCCTTTGGGGCCACAGCCAATAAGGTCATGTTCTTGTTCTCAGAAGGCTACCAGCCCCTGCAGGTCCCGCAGTGGGCCCAAGGTACCAGGGCCAACTCATTACTGCTGGGAATTTAACTGTGGAAATTCTTGCTCTCAGAGACAGCATGGCAGGAGTTCTCTGGGATCGGGGGTAAGCTTGGTGAGCTCAGTGTTCTTCTCAGCCTGTTACTTGTTCAACATCAAAGCTTGTTTGTGGGGACTTTCTGCCAGTTAGATTCAGAGGTCCTTTAGACATAGTAGGGCAAAGGCTCAGAAAGTATTTTCACCACCTAAAAATCATTTGTGCGTCATAGCGATGGCTGATACTCCCTCAAAGAACACATCTTCTTTGGCCATGGATCTGGGGCCTCTTCATCCTCCATGCCTCATGCTTTCTTTTCCCTGAAGTAGAAACTTTAATCTACAGCTTCAACTATCCCTAATATAACAACTTCACAACCTCTCTGTCTAACCAGTTTTCCCTCAGTGATTCTTGTGTGTTTTTTTATGTGGTCTGTTTCCACCCATTATACTGTGAGCTAATCAAGGGTAGGGAGCAAGTCTTCATCACCTCAGTAGCCCAGTGCCTGGCATGGAAGAGGCACCAGGAAGAGGTACCTGTTGCATGAATGAATGAAAGACATTCCTGCATTCCTCCTTGTGCTAAACTGGGGCTTGTCCACTCATCTTCTTGGGTCCTGAGGTCCATGACTGCAAGTCAGCTCAAAGCCCCATAGCTTCCCTCGGACTCACCCGAGCCCATGAGAAGAGGCACTCACAGCATCTCTGGCCCTGTCTCTCCCAGCCTTTGTGCTTCTGATCGGAGGCGTTGAAGTCGGCCTGTCCCACTTCCCCTTTTTTGCCTGCCTCTCCTCGGAGTTCCAACTGGTCAGCTCCATCCTGGGCTTCAGCTACTCTCTGATCTGGTAAGATAGACGCTGCCTGCCTGCCCTCCTGCAATTCTTTTGGCCATTGGTGAACTCTGGACAAAGGGCTGGAGGTGACCTGAGAGCTCTCTTTGGGAGGGCACCTTTGCTCAGAACGTAGGCCCAGGGCAGGCGGAGTGACTGGTCCACGGTCCCCTGCCACCCCTCCTTGGGACTGCACTTGAGGATCCAGAAGGTCAGGCCAGCATTCTGTCTGCTTCACAGGAGGCCACTCATTATTCAAATAGTCCCACTAATCAGAGATGTAGATGAATTTTTCTACATCTCTGATTACAGTGAGAGCCGAGAGACTCCCACTGGTGGAAGCAGGAGTCCCATGTGGATGCTTCTTCTGTGTGCTACCATGGCTTCCCCGGAGCCCAGGAGAAAGTGCATGTGCCTCAGTGGGGCATTCGGGGCATCCTCGCCTCTCTCCTATCTCTCCCCACCCCTTGACCTGCCTCTGACACACATACAAGTCATATAAAATTCCCATGTTCCTTCATCCATTTATTCATTCAGCAAACATGCTATGACATCCCCACATAAGCCAGGGAATGTACTGGAAAACAAGACAAACCCTTGTGATTATGTGTTCTGGCCACTTTGTCTGTATGTTGCTCTTCCCTGTGGGGATCATCTTCCCCCGCTGGCCCGGTGGCAGACATTCGCTCCATCCTTTGTGGATTGTCGCCCCCACAGGTGGGAGCTCCCTGGCCCTTTTGTCGAGCTCTGTGCCCTCAGTGCTGGCACCAGACCCCCGCACAGACCTGGCCCTTGGGAGTACTTGCCGACTGGATAATCCCACGGGCAGTTCCACTCTCCAGTCCTGATGGGCCCGTTTCCTTGCCCACATCTCCTTCCTGGGCAGGGGTTCTAGGCCCCGTGTATGAGTCATGCAGGGGGCTGACGAGCAACTGGCCCATGAATGGCTGCAACTCCAAAGTGTGTAAGTGGCTTGCTTTTAAAAAATTAAAAGAGAAGATATTCAGTGTTGGATACGAAGTAATATCTCAGCCTATGACAGACTTTTGGACCAGGAGAGGACAGGGTGTCAGGAATCACACAACAGCTTGGGCACCGTGGGAGTATGACCCAAGCTTGAACATGACCAGGAATGTGTGTTCAGAAGGGGTAAAGCCTCAAGGCTCATTCCTCAGGGCAGTGATTGTAGATAAGGGCACGTCCAGGCCGAAAGAACCTCAGCCCCAGAGTCCAGAGCCCTGGGTCTTGGTCCTGGCTCTGCGTGTGACTCCAGACAGACCCCTTGCCATCTCTGGGCTTCAGTCTTCCCACCTGAGTGACGGGGGAGGGAGGATGAGATCTCTCAGGGTCTCCCTGCTCTGCCATTATGGATCTGGGATTGTGCCTGAATCGAGGGCATCAAATGCATTTTGTTGCATGTACTTAGGCACAAGCAGGGCACCTGGTCTGTGCGGGATATACACGGAGGCCTGGGGACCAACCCCGTCAGGGAGGGTACTCCAAGCTGGTGGGATCTGGGCTGCTGTCACAGAGGCTGTGCTGGGTGTACCCTAAGCTCTACTTCTCTCCTGCAGGTTCGCTGTTACCGTCCTTCACATCGCACAGTGTCCCCACGGAAGGGTGAGTCCCCACTGAGCTATGTTTAGGGCATTCTGTCCATATCACCATGACCAACTTGCTGTGTGACCTTGGACACGGCCACTCTACGGGCCTTAGCTTCCTCCTGTGGACAAAAGGGAGTTGGAGCCCTGCATGAGGCTTCCATTGCATAGTATCTTATGTTCACCAAGGTGCTGATTCACAGGCAGATGTTCTCTCAGTTAATGCTCAACAGCAGCCCCTCAGGGTGGGGAAGCTCTCAGCAAGGCTACTTTATAGGTGAGGAAACGGAGGCATAAAGATATAAAGTAACTCTGGAGAAGCAGCAGATCTGGGCACTGAGACCAGGGCTGGCTGATTCCAGAGCTCATTTCCACTCCTTCATGCAGCCTCAGTTTCTCTGTCCACTGATGGGAGACTTGGACTAGATGAACCCCTTCCAGCTTTTCCGTGCGTTGTCCTTCTCAGAGCTGACACACACTGGCTCATCTGTTTAGCCCTGTACCCCAAGAAAGAAAGCAAGGTGTCTCTCTCTCCCTCTCCCCTTTTCTCTCTTTCTCCTCTCCCCCCTTTCCCCCTCTCACTTTCTCTGTGTATTTTCCAAAAGGAGCACTTGATACTGAATCAGAAAAAGAGCCATGAAAGCTCTTTGTAGAAGATGAAGTGGGAGTGCTAAGACTCAAATCCAGGGCCGCTGGGCTCCCAGTCCACTGCTTATTCCTATGACGCGGGGCTGGGGGAGCAGGGATCCGAGCTCTGAGCGAGTGGGCCTTGGTGGGAGCCGGCCGGGGCAGGCCGACTCCTGTCCACCGCTTCGCCAGGGGCCTGGCCCTGCCCCGTCTAGATCCAGTGCTCAGCGGTCTGCTTCTGTTGCAGTTTTTGGGGAGGTACGAGGCCATCATGTTCTCCTGGCCCTCCCTGCTCTGCCTGTCCTTCCTGCTGGGCCGCTTCCTACACATGTTTGTCAAGTGTCTGAGGGTCCACCTGGGCTGGGAGCTCCCGATGGTGAGTACTGCGTGTAAGCCCTGTCCGTGTCCTGACAGGTGTGCCCTTCACAACAGTCCTGGGAGGTAGGTACTGCGATTGCTCCTCCCATTCTGTAGGAGGAAACTGGGGCCCAAAGAGGCCAGTTGTATTGCACAAGGTCACGTACCTGGTCTGTAGCAGAGCCAGAACAGGAACCCAGGCAGTTTGCTTGTTGAGGGTCTTTTTTAACCACTGCTCTTTTTCTAATTCCTTGAGGTATAAAATTAGGTTGTTTATTTGAGGGCTTTCTTTTTGTTAATGTAGTCATTTGCCACTGGAAACTTCCCTCTTAGAACTGCTTTTGCTGTATCCCATAAGCTTTGGTATGTTGTATTTCTATTTTCATTTGTTTTAAGATGATTTTTGATTTCCCTTTTGGTTTTTGTCTCTGACTCACTGGTGGTTCAGGAGTGTGTTGTTTAACTTCTACATATTTGTGAATTTTCCAGTTTTCTTCCTGTTATTGATTTCCAGCTTTATGCCAAAAGATACTTGATACTTAAATGTGTTAAAACTTGTTTTGTGGCCTAACATGTGATCTATCCTGGAGAATGTTCCCCGTACTCTTGAGAAGGATATATATTTTGCTACTCTTGGATGGAATGTTCCGAATATGTTTATTTGTTGAATTTGATCTATAGTGTTGTGCAAGTCTGCTCTCTCCATACTGATTTTCTTACTTGGATTATCTATCCATTGTTGAAGGTGTGGTGTTGAAATTCTACTATTATTGTGTTGCTGCATATTTATCCCTTCTGTTTTATTAAGAATTACTTTTCTATTTAGGTGCTCTGATGTGGAGTGCACATATAATTGTTACATTTTCTTGAGCAGTTGACCCCTTTATTATTACATGGTAATTCTCCTTGTCTCTTGTGAAACTTTTTGACATAAGGTCTCTATTGTCTCATATAAATACAGCAACCCTTGCTCTATTTTGGTTACCATTTGTATGAAATATCTTTTTTCCAATCCGCTTTACTCCCCACGTGTATCCTTAAAGCTAAAGTGAGTCCCCTACTGACACCCTGTATTTGTAGTTTTTTCTAATCCATTCAGCTGCTCTATGTCTTTTGATTGGAGAATTTATTCCACTTACATTTAAAGAAATTGATAGGTAAGGACTCAAAATCACCATTTTGTTAATATTCTGACTGTTTTGTAATGCTATTTTTCTTGCTTTTTTTGTGCGGTGATTTTTTTTGTGGTGGTATGCTTTGATTCCTTTTTCTTTACCTTTTGTTTAATATAAAACAGGTTTTTCTTTGTGATTACTATGTGGCTTACCTAAAACATGTTATAGATATAACAGTCTATTTTAAGCTGATAACAGCTTACTTTAATTGCATAGAAAAACCGTACATCTTTACTCTCACTTCCCCTCATGGGAGAATTTGCAAGCCAAGGCGGAGGTCTCAATGCACTGAGCTGTGCTACCGTGGAGGACAGGTGACGTTGGTAAAGTGAACCTGTTCTTCCTACCCTCTCCAGCGCATCTATTCTCAGAGTTTTTGCCTGCCTGGGGTTCTGGAACCTCCCACATGCATTGTTGCGTGCCCACAAAGGTGTTCTCATCTGTGTGTGGTTGTCAAAACTGGTGCATTAGAGTGGGCCTGGGGGCTGGAACTCCCCATTCCTCCACCCTGTTGACATCACTTACCAGTCAGGATTCTAACCAGATCCTTTGTACTCTACCCAACACCTGCAAGATATAAGATTTCATCTCATGGCATGAAAAATTTACATATTCTCTCTATAGAGCAAAATCATAATATTATGGAAAGCTCATTACACCTGGAGAAAGCATTTGAAAACATGCCATTGAAGTTGGTTTTATTAAATACTGCAAAACAAAAAATGAGCAAAGAAACTCCTCCTATTCATAAGAAGTGAAAACACTGGGATTTTGGGTGCTTCATTCCTGAAACAATGTTTTGAAGTGTGATGGGAAATCACCAAGTCTCGAAGAGAAAAAGGCCTTCGCAGAACAAGGACTGGTGCAGTCAGTAAGCAAAACCTGGGGCATTTCGTGAAAGCAAGTGCTCAGTAAGCAGGGGCCTGGACCCCGCCTGCCCTTCTCTTCATTAGATGACAGGTGTCTGGGAATGCCTGACTCCAAAAGAGAAAGTTTTGCCCAAATTCCTGCCCTCTATGGCAATGGCCCCTCACAGAGACCAAGACCCTCACAAGAATGTGTGAGCCAAAGCCTATCCCTCTCTCTTTTCTCACAGGAAGAAAAGCCATTCCTGGAACCTCACCAGGCAGAGCATGTCAAACAGCTCCTGCGGAAGCCGAGCCTGCAGTAAGCCCCAGTCTGAGTCATTCGCCCTCCTGGTGGCGCCAGCACTGATGGGGTGTGACAGTGTGGGACCCTACGATGCCTGGAAGTGCTCTGTGTTGGTCAGGACTCTTGTTTGCTAGTAACAGAAACTCAACTCAAACTGGATTAGAGAGAAAAAGGAAATGTATGGCCTTACATAATTTAAGTCTAGTGGTTGTCAGTTTCAAACAGAGATGGATCCAGGGTTTTATTCCTGTCATCAGAACTAGGTCTCTTTCCCTTGTCTGCTCTTAGCTCTGCTTTTATCTGGGTTAGCCTTCAGGTTCCATGGTGGACCCCAGAATCTCTAAGCTTATACCCTCCTGGTTTAAGCTCACAGGAAAGATAAATTTTCCTATCTAATTTTCAGCCAAAGTCCCATTGGGTCAAAATGGACCAAATGCCATTCCAGAACCAGTTACTGTGGCTAGGGGACTGGAGTAAAGCGATTGTTAAGACTGGGTCACAAGGTTACCCCTGGAACGAGGAAGTAGTTCAGCCTAACCTGACCACTAAGATTGATAGTGGGAAAGGAGTAGATTGTCAGAGAAAAACTCACATGGCCTTACCAATAAAAGGGGACATAGCTCTTGGCCAGGCAAAAGTACAGGATCTTCAAGGGTCATAATCGTCACCCTACCTCTGCCACTAGGTACAAGAGAATATGCCCCGGAGAAGGGACCTGTCTAATCCAAATCACAGTGGCAAAGCTAGTACTTTCGTTAGAACTATGCTTGGCTACATGTAGCAAAAAGCACAAATACTAGTGGCACAGATGAGAGAGATGTATTTCTCATGTAAAAGAATCCTGGAGACTGCAGTCCATACTGACTGTGGACTGCTCACTGTGGAAGTTTACTGATCATCCATCTTTCTCCTTCAGTATTTTGGTGGTTTCCATCATGAAGTCTGCCCATGGTCTCAGGTAGATTTTGGGGCTCCAGTCTGGACCAGCCACTACGCCAGCATTTCAGATGCCAAGCAGGCGGAAAGATGGAAGGGCAATGGAGGTTCCTTCTAGCTGTGCCGATTCCATCTAAGCTCCCTCCCCAATGTCCCACACTGTCCCTCGGGTCACATCTAATTGCCCTGTACTTAGCCTTGGTCACTCTTAGCTCTAAGAGAGGTCTGAAACTATAGCCTTTCAGTTTGGTGAATTGCTGCACGAAATAAAACCGAATCCCAGTTCTTTAGAATAAGGGGAGAATGAAACTGTGGAATCAACCAGTGTTCTTTCTCTTCACTAAAACCCAAGGGGAAGAGGAGCAAATGAGGCTATTTTCCAAAGAATCAGGCATTTGTTTTCCAACTACAACCTATCTTTTCTTGGTGTTTACTCATTAACAGAGAGGGAAAAAAGTCTTGGTTCCAAACCAGGATATACGAGTGGGACCCCTGCTTTCAGTTCCCAAGCCGAATGATTGGAACCGTGGTGTTGGCTTTCATCTGCCTGTACCTTGTAAGTAGATCTGAACACGTCCTTTTCTAATTTATAAATGGGGTGGGGCTAGGGTAGGGGTTGTTCTTAAAAAGATGGCTCAAAATTTAATCTCTGTAAATCCAAGAAGTACAATTCTTTGACAGAACAATTTTGACTCCAAGCACATTTTTACCCACAAGGTGAATATTACTAATAAATATAATAAGGTTATTGATGGAGACTTCCAGTTGCCAATTCCACATGTAAAGAGCCTGCAAAAAAGCCATTCCATCCTAACAACAAATGAAAATCGAAACAAACTGAAAGAAGTCAACAACTCTTAGATTTGTGTGAGAAATGAGGTTACAGGGCGAAGCATTGCCCCTAAGTTGTAGAGACAGAGGATCACAACAGAATGGAGCAGAAACCCCACAGGATTCAGTGCCGAGGCAGGAAAATCTGAACTGTAATTGACACCGTCAATCAACTGGAATTTTGGACATTCATAGACTACTTAACCAACAAGAATAGAATACACATTTTTCTCAAGATGACACAGAAATTTCACCAAGATGGACCAAATCCTGGACCATAAAACACACCTTAACAAATTTAAAAGAATAGAAATTATGAAATGTTTGCTTTCAGACCACAGTAGAGTTACACTAGAAATAAATAGCAGAAAGATAACTGGAAAATTCCAAAATAGTGGAAATTAAACAACATACTTCTATGTAACGATGGGTTATAGAAAAAAATCACAGGAGAAATTAAAAATAAACTGAACAAAAATGAAACGAACTAAGTGAAAATGCAAACACACTTATCAGATTTTGTGGGAGGTAGCAAAAGCAGTGCTTAGAGGGAAATCTATAGCATTAAATGTATAAATTAGAAATGAAGAAAGATCCACATCAATGTCTAAGCTCCTACCTTAGGAAACTAAAAAAAAAAAAGAGCAAATTAAATACAAAGTAAGCAGCAGAATAGATTTAATAAAATTAGAGCAGAAACCCATGAAATTGAAAACAGGAAATTAATAAAGAAAATCAATGAAACCAAAAGCTGGGTCTTTGAAACAATAAAATCAATAATTCTCTAGCCAGACTAAGAAAAAAGGAGAAAAGAAACAAATTACTCATGTAAGAAATGAAAGAGGGAACATCATTACAGAGTCCATGGGCATTAAAAGAATAATAAAGGAATAGTAAGAATAACTCTTATGCCCCCAAATTTTATAACCTAGATGAAAGATACAATCTGCCACAACTCACACAAGATGAAATAGACACTCTGAATAGGCTTAAGGCTATTAAGTTAAATCAATGAGTAAAGATTTTTAAAAACCACCAGGCCCAGATGGGTTCACTGGTGAGTTCTACAGAACATTTCAGCAGGGCTAAGGGAAATATTATGTTATTCTTGTTACTTTGCCAAATAAAATCATGTCATTTAAATATAGATTAATCAATCCTGACAAATAATTTCAGTGAATTCAAAATAAAAGTGGATAAATTTACTGTACTATATTTCAAAAAAGGATCAAAAATTAAAATGTCTTATTTCATTTGGCCCCTATTTAAGTCTGCTTTCTCAATAAGGCATTTTAAATGTTGTCATAATTGAGACTTCAATATTCAATATACTTTTTATTAAGTGCAGAATCAAAACATTTCACATGGTCAGACTTATCCAAGGTAAACTGTCGGGGTTGAAAGCGGGATAAAAATGGAGGAATAAAAATGGCAAGGCCAAATTGGTTCTGCTCATTGTAGATGGGCAGGGATGATATCCATAAATATTAACCCTATGATTAAATTTTAAGTGACTGTATCAGTTAGGTTTTGGTGAAGTACCACATAAACCCTTACATTTTAGTGACTTAATATGGAGTCACTAAATATTAAACTAGACACTAATATCTAGCGCCCACATAACCATGTTGAGCAGCTGGGTGTTCAGGTTTGGGAGGCAGCAGAGCTCCGTTTGTTATTCCATACCAGGTTCTTCCATCTTCTGCTTCATCATCCCTGAAAACACTCACGGTCTACATCCAGTCAGCAGAAGGGGAAAGTGCATGGAGTAGTGCATGTGGGAGGCTTTCAAAGGCCCTTTTCCATTGACAAAAACACTGTCATGTGGCCACGCCTAACTCAAGGGAGGCTGGGAAATGTAGTCCAGCTTTCTGCCCAAAGGAGGGGAGAATAGATTTTAATGGACTACTAGAGTTCTCTGCAACAGTGAATAATTCACTTGGAGTTATGTTTCTTAAGTCTTCATTGGTTATCTACAATGTCAAGCACTATGCTAACACCTGGAAGAGAAGGGAACTGATTTAGCAGAGTGTTGGCCTGGGAGAAGCCCATGGTTTAAGAGGACGAGATAAGATATGGTATAAAGTACCTGCCATCTAAAGTGAGACAAAAGAAAGGTGAATGTGCTCTGGACGTTTAATGAATTATTCTAGATTCAGAAGCTGCCTGAAGACGAGAGCATTTGAGCTCCACATTCAGAGGTAAACAAGATTCGGCTGGCAAAGTAAATGGCGGCAGGAACTCTAGAAGTAATGGCATGATCGTGGGGGGCGTGGGGGCATGATAACAGGAAGACAGGGATGAGCAAGCATCACATGTACAGGAAATGGTACCTTCTTCACTTTGGTTTCACTAAGATGCGAGAAGGGGAGCGATGAAGAGATATGACTGGCCTTGTCCCCAAGGTCACCCCTTATCCAACATGACGCATTCACCTCACTTTGATTTAGTTAATGCTTGAGCCCTTAGGGCCTCGCGTGTACTGTAGGGCGAAGAACAGAGTTTGATGTATCTCCCGCCTACAAAGAAGCCACAATCCCATTGATCTTAGTATAGCCAGTGTCCAGCGTCTGGTTAGGATGAGTGCTGAATTTCAAAAAGTTTTAACTCAAAACCACAGAGAGACCCATATGTGATTCACATACTGGGCAAAAGCTGGACTCAGGTGAGACCTTGAACTGTTTGCTCTGTGTCCCCAGTTCATTGTCATTGAGTTCTGCATGTTCGTGTACGTGAGAGATAAGCTGGATGTGTTTGAAGGCGAGTTAGAGAGCTACATTGCCTCCATGAACCAGACCGGGACCCTGACCCCAGTCATCCTGCAGGTGAAAGAGCTGATAAACAGCTCCAAAGGTAAAACCATCCTTGCGCATAGTTGCTCTTTGACTGGAGGTGGATCACCACCCCCAGAAAGTGGCAATTAGAAGTTCAATGAAGTTTTACAAGGAGGAAAGCTACCTACAATGTATATACGTCTTAATTTTTTTTTCCCATTACTTACTGGATTGAAAATATTTATGCCAAAGGAGAGGATTGTAAAGGAAATAAAGTATTTCAAGGGTGTGTGTAGCTAAAATGAAACAAATATATACACAAAACTGTATTTACACAAGAAGTGTGTTAAAGGAAGTATAATATATTTTGCCCAGACCTTTCTGATGTTAGTTTCTGCATTTGGAAAATAATATTTCTGGTTCATCTTTGGAGGTTTCTCCTATCACCTTTTCTGTTTCAGGAGTTTGGGTGGTTACCATTTTGCCTGCTTCCCTCACGTGTGTGACTTATCTCTTCCACATCTTGGCTTGTTACAGGTAAAAGGGCTCAGGGAGTTACTTGTGTGTCTTCAGCCAGGAAAGCATCTAACCGAATTTTCTAAGAATTCCCAAACAGTGCTAGCAGTGCCCAAACTGGAACCAGGAGTGCATGCAAAGTTCAGAGACAACCACATCTGTTGTCAATAAACAAACACACAGCTCTTGGCTTGCACTTCTACTATAATCTAGACATTGTGTTAGAATCGTTTGATTTTCACCACAACCCAGAGGAGTACTTTCATCTCCATGTTTATAACCAAAAGAGCTGAGACTCAGCAAAATAATTTGTCCAAGCAGTTAGCCACTGATTATGTCTTCCAGCCTGAGACCTTGACATTTCTTCTACACTCTGGCATCTCTGCGGAGTGTCAGACCTGCCCTGCTCTCCAGGACTCATCACACTAGGCCATGAGTGTGGACAAAGGTGGCTCAAGGGGACATCGGGAGGATTGAGTCAAGGGGACCAGGTGCCTGAATCTCAAGAACAGCAGTCACTGCCATTCAATACATAGCAAGCATATATTTTTTTAAAGATTTTATTTAAGTATTTATTGAGGGGGGAAAGAAGGAAGAAAGAAAAGGAGAGAAGCATTGATATGAGAAAGAAACATCGATTGGTTGCTTCTCATACATGTCTGATCAGAGACTGAACCCGCAACCCAGGCATGTGCCCTGACTGGGAATCAAGCTGGCAACATTTTGCTTTGCAGGATGATGCCCAACCAACTGTGCCATACCAGTCAGGTTCATAGGGAACATTTTCATGCAGGTAGCAGTTGAATTTTCGGTATCTCATGCTCACCCCTCTGTCTCTCTGCCTTTGCCTTTACCTCTGGTGGTCTCTCTGTCTCAGTCTCTAACTCATACTTGCCAACTCAAAGGAAGCTTAGGGCCAATCTCCCACCCCCCTCAGAACATCCTGCTTTTGCATCCTTACCATCCGGCTGCCCACGGGGCGAGTCTTTTGCCAATGGCATCCCAAGGAAAGACTCCTGGCACAAAGAGACTCTTCATCCCCACCCTGCCTTGCTCCCTCTCTTCATGTTCTTCTCCCTGGACCCTGTGGGTGAGCTGGACACTCATGCTGTCCTTTGCCTTGTCTTGTGAAGGGAGGTGTCTGTTCCTTCCTTGATTAGTCTGCAAGTGGCTGGGAGATTTTTGCTGAGGCTTTTGACCACAACTAGGGACAACCACTGTGCAGAGCAGGCTGCATGGATGTGGGCAGAGGGCAACTGAGGGTACCAAGAAGACAAGTCCCTGGTGCTGGGGAGGCCTCACTCCTGTCTAGGCTGGCTCCTCCCTCCCACACCTGTCACCCAGGTGTGATGACCCCTGCCCTGCCTCCTTTACAGAACAATGGGGCAGAGGAAATAATGGATGAGAAAGCACCCTACAAACTGGGAAGCACTAGCACTGTGCCAGTATTTTTATCGTTCTTAGAATTATTCCAACTTACATACAAACTCTTTTTAAAAAATGGTACAGCCCTGGCTGGTGTGGCTCAGTGGATTGAGTGCCGACCTGCAAACCAAAGGGTCGCTGGTTCGATTCCCAGTCTAGGGCACAAGCCTGGGTTGCAGGCCAGGTCTCCGGTAGAGGGCTGGTGAGAGGCAACCACATATTGATGTTTCTCTGTCTCCCCTCTCTAAAAATAAATAAGTACAATCTTTAAAAAAACGGTACAAAAATATTTAATGTAAAGTAAGTCTTCCATTCAGATCCCAATTTGTTGTCCCTGAGCTAAACACTATTATTCATTTTTCTGAGCATCCTTCCAGAAATTTTCTGTGCTAATATATCTCTGTGTTTGTTTTCCTGGTTGCACGCTCTACTTCAGTGCTACAAAATAAGAATACAGTGAAAACCACAGATGTACTTTTTAATTTTCTGGTAGACACTATTAAAAAAGTAAACAGAAAGGTGAAAATAATTTAATAATATATTCACCCTAACATAACCCAAACACTATCACTTCCACATGTAAAGAATATGCAAATGATTAATGAGATGTTTCTACTCTTTACTTCATACCAAGTCTTCCCAATTCAGTGGTCCTGAAATTACAAAACAATCTGGGAAATGCCGGAGGTAGAATGTTAAGAAAAAAGCAGGGCCCAGATGTCAATTTGGACAGTGAACTTGACTACGTCAACCTAATCTTTATGCCAAGGTCCAGGCCGAGACTAGCACATGGGGAAAACACACAGTGATTTCTTGGGCTGCTGGGCTTGTCAGGGGGCATGCCCCCCTTTTTATTTCCCTTTACGTTGTTTTAAGGTGGGGGGATATCATCGTTTTAAAAGTATTATCACATAAATAGTTTATATTCACTGTAGAAAAAAATAAAGCACAATGAATAAAAGCCACATACATATCTCAAATATCTCAAATGTCAAAGTCTCAAATATCACAGTCACCATTAAGACTAGGTAATTATATATTATTTTTATAAAACATATTAAATTTAAGATTTTTAAGACTAATCCAAACTATCTCATGAGTTGTGACCAACACGAGGGGCTAAGCTGCCTGCTATTCCCCTCCACAGGCCTTTCTGTTTATATCTATTGAGTTCTAAGTGCATGGGGAGCTGTGGTTATGAACATTACTCATTTCCCTCCCTCTCTCTAGAAAGCACATGAAGAGGTTGTGGGCAGGAAATAAACACTTCCTCCCCCTGAAGTTCCATAGCCCTTCCTCATCAGAAAGTGTGGTAAGTCTACAGAGGCCTCTCTCTGCTCTGGGACTAAATGGTTTACCAACGCTTGCTGTCTTGCACCTCAGGCAGGGCAGTGTAAGGGGAAGACCCTCAGTCCAGAGTCCTCAGTTCTCGGGGGCTCCGCTGCTGAGTGACTCAGGACAGTCACTCTCCTCATGTAGCCCTCGGTTGGTTTCCTCATCTGTAAAGTGAGGACAGTCACCTGCCTTGGTGGGTTGGTGGGTGGATCTCCAAGGAGACAGGGATGCTAGACATGTGGGTCAGAGGTAATCAAGGTTTTCTCCCCATTGGGATCCTTTTTTTTTTTTTTTTTTTTTTAATCCTAGGTGGCCATTGCAAGGTACTCTGGCTGGCAAATAGCCTACATTTTGTGGGGTAAGTGCCATCGTGCGACCGATTCCATCCAACGCACATTACCTGGGCCCCTGCAGAGTGCTGGTGTGGGTTGAGAGGAGAGAGGTGAGGCAGAAGCAGCCTCAGCTCCTGCCTCTGAGGAACCTCCAGGAAGGAGAAAGAATCACATACTCATACAGATCACCATCACCACCTGTCCTGAGCCCACGGGGTAGATATGCCAAGGGCGGCGGTGACCCAGAGGAGGAAGTTACTGTCCACACCTAGGGCAGGGCTTGACTACATTCTAGGGGCACTGACAGTTGAACCGCACCTGGCAGGGTGAGCAAAAGGTCAGCAGGAAGGAAAGTGAAGGCGTGCCAGGCAGAAGAAACAGCATAAACAAATGTTCCAGCACCTTGGGTGGGAGGAGGATAGGTCGGGGCTGCAAACAGGGACACGGGTGACTGGGTGATGAAGGGCCTTGGGTGACCAGCAGCTCCCTTGGCCCACAGGCTACCTCATTATCCACGTGGTGCAGAGCTTATTTGGCATGGTGATCATGTACAGCCTGGTGTTGCCCGTCATCCACAACCAGGGCCTAGAGATGCTCCACAGACTGGGCATCAGCATGTAAGTGCTCGGTGGGCTTCCTGCCATGGCCCAGGGCCTCAGAGCTGGTGGGCCCTCGCAGCTGCTGTTCAAAATGCCCCTCTGCTAAGCTGTCACCAACCCCTGGACCCACACTCTTAGGTCTGGCCTAAACATGGGCCAAAATAGCAACTCATCGCAATAGGAACCTTACAATTTACAAAATATTTCCACTCTCATTGTTCAAGGAGGTCCTTGCATTTGTGTCTGTGGCAGATGCACGTAAGTCCATTTTATACCTGGGAAGATAGAGGTTTGGGGAGGTGAAACGAGAGGATGGTGGAATGGAAGGAGAGAGGGGGTCTGAGCTTAGGTTTTAGATCAGTTGTGTGACTTGGGTAAGTTGCTTCTCTGTGCCCCAGTTTCCCCATATGGAAGGTAAAAGTGAATGCTGACATTGAGAATTCACTGTGTGCCTTTCCTCGTAAGAATCCTTTGCGGCTGGGACTTCTGTCAGCTCCCTCTTTTTCAGCTGAGGAGGCAGAGGCACAGAGATGCAAAGCAACTTGTCCAAGGACAGGGGAGAGGCAGGACCGGGAGCAAGGCAATCTGTAACCAAAGACCTCATTTAACCCCTGCTCCACACTACCACTCAGGGGATGCAAACACAGGCTGTGCTGCTCTCTGGACACCTCCCTGCCCTCAGCTCTCCGCTTCCATACTCCCCTAGAGACACCTGTGAGTCTGGTGCAGAACCTGCCCGGTCCACAGCCGCAAGGCCTTCATGAGCTCTTCTAGAAATCCCTTTCCTTTCTTGATTCCCATGCTGTTAAACCACTCATCCCAATTGCTGCCCCTGTATCCTGGAGTTCTGGTCTAGAGCTAGAAACCTGACCATGCAGCTTTGAGAAAGCTACCTCTCCTTTCGGAGCCTCGGTTTTCTCATCTGCACAACGGGCGTGCGAATGCTCTGTAGGCCTATAGCACAGAGCTCATTGCTACTGTTGGTCTGGCGGGCCATCAGCACCTCACTGCTTTTTATCACTGGGCATTTGAGAAGGGTTTGAGAAGAGTGGACAAGGCCCCCTCAGATGATTTCACCCTGTGTTTCAGCCTCACCATATCCATCGTCCTGGGTCTCATGATCATGCAGGTATGGATTGCCTCCAGCTTCTTCCTACAGCCAAAGATGGGCACAGCTGACAAGCAGAAGCCCTTGGCACTCAACAACAGGTGAGGGCAAAGAAGGGAATGGAGACTGCAGGACTTTGGCCTCAGCAATCTCTCATTCTTTTCTCTTCGCCGTCCTCAGGTTCCTGGGTGGACTCTGCACTTGGAGGGTGAGGGGCAGTGGTTGAGGAGTGGGCGGAGACAAACTCCCTGGGTCCAAATCCTGGATCCACCCCTTATAAGCTTTCTTATCTTGTGTGCCTTTACTAAACATCTATGAATGTCAGTTTCCTCATTTCACAAATAATTGTGCAGACCTCAAAGAGGTGTTCTGAGGATGAAATGTATTCATATATCAACTTAGAACAGTAGTGCCTGGCCTGTGGTAATCCTTTCTAATTCACTTACTCAGAGCCATTCACTGATGGAGGAAACAACATGGGCACGAAGGATAAAGAGATGTCCCCACAGGACCTGCCTCTGAGAAGCTCATGGTCCACTGGAGCTGACAGACACAGACATATAGGGACAATAGGCTCCAGAGGGTATGAAAGGATCACAAGAGAAACACGAGTAATGGAGGGGAGGTAGGGTAGGTTCATTCCACTGCTGGTGGGACATTTGAGCTGAAGTCAGTGAGATGGTGGGACTCCTACCGGTAGAGCTGAGGCGAGGGCACGGCTGGCATCCCCCATGGCACAGGTGAAGGCAGGAAGCCACGGCAGAGCAGGACATGTTAGGAGGATGGTGAGAATAAAACACGGTGGCCATGCGGTGGCCTCAGATGGTGAAGGCAGGAAGGGGACACAAAGTGCCAGTGCCAGAAAGATCCCCTTCGAAAGGGCCCAAAAATTCACTATGCAAAGTTTGGTGCTTTATCCCATAGGCAGCAGGAAACCACATGATCAAGCGGTCATTTGGGAAACTTCATCGGGAGGACGTGAAGCAGTTTCTGCTGCGGGCAGGTCACTGTTAGGACAGCGGGAAAGCCACAAACCTCTGCTTATAACCACAGAACCAGCTGTGGCCGCATGAGGTGTTTTATCATTCAGGGAACCTCAAAACCCACAGACCCCATCAAACATGACAGTCACTGCTAACAGTCACCCTGCACTGTGAGCAGTGCTCTGGAGGCCCCTGAGCCCATCTGCCTGGCCACGTTCTCCTACTGAAAGGGTGCCGCCCCTCCACCTGCTTGCATTGCAGGAAGGCGTTCCACAACTTCAACTACTTTCTGTTCTTCTACAACGTGCTGCTGGGCCTGGGCGCCTGCCTTTCCAGGCTGCTCATCAGCTGCATCCTGGGCACGTGGATGATTGCCCGCATTGACAGGACCATCATGCAGCATGGCTATGAGGGAGCAGACATGGGTAAGGGGCCAGGCCCCCGATGGCCACGCATCTGGGGAGGGCTGGGCTCGCACCTTTGTAAGAGCTGCCTGGAAGTCATGTGCTCAGGCCTAGACAGGGTTCTCTCTTCACTTCTGCTTAGAGCGTATCTTTCCGGGGAGGCTATAACACTGAGTAGAAAAGAAAAGAAAACTTTCAGCCCAATGGTCAGAAGGGAATTCAGGCTATTGAACGCTTGTGTATTTGGCAGACCTTTGAGGTATAATGGTAGGCAGTAAGAGGTAGCACAATTCTATCTAAATGTTTAGGAGGTGATTTATGAATGCACAGCTCTGAAAATTCTGAGAAGGAACACATCTCAGAATTACTGGTGCTGTTAGTTGGAAACTCACTTAGGTAAGAAAATGGCCTGTTCAGCTGACATACTCCAAAATCAAGCCTATTTCTATAGAGCAGAAACAGTTTTTGTTCTTTTTCTGGCCTGTGTCCATTCATTCACTCATCCGTTCATTGAAGGAACTCCTAGCTCCTTTGAGCTTCAAGTTCCACATAAAATGGGTGGATTAGATTGTGATCTGTAAGGACCCTTCCAGGTCTTCATACCTAATTTTCTAGATTCTCAGCAAAGATATGGGCACCGTTTAGAAACAGAGCGACGCTGCAGGCATGTCATAAAAAGCACACACTGGCCGCGCTGGGCCCGGCCGCCCCGGGGGTGTGCCGTGTGGCCTGACTCGCCTTGGGGATTTCAGGGTTCGGTGCGTGGATTGGCATGCTCTACGTGGACCATCATCACACCAACCCTGTGCTCGTCAGTTTTTGTCACATCCTGATCACAGGCCACAGGGAGAGGAAGCTGCAGCAAGCCATCAAGTACGGGCACCTAAATCAGTTGGCAGGTAAGTCTCCTGTTTGAACCTTCCATGTGGTTGGACACCAGGAAACAAGTACCCTAAGCGTTTCCTGGGATCCTAAGGTGTCCCCGGTTCCTCCTTCCCTGCCTCCCTTCCTCCACAGCCCATGCCCTGGGAAATCTATCCAGGAGATCAGGAAGGTTAGCCCCCCCCATCAGCCTGGCTAGGGGAGCACTGAGGAATTGTATCCTTGTCCTTCTAACTGGCTCTTCTCTTGTTCCCCAAAATGAGCTCTAGTTCTTCTGTCTGAGTCCTCTGTTCCCCACTTGTTTGAGACTTCACACATATGCCAGCCTTTAGACAGATGCCCTTCAAGAGAGCACTCAGTCGTACACACCACAGCTCTCCCGGCCACCAACTCCTGTCCCCTCAAGGCTCTATACTGTCAGCTCCCAGCCCTCCCACCCTTTTCCTCGGCTCTGCCTTCTGCTGGGACGCCCCCAGTTAGTCATGTCTTGTCAGCACTGATCTGGACTGTGTCCTTCACTGTTCCTAAAACTGCAGGTACCCAGCTCTGTGGGACAAATGCATCCCTCCACCGCCCTCATGTCCCCAGGAGACCTGGTCCAGCCCCTTCCCCAACTTTTACCCCACACCTCACAGCTCCGGGGCAGTGTTTCTTACAGCCTCTGAGAACCACAGAGACAGCTGCCCCTACCCTCACTCCCTATCTGCTCTGATTCTATCCTAGGTCCCTGCATCTCAACTAGGTCCAGGACAAGGTGGCTCCTGCTGCAGACCCTGATCAACAACCCCAAACTGGCCATGCTCAGAAAATCAAAACCGGGTCATGGCTCCCGGGAGTTCATCCAGATCCTGCCGATGTGCTCGGAGAGCTGGCACTGACCTCTGACAGTGCTCCAAGGCCGTTCCAGGATGACTGCCCCGAGAGAAGGCCCAGGCTACGCCGCAGCTGCCCCGCCTGCGGTGGGATGCGCAGCCGCTGTCCGCGTGGACGGCGCACTGTGCCAGCCACTCATGGGACGGCACCTGGGCCAAGCAATGAAGTATCAGGTCTAAGTCCCTCCCCTAGTAAAAAGATCCAGAACTAAAGAGAATTCCTGTTGAACAAACTTTGCCCAATCATGATTTCTACTCTCCGTGGTTAGGAGGCAGCCATGTTGAGAAGCACATAGTTTGACTACAGGGCAGAACTTGGTATCACTGAAGAAGGTGGTAAAATTTCTATATCAGGGGAGTTTAACCACCTGACACTGTTTTACTCTGGAAGCAAGTATGTCCTCATTCCAGCAGAGTCCTTATTGCTTCCTCCTTTCCAGGCACTATGGCGGTGAGAGAGAAGGAAATCCGCGGTCCAGCCTCCAGCTTGGTTAGGGGGAGCAGGCGCACACTGAGCTGGCCCTGCCTTGTACACTGGGATGAGAAATGGATCAGAACTGACCTGGGGCTCGGTCACAAAGAAAGATGTGCACATTCTCTGTGGCGAGAGGAGATCCCTGGGAAAGCTATCTGTCAGAGGAGGCGGTGATGGGTGTGCAAAGGCACGGGAGCAAGAAAGGCCCAGGCATGTTGGAGGAGGGGGAGCCTCTGGTGTCTGCAGTGCAGGGCGTAGGGGGCTGGTTAGACTATGCAAGGCGGCCCGAAGCCCGGCTGGGAAGCCTGACATGTCTCTTTGTGCTGCGGGCCCAGTACTTGGCCACATTCTTCACACCCAGGCATACAATCTCTGCTGGTTTGGGATCTGTACAAAGTCTGACTGTTCAAAGTCACTCATGACGCCTGTGCAAGTGCCTGGGGGACCCACCAGCAGGGTAAGGGAGGTCCCTGTCCACCTCGCGGGGCCAGTGAATTTCAGTCACCATTACTGAGCACCCATGGTGAACCCAGCCCAGTTACCAGGTGTTTGCCAGCCTTATCTCTCAATCTCCACAACCAGGCTTTGGTGTTGTGCTTTCAGAAACTGACAAAACTGGCACCCACTGTGCTGGGCTCCCCACGCCGCCTCGTCCTAGCTGTGTGACATTGGCCAGATGACTTTGCCTTTCTGTGCTTCCTGTCCCTCTCATGTAAAAAGGGGTAATGCCTACAATATCCAAAATTATTTTGAGGATAAAATGAGTTACTACGTACAAACACTCCTAAGCTAGTGCCCGATATATCCTAAACTCTCAATAAATGTTAGTTATTGTTATCTACAATGCTGCCCTTTGTGGTGATCTGATTAATGCATGTCCACCTCAGTATGCTCAGCTCCATGAAGAAAGGGGCCTGCAATGTTCCCCCTGAGGTAGTTGTCTAGCAAATTACTGCTGATTCTCCTCAGGATCTACACCCACCAGCCCTGTTGGCTTCTAGACCTTTTAGTAGACTTGGCCGCAGAAGTCATTTAGGCCCGCAAGGGAGACTGGCAAGGCTGGGGGGTGGTCTTTCCATGGCCAAGTGCACAGACTTTTATCCTGGCAAAACATAATCCATTTGTGATCCACCAGGTCCCAGCCAGAGAGGAGTGACCACAAGGTCCCTGACAGAGAGGCCAGGGGCCTCTAGGGCGTTTCTGTCTTAAAGACAATTGTATAAGGCAGTGCAGGGATATGGGACACCCAGGGTCACAGATAGCATAAGTGTCTGTGGGACAAGGCCCTGCTGTAGCCTTAAAAGGTGCATCACAGATCTTTCCGCTGGACGTGAAATAAGGAAAAGGAATTCAGAGACCATGGACCAGGATCCCAGAAGGATTCTAACCTAGGTAAAGAGTGATCATAGGGTCCCTAGAGGGGACTCGAGATGGAAAGTCCTGCCTGCCCTTAGTCCCTTTGCAAATGATCTTCTTCTGGCCTTGTCCTTTCCACATGCAATGTTTAATCTCTACATTTCCCCACCTACTTAACATTGATGCAATTCCAGAGATTGAACTAGAAGACTACAAGTTTCTAATATTTGGCCAAAAGAAACCTCAGCAAGAGAAGCAGAACATGTTCCCTTGTCCTTAAAAGCTGTAGAAAGGAAGCCACTGTCCTGAGGCAGGAAATGGTTTCTTTTAAAGATGCGTGAATTTCAGCGGCTGTTGCTATGCCTGTAAAGTACCTCCAACCTCTAAATCTCAGGAGTTCTGAGGGGGTGTGTCTGCTCCTATGCCCAGGTTCACAGTAACACCTTGAATGTGCCCTCTGAGGAAGGGGGACTTGTGGGTCTCCTTCACAGCCAGGGAAGGGGCTGGCCCTTCTCCCTTCTCCCATATACAGTAAGCTGATGAGCCTGTAAGATTTTTTAGTTTTAGGAGGAATGTGAGAGTCTGCATCTCATTTAAATTAGCACAGGAAGGGAGAGAACCAAGACTCAATTCAGGCTGTAAAAGGAAATGGATTTTAATAATATTCAAATCTAGCATTTACTATTTTCAACAAATAAACACTTCCCCTCCCCAATAAGTAAAGAGGCCTTGGGGTAAAGCGGTCAGGGTGATGGGGTGTGGTCATCCCCTCTTCTGGCCTTCATGGAAACGCCAGGAAAAGGCTCACAATGTCCTCCTTCTCCTCGGAGGGTGGGGGAGAGCTGGTCCAGGGCACCCCAAGTGCCTCAGCCTTGCCCCCATTGCTGAAAACCAGGGCACTCTCGAGCTGGTCGTCCTAGGTGTGTGATCTGGGCTCTGAGGCAGGGGCCGGGTGGCTGCATAGAAGAGAGGGGTAACCTTGGGAGGCCTCCCCCAGGGGCATGGCCCACCCTCGCCACCCCATCCCCACTACAGGTGGATCCAGGCACTGTGCTGAGTGCTTGGTCAGTGAATACATTTGTCCCTGCATCACCCATTTCACAGAGGAGAAAACCAAGTCCCAGAAAGCAGAGAGGAATCACCTCCAGCACAGGACTGGTCAGTAGTGGAGCGGGGATCTGACTCCCCAAGACCACGCTTGGCCCAAAGCTTAATGGAGCCCTTGGGATTCCGCCACTGCCAGCCTGGACACTCACCCTTGAGCTGATGATGGCCAGCTCTTCTTGGCCTTCAGCATTCTGTTGGCCAGTCAGGACTGGCGCTCGAGCTGGCAGGATAGGTTAGGTTCATGCTATGGCACCTGTGAACCTACCAGGAGCCACACCTCACCTGTTCCTCCAGGTGCCTGCCCAGTAGCAGGCCTTCGGGTGCCTCGGGGGTGGCCATGCAGCAAGGTCTGATAAGGGAGTCATGGCTGCTAATGCTCTGGAGCCAGCTGCCAGGGAGCGTCTGTACCTGCCCTCACTCAGCTCCTGCCCAGCCTCACCTCACAGTCTGGCTGAGCGGCTCCATGTCCTGGAAAGAAGCCCCAAACTGCTCCTCAGGCTCAAGGTTGTAATGATTTGCAGCTCCTTCCCACCATCCCCGTCCCCCCCCCCCCTCCTGCCACCCCTCCGCAGCTGCAGAGAGGGCCTGCGCGGGGGATGATGCTGCAGGGATAAGCAGTGAGGCAGGGGGCCGTCCCGGGCCTCTGCGCACTCGGGAACCCTCCTCCCTCCAGTTCCATCCAGCTCCTAACTGTTCTCAGAGGTGGGTGTAAATAGCTCCTCCCTCAGCCAGCGGTCCTTAGTGCCGGCCCCTACTTCACTGTTACCAAACTCTCCCAATAAATGCGAGATGCAGCAGATGGAGCAAGGAGTGTCCTGCCCAGGGCCATCTCTGATTTCCACTCCCTTCCCCTCACCTGCGGTGAGTGCCACAGCTAGCTGTTCACCTTCGTCCTTTTCTGGTGGTTGATCTGATTCCCCTGGGAGGCAGACAGCCTAAGTCCATCGGGAAGAGCCCCTTAGCTAGGCTGCAACTAGTCCCCATCTGTGCCCTTTCTCATGTTGCACTATCACCAGAGCCCTTGAGGGGGCAGGACACACAGAAAACAGGTCTGGGTCCCAGGCCAGACTCGGCTCCAGAGTTGGGGGAGCATGGGAGCTGAAGTTCAGGGACATTCTAGCCCACCCTTTTTGATGGCAGGTGGGGAAATTGAGGCCTCAGACAAGAAGGGACTACTCAGCCACTTATGTGCTGCGGGACTCGGAGGAACCTGACATCTGTCCCTTCCATGGGCACCAACTAAACCTCCTGAACCTTTGGTTCAGGCAGCTCTGTTGCTTCACCAGCCTGGGGAACTGGGATGGGTATCTTATGGGGAGCCTCCATACACTGGTCCCCAAGATGGGCAGGACACCCGAGCTCAAAGGGGCAGCTGAGAGGTTCTCCTGAGAGTTTTGCCAAATGCTGAGAACTCAGGGCTCAGTACAGGGGAGGGGTTCTCTCCTACCAAGTCTCAGAATCCTGGTGCCCACTCTCCTGCACTCCGACTCACCTCCAGATAATCCTCCATCACAGCGTCCAGCATCACCACGTCAGTGACGCACGTGCCAAGGAAGGGGACAACACTCTGTGCCATTGGGGTGGGAATGGCGATGAGCTCCAACTCTCAGGTGCCACCCCCGACCCTGCCCTGAAAACTCCTCACACGCAGCCTCCTGGGCCTCACCAGCATTACGTGTGGGGTGGCCTAGGACCCTTCACGGCCTCCTTTTAATTCCTCTCCCCGCCTCCCCACCCCCAAACAACGCCAGGCTGCTCCTCATCACCACCCAGGGCCTGCTTTTGGCAAGTCACAAGATCTGTGGCCCCTCCCTTCCCCTAAATTGAACCTGCATCCAGCTCTCCAGGTCCCCCTAGTGGTCACTTCTAAGGGGCAATTGGGGCACTGTGGCAACAGGAGGCGGGACTGCAGCAGGAGGGCCCTCTTCTCTAGGTTTGGAGGCCTCCAGCTGGGAGGAAGGAGCTCCCTTCCTCGGACCCCGGAGCCCCTCCCCGACAGGCAGACTCACCTGGGGCTGCTGCCTCTCCTGGGCCCTCCGGGGCGGGGGGGGGGGGGGGGGGGTCATCTCCAGGAGACCGCCCTTGGAAAGCTGCTCCTGCCGGGATCCCTGACAGAGGTATTATAACGGGGCACAGCCAGGTCCCCCCAAAGTGTATTTGTAACAGTGTCCAGAGATTGGGGTGTCCAAGAAAAATATATTCCCCACCCCAGGGCGGGCCGCCCTGGGGGATGGGAGCCTTGAGCAGGGCCATTGTGAAGTCAGTTTGCATGTCAATAACAGGATAGCTTCGTTCCTCCTTTGCAAAGAGGATTATTTGGCATATCACAAAAGCTAATCAGGAGGGTTTAAAAGACTTAATACAGAATGGGAGGGAGAGAGAAAGAAAAAGGAGAGACAGGGGCCTGCAGGAGAGACAAATGGACACAGACTCTGGGGAACAGTGCGAAGACCACTGTTCCCCAGAGTCTGACCACAGGAAGAAAGAGGGGAGAAAGGACTCTTGCTAAGTGGGCCGGGAGAAGGTGCCACATGGTTATGGATTAAGAGCTGGACATCTGGCGACGCAGTGGATGGTGCTGAGACCCGCGAGAGGCCTGCCTAGCCGAGCCCCGGACTTGTGTTCTTTTCTTTCTTCTGAAGGACGGTACCCTAACTGGCCTGACTGGCCTAACTGGGAAGGCAGGACGGTGTGTGTGCTGGTGGTTGTTTTGAAGGGATTTTGAGGTTTAAGGGTGACATTTAGCCATTAATCAAACCTGTATAACTTTTGAATAAATAGTTCCTTTTCCTTTTCACCAAACTCTGCCATTCAGAGCCATAATTCCAAGGGCGGCGGGCAAAGGACCCACAACCGAGGGGTCCCGGGGAAGGAGGGTGTCGTTTCGGTGATAGCATCTGGGCACGCCCCCCCCCCCCCGCCACGGGTCCTTTTGTTCGGTAACAGTATTGAGGCCACACTCCACCCCATTTCCCCCCAGAGCCCTTCATCTCATATCTGGACATCTGACCCAAGTCACTTGGCACCAATGCCACTCCACCCTTCGGCATGCTCTGATTCTAGAACTCTCCGAGCTCCAACCCTAACCCAGTGTGTGGCCTTGGTTGGGCCTCTGGCCTGGCGTCCCTGAGCCTGTTTCCCCATCTGGAAAGTGTGAGAATCCCACCTACCTCAGAGGGTCTCCTGAGCGCTTCATGTCACATAACTGTCATTATCATTTCCCCCACACACCTCCAGGCTGAGTCAGGCACAAAGCTCCAGCACATTCCTTTCCTTCCTTGAACCACGCCCCTGCCCTGTGAGGCCTGCACCACAGAATCCTGAGCCTCCAGTTTTCAGATGAGGGGTCAGAGGCCCAAAGAGGGGCAGCGACTTTCTCAGAGGCCCACAGAGATGAGGCTGCTCCACCCTCCGGCCAGAGGCCCTGTCCCAGCTGTCTTCACCCCCCACCCCTGCCCCACCGCTGACCAGAGTCCTGTCCTCTGGGCTCTCAGTGCGTGTCCAGGCCCCCAGCCTGCTGAGCCTTGAATGGAAAGGGATGGGGCTGAGCACCACTGGGGACTATGACCTCCAGGCTGGGCCCGAGGCCATGACAAAGGCTTCACCTCCTTAGGACAGTTCCCCTGCATGGCAGTCCCTCTTTATCCACTAAGGAAGGGGACTCTGGAGGTGCCATCTCTGACTGACAGGGTAGCAGATGACCAGGGCACGGAGCAGTCCTGTGCCCTTTATTTCCTTTTACATGCAGCTTCTGACTTCCATTCAGAAAGAATCCTCTAAGAATCCCATCAGCTTCCCCAGACTCAAAAGCCATCTGGAGGGTGTATGTCATTGTCAGCGAGACACCCCGGTGAAACCCTGTGATTGATTAGCAATGACTGCTATAGGGATAGAGGGGGGAGACAAAACACGCACATATCTGTCCCTGGTCTGGCATTGAGATCCAAGGCTAGGCAGCCCATTTGTCCCCCTGACCAGTGGGACGACCCTGCAGTACCCACCCCTGGTGCAGGCAGGTGCCTCTCCCTGTGCAGATGCCGTGAAGAGAGGCAGAGTAGCGAGGCATGGCTCCCTGAGGACAGGCCCCTGCTGAGGCCAATCCAAGTTGAATAAAAGTTGGTAAGGCACACCGGCCCTTCAGGAAACACTGTCAACAGGTGCTCTGAACTCCTGTGTTCGAAAGCAACCAACGTGCAAGCACACTCAGAGAGAGGAGAAGTGAGGGGGAGGAAGGCAATACGGGGGTCAGGCTTGGCGAATGGGGTCCTTATCACTGGCCGTGGCCTGGAAGATCGGGCGGGATCGCGCTGTGCGGAGACAGGCAGCGGCCAGCAGAGGAGCAGAGCGAGGGAGGCCAGGGGCAGGGGCACATGCAGGAAGAGCCAGGAGGGGGGCTGAAGCAGGGACAGTCAAGGTGGGAGCCAGAGGCGGGGCCTCTGCGGTCATCTAGGGGCTGCAGGGTTGGGGAGGGCCTTGTGAGCAGGACAGTGGGTAGGTCAGAGCTGTATCTTAGGGGGTAATGTGGCCGTGGTGGGTTGGGTGCGTGGAACTCAAAGAATCATCCCAACTAGCCTTTTAATTATAAATCCACTCAAGCCCTGAGGCCTGAATGTTGAGTCCTTCAGCCTCTTCTACACTGAGGAAGGAGGCGATCCCTTTCAGAGATGCTTTCCACCTCTCACTTACAGACAAGCACCTCTCTGTGCTACTTCCCAGCAGACTGGTTGGTTTTCACCAAGGCGAAGAAGGTTGGACGGATTTTCTAGGCCATAATTAAGGGTTCAGAGCTACATCCGCGGTCTCCCAGTAGTTCTCAGAATATTAGCGGTGCTGCTCTAGACCCTCCAGACAGCCCTGAGGTGCCCACTGCAGAGAGGAGAAACTGGCCTAGGGGGAAGGGATTGATTTAAGAGTTTCACGACTCCCCTGGGGACGGGACGCTGCCGTTGCTAAGGGCAACCCCCTCGCTCTGTGGGAAAGAAGTGAAGGCGGGGCCAGCGGGGCTCCCGCCCCTCCGCGTTGCCTCGGAGACGCAGTGTGTCCTGTAGCCACAGAGGCTGGGCAGGCCCTGGCTGACTTTCGTGGTGCTTTCTGAAGTTGGGGTGAGGCTGCTCTCCTGGGCTCTGGGCCTTCCTCCACTTGGCCGGACTCAGAAGGGATGGATGTCCAGGGTCTGACCCCGCTCCTCGGTGGGCTGGGGGAGGGGTGAGTGGGATGGGGCGTGAGGGGAAGCTGCTGGATCTTCTCCGCACACAGTAGGCGCCTAATTAGCATGGCTAGAATAAGGTAGGCTGCTCGCTACCTTTAACCGCCTTCCTGTGTCCACTGGGCCTGGGGGACCGTGTTCAGCGCTGGGTGTGGGGTTCAAGGTCGGGTTAAAAACCCAGCTGACACCTTGGGAGCGCCGACTTTTCCCGAAAGAGCTTGGGAGAGTGAAGCATAAAACAATAATTATTTATTATTCTTCACCCCAAAGTCCCTCTGGGATTTTCTTCCTGCGCGCCTGGGAGAGCCAGCTTGCTATGCGAGTTCAGCTCTTGCCTGAGGTTTATCTTTTTACTTCTTCACCCCCTCTCTTCTGTTTGTTTTAAAACGCTGAGGATGGGGAAAGGCCCAGGCTTTCTCCCAGAGCAGAGGGTGAAGTCCCCAGTCCCGCCCCACCTGTGGGGTCAGGCCCCCTGGAGGGAACTTGCCCTTTCCATCTCCGATCTTAAGGAGAGCAAATCCCAGAAGTGATTCTCGGACAACTGCTCCCGGGCAGGGACGTCCAGCCAGCGCCAAGATGGCCTCATTGGGGAAGGTGACCGAGGTTCCCAGCGGGAAAGTCTACCAGCAGATCTTCGAGGCGGAGGTAGGCCTGTCCTTTCCTCCCCCCTCTTCCTGTTCCCCAAATTTCCCTCTCCTCCCCTCCAAACTGCCCTCCATCTGAATGAAGTCTTCCTTGCCTGGGAATCTAATGACATAAGGGCTTGGAAAATTGCTTTCATTGTAAAAAGTGATTCTTACTAGTTCTTAAAATGTAGGAAAATAAAATTAAAAGGTGTATTGTTGGAAGTTAGAGAATTTAAATTAAAGACTTAAATTACTCAGAAATAGCCAGAATTAACCATTGGGTGTTCTGGGTCTTTCCTAATTTTTCTGTTCGAAACCTGGGTTTGATTCTATACTAATGTTTTGAAACCTGCGTTTCCCTATTAACAGTACCTCCCAGACCTTTCCCATGTCAGTGGACGCTCATGCACTTCCTGACGTGTAGTGGCTGCCTACTTGATCTAGGACTTCCTGTAATATATTAAAGTAATACCCTTGTGACAGCTGTATAGGCATTGGAATCGTCTTGTCATCTATGAAAAACTACACAGACAAAATGGTATCTTAAAAGAAGTACAGGCTGGAACATGTCCTTTGAAGTTCTGTACTGCTTATTTAGGAGGAATTTGCATCCCTACTTTGAACCCTAAATAATGCTCTCTACAGAAGTCTTGGAAATGATAAAAGGATAAAGAGACCAAACAAGCAAATTACCCACATAGTCCTGTTCCCTGGAAGTAAAATGACCATATTCTTCATGTTTGGCATATTTTCTGTGCATTTCAAAAGAGCTTTCCTGGCTCCTGGCCCTCTAGAATGTTTGGTTGTTTCTCTCTGCATATAAAATTTTGAGCTCACACTGTATAATTTTGTTTATAATTTTTAATTTATGCTTTTCCTTGTTATGTATTATGGTATACTATAAGCATGTCTCCATGTTACAAAAAATTCTAAGTCTATTTTTAATAAATGCCTAAATTTCCTTTGAAGAGACCTCTGATGTCTCGTCAACCAATCCCCTATTATTGAACAGTTCCATTTTTCCAATTTCTCATGATTAAAAAAATGCTGGGATGAACGTCTTGGTCTTCATCAAAATTTCTTCAAAGATGTCTTCCTGGAAGTGTTTGAATGGCTGTTATGGGGCGTGGAGAACCCCCCTGTATGAAGCGTGCCCTGCAAAGCACCTTCCTGCTGGCAGGTTTCCCTGTGACCCTCTAGGACTGCACAGTCAGCCTTAGCGGGTGCTGGGGGGTCTGTGCTCTCACCCTTCCCCACAACTGGACCAGGTGCAGCTGGTCCGCTCCCTGGCCACCTCCAGGAAGCAGAATGTGGAGCGTTCCATGACCCTGAAGAATGGCAGCAAGCCCTTGATGAAGAAGGTGGACATTCCTGAGGGGGAGACGATGTCCCCTCGGCAGCGGAAGTGGATGCACAGCCTGCCCAATGACTGGGTCACGGAAAACCCTGTTCTCTACAGGTAGGTCCTGCCATCCAGGTCACACATCCACGCACGGGTGTGCATCAGAGCCTTCAAAGCCTCATAAAGAGCTCACACAAGATGGGTGGTAGGTAGGAATAAAGTCCCAGGGAGTTAATAACAGCTACTTTGGAGGATTGTTTGCTTCTCCTTCCCTTCCTCCAAGGGCCAGGCACTGGGCACTGGGATCCCACCCTCCTGGAATTTGAGGTCTCTACAGCAAATAAAAAAGATGTTCTCCCCAAGAAGGGAAAGGCTCTGGCACAGAGGATTGGGTGGTGGGACAGGTGTCCAGAAAGCTCTCTGAGGAGGGGCCTCTGCTGAGACCAGAGGGTAAGGGAAAGGAAGCTGAGGCAGGTGGGCTGGGCCCAGTCCAGAAGGCTGAAGATGTCAGGGGGCCTGGGGAGAGGAAGATAAGGCTGGGAGAGGCTTTCGGGCCACAGTCAGTATTTTGGACATTACTAAAGTGAGCAGCTGATTTGCATTTTCAAGGTTTTCCAGCTGCTGTGTGCAGAATCTGGGGAGCTACAAGAAGAGGCAGGGAGAGGGCCACAGCCGTCTATGTTAGCTTGGTGGGACTGTGAGAGGGAGACAGGACACTTCAGGTACACTTGGGAGGCAGACGCCACGGACCGGGTGATGGCTTGGATTGGAGGAGAGATGCCCCGTGAGCCCTAGGCCTCTGGCCTGATGGACAGCAGAGATGCCGTTTCCTGAGAGGGGAACAGATGGGGTTGGAGCACGGAGGTGAGGAGTTCCTTCTGCGCTTCCAAGTTCAGGCACCGAACCTGAGATTCCTGAGCATGATATTCTAGCTCCCTGAGCTCCGGCTCCTCAAGCAGGAAAAAAGGAAAGAAAAGGAAAGCCTAGGTTTCATCTTCCTCACAGGGTGCTTGGAGGAAGTAGCAGGAGCTGGGCTTCCCTTCCACTCTTCAAGCCCTGTGCAAACCATAGACTGTCTCTGGCCGAGGCCTCTGGGACAGGAACTCTGTGCTTCTCTACCAGCCACTGTTTTCCCTCTCGCCCGCTTTGGAGCAGGGGTTGATCCAATTCTGGGTAAAGGTCCCTGCCCTGATCTGACCTCCAGCTTTTCCCAGGGAAGGCTCCCCTGAGGCTTCCGACCTCAGCACCCTGAACTACCTGCGGATGGGCAAACACAGCGGGCACTCAGGCCCAGGCTGAGGTCAGCATTCTCCCACCCATGTCCTGATGCCCAATGCAGGGATCCAGGGGCACAGATGGCTGGGCCTATCTGTGCCCCGCCCCTCCCCAGGAGGTCAGCCTCGCAGCCTGGCTGTGACCCTGGCTCCCACAAGGACCCCAGTCTCCTCTCTGCTGGTCCTCCAGCATCCAAAGTCTACTAATGTCTCCTCTTGAAGGACCCCTTCCCCCAGGGTTTAGCTTAGGCCCACCTGTCATCCTGATGGCCAGGTATAGCATCCGTCAGGAGCTCTTGGCACTCACAGAACAGCATTTTTGGAAAGGACACTTCTCGTGAAGGTCTCTGGCATTGTACTGTACTGGCTTCCTGAGACAAGTAGGCAGAGCCAACTTTGCCCTAAACACAGATCGAGAGCACAAGCCCCTGTGGCCCGTGGCAGGGACAGAGATGTGGTTGTAACCTGATAGGCCCTGCCACCCTCAAAATAACTGGGGTCACTAACTCAGCACTAGTGTCTCTCTGGGGTGCCTTGTCCCCTTTTTGAAAATTTAGCCAGTCAAATCCAGTCTACTTGTGTGTTCATTCATGCAGGGCGTGGCCTCTGGGCGGGTAGAGAGGAGCTTAGGGGAAGGAGAGATCACCACCAGTGTAAACCAAGCCCCCAGGTCCCCTGGGCAAGTGGCCGAGAAGCCAGAGGCGTCAGCAGCTGCCAGAGTCAGGGCTCCAGGGTCCTGTGAGGCCGCCCTAGTCCAGAGGCCTTCAGTCGACAAGACTGAAAGACCTGCCTCTGGAGGGTCCGCCTGGGCCCCAGCCCCTGCAGCCCAGGCCCTGCAGCCTCCCTCTCTGGGAGGTCTGGAGTGAGGACCACATACGAAAGACCCAGCAAGTGCTGCACACGTGGATGCCCTGAGGAACAGCAGGCATCCTGGAGGACTGCTTGCTCCTGAGGTGCTTGCACAGTGGACAGTGCCTTCAGGGGTATTTATTCCAAAGTGAAGGTCATGCTCTCCTACCCTGGTCCTCCCTGCTGAGAGAGTTTGTCCTGGGATCCCTACTCTCTCCTCCTTCACCCAAACCCTGAGCGCCATGGACTTAGGTGTTGCATGCGAGGGTCTGGGGGTCTCAGTTCTGCTTCATACAGTGACTTCTCTAAGACCCTTCCCCCATCCTAGACACTGGTGTTCACCCCACTGCCTCATAGGGTGAACTGCTAGAGGAGCCAATGAGGAACATGCTGAATGCTTAGCGCAAGTCCGTCGTGCCCCTTCTTGTCTTCAATTTCCACGTGTGGAAAGTGGTTCCTGCCCACCGCCCACACGTCCTTGGCCGGTAGATCGGAAGCAGGCTCTGGAGGGCAGGCCCCAAAGGCTCGTCCTAGGGTTCATGGCGAGCACCGGCAGCACTGGGCCCAGGCAGAGGGCTGGGAGGCTGGCACAGCCTCGGGACTCTCTGAAATCAGTGGGCCTGGGCCACAATGTCCGGGGACCATCTGGAGACTCTCCTCGAGTCAAGCTTCCCTAAGGGTGAGAGGGTTGGGGTTTTATTGTTCTTATCTGCTACTGCCTCAGGGAAAAGAAAAGTATGAAGAAGAAAAAAGCTCAACAGAGCGAGAGCACCATCGATGCCCTGAAAGTCCGGAACCTCATGGACACCATCGGTAACCTCCCCTAGGCCCTGTTTTTGGGCCCTCTCCCCTGGGCCGTCTGCCCTGGGCCTTCTGCCCTGGGCCTTATCCCCTTGGCCTTCTCCTCTGCTCTCTCTCCTCTGGGTTTTCTCAACTGGGCTTCTTCCCTGGGCCCTCTCCCATAAGTCTTCTCCCCTGGGCCTTCTGCCCTTCTCCCTTTCCCCTGGGCCTCTACACTAAACCTCCCCCCGCTTGGCCTTTACTACATCTCCTCCCCTGCGCCCTTTCCCTTAAGCCTTCTCTCCTGGTCTTTCTCCCCTGGGCCCTTTCCCCTGAGCCTGTTCCCTCAAGCTTTCTTCCCTGGGCCTTTTCCACCAGGCCTTCTCAACTCCCCTCTCTACCTTGAGGCCTCTCCCCTGAGCCTTCTCCCCTGCTCACTCTCCTCCGGAACTCTCCCCTGGGCCCCCTGCCGCGACCTGAGTCCTCTCCCCTGGGCCTACCCCTGGACAGCCTCCCTCGTTCCCTTTCTACTAATCCTTCCCTGGACAGTCTCCTCTTTTCCTGCTCCCCTGGGCTCTCTCCACTAAGCCCACTCCCACTTTGTTTTTCCCCTGAGGACTCTCCCTTAAACTTTTCCCTTTGGGCCTTCTCCACTGCTCCCTCACCCCTGGTCCATCACCTTTGAGCCTTCTCCCCTGGGACTCCCCTAAGCCTTCTCCCCAGCCCTTCTCCCCTGCTGCCTCTCCCCTAAGCCTTCTGTCCTGGGCCTTCTCCTGCTCTGGCTCCCCTGGCCTTTCTCCCCTAAGCCTCCTCCACCACCCTCTCTCCCCTGAGGACTCCATCCTTGGCCTTCTCTCCTGAGCCCTGTCCCCTAGACTACCCTTGGGCCCTCTCCCCAAGCCCACGACCCCAAAGTCTTCTCCCCTGGGCCCTCTACACTGGGGACTCTCCCCTGGGCACTACACTCTGAGCCCTATCCCCTGGGCCTCCCCCTGGAGCCCCTTCCTTTGGCCCTCCCCCCTAATCTTTCTTCCCCGGGCCTGCTCCCCAGCCTTCTCCCCTAGGCCTTTTTTCCTGACCCCCTCTCTTGCTCCCTCAGCCCTGGGCTTTCTCCTCTAAGCTTTCCCCACTGCTCTCTCTGCGCTGGGCCCTCACCCCTGAGCCCTCTCCCCTAAGCCTTCTTCCTTGCCATCTCCCCTTCTCTCTCTTCCCTGGACTCTCACCCATAGACACCTCCCCAGGCCTTCTCCCCTGCTTTCTCTCCAGTTGGTTCTCTCATTTAAGTCTATTCCTCTGGGCCTTCTCCCCTGCTCCCTCTCCCCTACTTGTTCTCCCCGGGTTCTCTCTCTGGGGTGCTCTCTCCTGGGCGCTTTTCTGGGGGCCTTCTCCCAGTGCAGGGAGCTGGTGCGAGAGGGAGTGATTGCCCACACTGTGTTTTCTGAAGAAAACTGTTTGTAAAGGACGTTGCTGGCTTTACTGCGATTCCACAACAGAATTTCTGAATCCACCTTTTCTTCCTTCATACCACAATGTCTTAGTTGACTTTACCCCATTATGACGGCTTATTTTCTTTTTGATTAAAGAAGTAGTACATGCTCACTATAGAAAAACAAAGGAAGGAGGTGGGCATAAAGTAAAAACTCCCCCTGTACAATAGCACCCATTCTCCTCCCTAGAGTGCCCACCCCCCATGAAATCCCACGTGTGATGTCCAGCTTCCCGCATAGGTTCAGGGGACAGCAGAGCGGAGGGAGATATCAGACACTAGAGAGAGGGACCCATGTCCAAATCCCTGCTCAGCCACCAACTGCCTTTGTTCTTTAACCCCCATGCCTGAGTGTCCTCACTTGTAAAATAAGACCAATAAGTAATTGAGTTAGAACAGTACCTGATACATATTAAGTGCTGGTTATTTGTATTGGTGTATGTATTTCCTTCTCTAAAACTTTTTTAAAAACATAAATGGTCCCATTAAGTACACACCATTTTGGAACTTGTTTGTTTTAAAGATTTATTTACTTTTAGAGAGATGGAAGGCGGGAAAAGGAACACCAATGTATGTGAGAGAAACCTCGATTCTTGTGTGCCCCCAACCTGGGACCTGGCCCGCAACCCAGGCATTTGCTCTGACTGCGGGATGGAACTGGTAACCTTTTGGTTTGCGAGATGACCCCCAACCCACTGAGCCACACCATCAGGGCCCATTTTGGAACTTTTTGCCAGCATTTAACTGGATGGGCAAGACTTCCTTTCCCTTAGTACTATGGATCACCTTCGCCTTTTCTCTTTTCCCTTAAGACTCTGCTGGCCTGGCTTCGGGATCCGCCTCCTGAGCCAGGGCACCCTCTGCCTTGCTGCCTTTTCTTGGGCACTCTCCCCTGGACTTGGGGCTCTGAGTGCAGCCTCGTCACCTCTGTTGTTCTCCCCCAGTTCCTGAGCGACCCGGCACTGTCGCCCTTCGAGGAGACTACAAGAGGAAGTGCTATGAGAGTGCTCTGGGGAGTTTTAAGGAAGAGATTGCTCAGATCGGGATGGTGAGAACCCTTGTGTTTGCTCTCCTTCTATCCCTGGGCCATTCCAAAGGCAGGTTGGTCACTGCCCCGCCCGTCCTTTCCCCCAGCTCAGAGGTTCTCAGTGGCTCACCATGCTGTTGACAGAGCCGTAGCAGCCATGTTACGAGTGCTTGCTGTAACAAAGTGCTATAAGGCAGTTTCTGCTGTAACTTCCATTTTACAGGTGAGCCAAGGACACCTTATCTGACTTGGCACATAAGGGGCCAAGTGAGAACTGCATTCTGGGTCTGACGTCAAAGCCCAGCCTTTGATCTCTCTGCTCAGTCCCACTCATGAGGGTCCAAACGGCCTGACCCTCCATTGATGTCCTGATGCTGCCTGGCCCTTAGGCACTGCCCTCACTAGGCTCCCTGTTCCTCTTCTGAGACCTCATCTCTAGCTACACGGGTCCCAGAATATTCCCTGAACACACTTCTCGGCCCTTCCAGGTTCTCTCTGAGCCACGGATTGCAGTCACCCATTTCTTCCTGAGTCTTCTCTGAGTCATGTCGTTCCCCTAGGTTATTGGAGCTGGCTCTGTACCCAAAGAATCGATAAGGAGCTCCCCTGCCAGCTTGTCACTCTCCTAATATGTCCCATCTGGGCACAAGCACTGTTTCACCCATGAGCTCTGTGGCTTTGGTCAGCTTCTGTCACACAACATAACTGAGCCTTAGTCTCCTCATCTGAATTAAACTTGGAATTCTTTCTTGGCCACTTCTTTAATAAATATTTATTGAACCCCAGCAGTGGGCCTCACCAAATGTGAGCACCTATGCACAGGCCGTGGTGAGGGCCAAGGGCTTCTGAGGTCAAGGGCTCAGTTCAGAACAGAGCAGAGCGTCTGGCACGTGGCATGTGCCCCACATTGTGGCCACCCCTGAGCTCTAGTTGTGAGCTGTTTAGTAAGTCTTAACTCCTTAGGCGTAGGTAGTGATTATGATTTTTGAGATAGGACCATGGCCAACACTTCCTCATTATGGGGTTGGGGCGGGGGGTGGGGCTTCCTGCTGCCCCGAGGCTGATGATACTGTCGCCTTGGCCCTCCTGGCCTGTTTTAGGAAATGGAACCCCTCATCTTGGAGCCAGGAGCTCTTCTTTTTAAAAAGCTGGCTGAGCTTGAGGAAGACATCAACTGCCTCTTCAAAAAGGTGGAAAATGACAACAACTTCGAAGACTACAATATCGAAGTAGGGGTCCCCTCATGGGTTGACCTGGCCCACCCTGCCCTCTGCTCTCCTGGTCTGACTCAAATTTCTCCACATAGACTCTGTTGGAACTGTGGGACCAGGTGGCCAAGAAGTCCCAGCTCCAGAAGCAGGGGGTTAAGGAGCTGGATGAGACACTCTACTCAGTCGAGTTCTCCCGGGCAGATAAAGTGAGTTGGCCTCCCAATGGGCTCCTAGTGATTTCCACCTGTGTGAGACCTGTCTGTTTCCTTTTAGTTCTCCAGGAAAAAAGAGAGTCACTAACTATGGCATCTCGTCGTTTCTAGCTAAAAAGTGTGTTGAAGAAATACATGGAAATCATAAAGAAAACGTCCTACCTCATGCCACCCGACGTGCACAGGCTGATCGATAAAGAAGCCATGGTGAGTGGCTTTCCTGTGCAGGGGACCAGCTCACGGAAGGAGGAGCCAGGACTCTGGGTGCCCCAGAGCCTGGTGTCTCAGGAGTGATGGGTTTCTCATAGGTGGCATTTCCAGGTGACTCAGGCAGGCCACTTAAGTTCAGGACCAGAGGTTTAGTTAAGTATTTTCAATAGAAATCTGTCTAAAGTACACTGCATACGTCCCAGTGGACCTAACGCAGAGCCATCATTTTGAGCACCCATGATTTTACCAGCGCCTACCGGGCCACGTGCTGCCGTAACACAGGTGCTGCACAGGGAGGCATCATCTGGAAGCTGTCAGTGTCTCGGGGCGGTTCGTGCCCTCGTGAATGACCCCAGCCTGCTCTGTTGGTCTAGCTTTTCTAGCTTTTTTCAGTTGTCTCCCCTCCCGTGGGCCGTCCGTGCCTGCTGCTGAACCGTGCCTGTTCCCGCTCTGTCCCCACTGCTTCCCTGTCCACAACCCCAGCCTCCCCCAGCTGCTTTCTTTGGGATTAAAAAAACAAGGTATCAAAAAACAGGACTCGATGCCTCCAAGGTCAGTTAAGTCCGACCCCTCTGCTGCATGAAAGGGCACTTCTATTGGCTACTGGGAGGCACGTTTTTGTTTGCATGAGTTTCTAGCTCCTGAACAGAATGCTGGGCAGCCAGATAATGATGAAGGGGGTATGGCGTTGAGAATCACAGACGGGCTCCAGCCCAGGTCTGTGCCTCAGGGTCGCAGACAAAGCACAGCCATCCTCTCCACTGCCCGGACATGAAAGCTTCCGGAAACAACTCAGCCCCTGACCCTGGAACTCCCTGTCCATAAAATGGGGATAATGCTACTAACCCCCCAGCACTTGTTGGGAAGGTGATAAAAGAGGGTTCAGCAACGGTGGCTCTCATTTCGAGACAAGCAAGAGTTCCCAGCTTGTATCTCTTTGATCCATTAGCGGAGTCAGAGTTAGCAGTGTCCTGAGTTTGTTCCACTGTCTGACTTCCCTATGCTTATTTCACTCATTATAACAACTGGCAAATTCTACTTGCTCTATGCTCATTTATCTCACTTAATTTCACAAATTCCCGGTGCTGTAAGTATCTTCATATTACGGCTGCAGACCTGGAGGTTCAGGAGGTACGTACCCAAGTCAGGAAGTACAGCTGGCATCAAATCTCAGGTTCCAATGACAAGTGTCACAGGGACCTGTGCTTGGCAGGTTCTCACCCCCGCCCCAGGGAAGCACCTCGAGGGTTTTAGGAAGTGTGGAGAGGCTTTTTTGAATGCCATAGTCCCTGGGGGAATGGGAGAGGCCACTCTCATTGAGGGGAGCTGGAAGGCCAAATGACACAACAGTGACACACAATGAAGAATTCTCCCCACTGCCATGCCAAGGGTGCCCCGGAAAGAGCCACTGGGAGGACTGCCCAGGAACGTCCCAGCTCTGGCCTCCTTTGTTCCCTCATCACTACCATATGCGGCTTGTCCCTGATGGCATGAGCACTCTGCTTTTGAGAAAATGTATTTAAAACAAAACAAAATAAAAACCAGTTTAAAAACTGCGCGCCCGCTGGAGTGCTTAACTGCAGTGAACCAGAACCAGCGTCTTTAACTAACAGTCTGCAGTGCCTTTGCAGCTGCGTTGAAGCTCACATGGTCACAGTTCATAGCTAAGCCTTTGGGAAAGCCCTGGTCACCGTCCATGGCTATTGAGCCCCAGGCAGGTTCTCTGATTGTCTGACGACCCCCTCAGCACCCCTCGGACACGGCCGCCAGCGCCCCTCTTGGCCATGGCCGCGCTCAGCCCCAGGGCCTCCGCCGGTCCCTCATCTGTTCCCTCTCCAGCCTCCGACCACCCCTATCCAACTGGGCCTTGTTCTGACCCTCGAGAGCCCACCTGCCCATCTAGAGCCTGCCTGCCTGTGACCACAGGTCATAAACCAAGCCCTGCTGGGAAACCGGAGGGCCATCGCACAGCTGTCCGTCAACCTGATGGAGGCGACGCTGAAGCAGGAGCTCGAGAGCCGCCGCCGCTGGCAGGACCTGGTCGATGCCTGGAAGGCTCTCAAGAAGGAGGCCCTGGTGCAGAGCTTCAGGTCCGTGGCCGCGCGCACTGCCCGCAGCTCTTGCCCAGCTCGCCCGGCTGGCCTGTGGGCAGCACGGCGGCATGCTCCCTCCCTCCTTGGCACCACTTTAAAGTGCTGTCGTTTTTCTGTGGTAAAAGTAATATGTGCTCATTTTTTTTAAAAGTGAAAATAGAGCAAAGAATTTAGAAGAAATTTAAAATCACTGCTAATCCCTCACCCCAGCGAGAAGCACAGCTGATGTTTTGGTCTCTTTTCTCGCGGGCTTTTTTAGAGCCACACTGTGTATGTAGATTTCTGAGAACCGCACCAACTGTTTGGAAATGTTAGTCTGGTCATCTGCCCAATTACCCCTCTTTACTATTACACATAGCCCTGCATTACTGGGTCGTGCAAAACAAAGGCTATTCCTTGGCTTTGATAATTCCCACCCTCTGGTGGGAAATTCCACCCATGGGAGGGAAGGTGAAGAGAGCGTCCCCACGCTTCCCCTGCCAGGCCGCACTTTTGTTAATACCAATACGAGGGTCCTGGACCTTTTGGCCAACAAGGAAGTCTCTCTTTTGCAAAGAAAGGGACACCTTGGGCCAAGATGTCTGAGGATGCCAAAGAGTGCCTGTCCATCTGCACTTCGGGTCTGGGAGTGGAGGTCCCATCTGTACATCTGCATTTCCAGAGGGAGAGCATCCGAGTCCCACACTGAGGATGGAGGAAGGGGTCCTGAGACCTGGCTCCACCTGTACGTTCCTTGTGACCTTGATTTATCACTTGAACACCTGGAGCCTTTCTCTCCTTGTGCAAGGCTGAACCTTATGCAATCGTGAACTGGTGATAGGGTTTCGGTGATGTCAATAAGATGCTGCATGAAAAGTGCCTGGTCTGAGCCTGGGAGGTTGTTACGAGTGCCAGGAATCACCAACGTTGATGGCAGGGACCGATGTGTACTGGGCCTTTCCCCTGAGTCACGCACAGTGCTAGGGGCACTTCGCTTGCAACATCTTGCTGGGCCTTCATCATCATTTGCTCCATCACAGACGAGGAAACAGATTCAGAGTGGGGACAGTGACTCGCCCAAGGCCACAGAGCCAGCAGGCCGCAGGCGGGACCCTCATCTGGACCTGTGCCTGCTGGTCCCATGCCCTTAATGCCAGAACCTCGCTGTCAGTCCCTTGGTTCTTCTCCCCCACACCTTTCCTTCTTTTCTCAGTGTCCCAGAGGCTCAAGGTGGGAGGAGGGGCTGGGAGTGGCACAAGGTGCTGGGGCTCTGAACGTTCTTATGTTCACGGGTATCATCTCTCTCCCACCCACCTTGCCCCTCCTCTTTTCTCCGTGGTGCCAACACGCCTGGACACCCAGTGAGTTCATGGCCAGTGAGAGGATCCTGGCTCCTCCAGCCGTGAAGAAGGAGCTGGAGAACATCCTGAAGAACCAGAAAGCCCTGCAGAGAAAGCGGCTGACGCATCTCTACAGCATCTGGTACGGCGGGACGGGACTCCGGGGAGGGCGGCCTCTGGCGGAGGCAGGCACAATTCCCAGCACTGACGTCTCTCCGGAGGCATCCTCCAGGCTAGGCCATCATCTCCGGGTTCTCTGGTCCTGGGCTGGCTGCCTGGGCCCACGTGATGGGGTGTTCCAGCCCCAGTGGCAACAATGAACATGACACATTTGCTGCAGAAAAGTTTGGTGTGACTGTGCCAAAGAGCTTGGAAGGAGTCAATGGCAAGGGGAGAGGTGTAGGGACAGTGGTGGGGACAAAGGGACCAGGTTAAGGGGTTGGACTTTTCCTGAGGGCAGTGGGGAGCAATGTGGCTCCATCAGCTTTGCAGTTTGGAGGGTAAACTAGAGGGGTCTGAAGCTGGAGGCCGGGAGGTCGGTGAGGAGGCCGCTGCTATCAGACAGGGAACCTGTTAGAGGCTGTGCACACTCCCTCAGACCTGGGTCCGTCCAGCTCTGACCCCATAATAAGTTGTTTGGCAGGAGGTACACTGAACGTTCTAGACCCTGGAAGCCCACTGCCCGGTGAGCCTGTGGCATCCACTCTGAGCAGCAGGATGGAGCCTGTATGGTCCTGCAAGCTGGAGACACTTAATGTCTTCCTTGGTCCCTCCCATCCTGGTCATCCTAGGACTCCCCAGCGCAGGGCCTAAATTCTGCTAGAATAGAAATGACAGTTACTGCCCCACATGGTCTCCCCCTCAGCTGGTACCTCCCGCTCCACATGCAGCCACAATTTCATGCAAATGTAAGATTAACAAACTGGATAAAAATCTCAATGCAAGGAAAAGTGCTTTTGTTGTTTTCCAAAACTCCACTTATGGGTGATTCTGAGCCCTCGTTTGTTAAACTGGGCAAACGCCAGTGCCAGGCGCCCAGGACCCTGTGGTCTGCACCTCCCCCGCCCCTGTGCTCGCGTGCAGGCCCTGTGTGGGCCTGTGGGCCGGGAGGTGGGGCCAGCTGGGGGAGTGTTGCTAAGACTCCCAGGGCTCCAGGAGGGAGTTATCCAAAGTCCAGGAAGAGCCCCCATGGACTTTCTTGGACCCAACAAGCATTTGTGCATATAATTTAAAAATAGTTTGTAAATTACACTTGTATTTTGGAGTAATGTTAGATTTACAAAAAAGTTACAAAGATAGCACATGGAATTCCTGTTTATCAGTTTCCCCTATTGTTGTCATCTTATGTTACCACTTGACATGTGTCAAAACTAAGAAATTACTTTGATGCTTTTCCATTTACTAAACACCAGACTTCTTCAGATTGACCAGTTTTTCCACTAATGTCTTTCTGTTCCAGGAACCAATCTAGGGTACCACATTGCATTTAGTGCAATGATTAGGTTTGGGATTATGCAGTATGCACTCTTGTACCTACCTTTTGCTCTTTACTGCCCCACCCTCAAGAGGGTGCCACAAGTATCCTGGGTTTACCCATCCTCTCCTGGCATAATCATGAATAGCTCTTCCCCTTTCACTGTCAAAAATGTCCTGGTTTGGACAGCAAATTATATGGTCCCTCTAGTCATATGCATCTTTTCATACCACCACCCAAAACTTAGTGGCTGAGAACAACAACCATTTCTTGTTTCTCGTTACTCTGTGGGTCGGGGAGGGGGTTCCTCTCATCTGGGATGGCTTGGCTGGGGACGGGTTGTCTAGGATGGTCCCACTCCCATGTCCAGGGCCTCGGCTGGTAGAGCTGGGGCCTCTCTCACCTTGCTCCCTTAGCCTCCCTTATCCGGGCTCCTTGGCAAGGTGGGGATGGCACAGGAGCTCCCTGCAACGAGAGGGCAGGGAAGTGCTCTAGGCGTCCCCAGCCTCTGCTGTGTCCTGTTTGCTAACATCCCATTGGCTGGGCCCAGATCCAAAGCTGGAGAAATAGACTTCATCTCCTCTTGGGAGGAGCTACTGATATTTGGCCATTTTTCAATCTGCCATGCTTTTTTAATGACTTCACAAGAGGATTCACTGTACTTTATGTAGACAATTCTTTATAGTTGGATAGGAAGTTTGTTTGCATTTTTATTTTTTTTCTTTTTATAAACAGTCATGTTAAGGGACCGTCTTAATGCATAACTTTGTATAAATTGTTATCTCAGATTAGGTTCCTAGAAGTGGCTTCTTTGGTCAAGCGATGAAAGCTTTTTTTTCCCATTAGGAAAATTTGGTTTTACTATCTAAGTAACAAGCTGGTTAATACTGATAGACCTTTTCAAGAGGTGTGTGCATGGCACCAGCAAATCCCCAGCGAGTCACTTTGTTTCCTCAGTATTTACATAGATAGTGCTTGGGAGCACGTTCCTGGAAGATGCTACCAATTTTGATAAGTGAATGTTTTATTCGAGCATGACTTACTTGTCATATCTTCCTTCCCCAGTGACCTTCTGCCCCCCAATTACAGCAAAGAGCAGCTGGCTGAATGGTATTCTTCTTTCAACTCCCTGAATAAGTGCCTTGGTGAGTGAGGTTTGCCGGATTTCCCTTGGGTCTCCCCAGAACTGTGTTGAAGTAGCAGCTTTGTAGCAGCTTCAGCTGGTCAGTCAGTCATTTATTTGAAAGTTACAGGAGTGGGTGGCAAGTCCCCCCTGTGGGAAACAGGATAGGGGTGGAGGGAAGCAGAAGTTCTGTGGGCTCCTAGCGGCCCTCTCAGACCTGGCCTGGCAGAGCCATGTGGTTGCGGTGACATCAGTGATCCTGATTCAGGCACTTGACTGGGTAGAAGACGCTTCCCTTCGTGAAGGGGAAACTCCTCTTTCTAATCTCCCTTCTTCCTTCTGGAAGAGCAGCTGACATGTTTTGTCTCCATCTATGCAGACACCTACCACGCCAAGTGTATGATGCAGCTCCGCTTCCAGTATGAGAAGACCCGGCAGGAGTGCCTGGCCTATGTGCAAAAGTGCAGGGTGGGTGACCCGCTGGGCGGCCTGAGGAACAGGGCTCAGCCTGATGTCCCCTCCCTGGCCCACCCTGTCTCTCTCTAGCTTAGGGTCCCCTGCTTTCCTTTCTCACACACCGCAGGATTTCATTGGCTATGGGTATCCTGAAGCTCTGCCCCCTGCTTGCCTCCTGTCCCCTGTCCCCATGTTGTTCCCACCTCCGGGAAGCCTTCCTGATCTCACAAAGTTACACTCTCTGATTGCCTCAGACTTCACTCTGTACCACGTGCGACACTTGACACCAGTGACTCGGAGGAGTTTGGCCGCATCCTACGGGTTATTTCCAATGCTCCACTTTTATGAGCGGCGCTATCATTTCCGTCACACCCAACCTTTCTCTTCACCTGCCCACCTCTGTTAGAGGGTGAGCCGGTGGGTTTGCCCACAAAGCCCCTCAGTGACAATGCCTGGCTTTCTGGGATACAGGAAATATTCGGTCAAAATGCCCTCTCCCTGCCACCTCAGTAAAACTGTTTAGATGGAAAATTAAAAAAAAAAAAAGAAAGAAAGAAAAGCCCAATCATTTTGAAGATGGTCTAATCCGCCAGCTGTGGCAGTAGGAGTCCCCGAGCTCTGAGTGCCCCACCGGCCGCCCTCAAGAAGCTCCTGCTCCTCCACCCCTCACGTGTCTGCCCAGCTTTTGCTCAGCCACCAAGACTCTGAGGCAAGCAGAGCTTTACAGTGCGATGCACAGCCCAGGTGCTGTCGCTCCTGTGGGCAGTGCCACCTGCTGCAGACACTGTCCTTGAATCCTACAAGGTCCTGTACAGTGGGTGTCGCGCATCAGCCCCACCTGGAGATAAGAAGACCCAAGTTTGCAAAAGGCCCAGGGGCTGCCCAAGCCCACAGGGCTCTGCCCATTTGCTGTGTGGCCATAGGGACAGCCATGTGCCTGTCACTCAGCTCTTTAGGGGCATCAGACCTCAGAGGTAGAGCCTGGAGAGAAAGGAGGGAGGTAAGCCATGTCCTCTGAGAGTCCCCCAGCCCCACCGGCACTCACCCCCCCAACCATACCCTGATGCTGCTGCCCAGGACCCCCGGGCCCTTTGGCCCTGAGGGCTGATGCCACGCACCCCTTCTCACTGCCCTCTGTCCGGCTCCTGCAAGGGCTGCGTGCTTGCCGACGTCCTCACGTGCCCCAGGCATGCGTTAGCCTGACAGAGGGTGCTTGGTATTCCTATTCAATACCCCTGGAAATATTCAACTACAGACAAATTTTTAATTTGGGGGAGGTTTGTTATTTTAGAGTTTATGCATCAACCAAGGCTTTATTAACATAGAGAGCCCACTTTCCAGCTGGCATCGCTCAGTTACAGGAAACAGGAGCCCTGTGTGACTTGCAGCGACACTGAGGCCACATAGGATGGTGGGTTGTGCCTGTAGGGTTGGCAGTAGGACAGTTCTGAGTTCAGGTCCTGGCCCCGCCATGTGCCACACGTGTGCCACCAGCAAGTTCCCTCACTTCTCTGAGCCCTGGTTTCCTCATCTGTCTAATGGGGCCTAATGAGAACACCTCCGGGGGGATGGGTGGGAGGAATCAGTGAGACGGGGAGGGGACAGCACAGAGCACCTGGACATAGTGGGTGGACCACAGCGACGACCATCTCCGCTGCTGAGAGTGTTTCCCCCGAGGCTCTCAGGGTGGATGGAGGCAGGTTTCAGGGGGCAGGACCAGGCAGGTGAAGCCCCCAGCAGCTTTAAACCAGGTTCTGCCTTGTCCCCTCCAGAAGCAGCTGCTGGACTGGAAAGCCTTCACTGAGGAGGAGGCAGAGAGCGTGGTGAGCCCGTCCTTCTTCCAGGCAGTGGAAGTGCTCCAGAACAAGGTGGAGGAGGAGCTGGAGTCCTTGGACGTATGTAGCTGGGGACCCGTGCAGCAGGGTGGGGTCACCCAGGGTGCTGGGCTGGGGGAATGGGATTCCGGGGCCTCCAACTTTCCTCTCACGAGGGAGTCCTTTTCCTCCATCATGGCCAGCCCCTCAGAGCAGTCCCTCCTCGCTGGGCACTCCAGGCTCTCCCCCGACTCGCAGCCACCCCCCCACCCCCGCCCTGCCCCAAATGACACCGTTCTCCTTGGAAACAGCCTCCCAGCAGCGAGTGCTCCTGAGCCCCTCTCAATCTGAGTACAGAAGGGCCACGGGAACAGTAAGCCCTGTCCCAAGATGCTTAGAATCTAGAGCAGGGTCAACTAACATTTTCTGCAAGGGACTGGATAGCAAATGTTTCAGGCTCTGTGGGCTGCTGCCAGGTCTCTGTAACAAATTCTCACTCTGCTATCCTCACACAAAGGCAGCCAACAAGTGGGTGTGGCTGTGTTTCAAGAAAATTTTCTTTGTAAACACTGACATTTGAATTTTATATAATTTTCACATCATTAAATATCTTCTTTTTATTTTTTTGTCCCCAGCCATTTAACAATATAAACTCTGTGCTTAAATCCCAAGGCCAAACAGAAAGGGATGGAGGGCTGCATTTAGCCCACAGGCCAAGTTTGCTGACTCCCTAGCACTGATGAGAGCACAAGACAACTATTTTTTTAAAGAAGGAGAGCAGAGTGTGGGTTTGGCTCAGATGCCGAGGGTCAGGGAGCTCCACAGAAGGAAAGATGCCTTGGGCCGAGATGGGTGCAGCCACCTGAATGCCCGGGCTGGTTTCTAGGGTTGTTTCTCTTCCAAACCCAAACTCCATCTTCTTCCTGTCAGAGACTTCAGTGGACACGGGTCGGGCCTAGACAGGAGACTTCAGGGAAAGCCAGGCTAAGGGTATGACCTTGGGCCAACTAGAAATGCTGTCCCAGAGGAGGGAGGGCCGTGAGCCAAGATGAGGCCCAGAAGACGACCTTGAGGGACAGTGCCCAGGCAGTAATGGCCAGTCCTTGGAGATATGAGTCCTCCACTGTTCCGTGAGGCAACCTCGTAAGTGGGTCCCTTCCCCTTGCCCCGGGGCACTTGGCACTGAAGGCCCCTTCTCTGGGCTCTGCCACTGCAGAAATCCTTTGAGGCCCTAGCGAAGCGGGCAGAGTGGCAGAGCTTGAACCTCTTCAGCTACTTCCAGGAGGCCGTGCAGCTGTGGGAGGCACATCAGGGCCTGCTGTCTGTGCAGGAGCTGGAGCTGGAGAAGCGGATGGAGCTGCAGCGCCAGAAGCACAGCCTGGAGGACCAGGTATGGCTCCTACCCGCACCCCCAGCAGCCCCCACAGCAGATGAGGGAAGGACCACGCCCTGATTGTCAGCTGCCTGATAGCTCTGCTTGGTGGCCTGTGAACTCAGCTAGCATTCAGGTGCAAAAAAGGAGAAAAATAAATAAAACCAATTTGACCCATGTTTCACACCATCAACAAAAATTAATCTCAAATGTAAAACCTCAAGCGAGCTCTAAAACTTGAGCTGATGGGGAATTTGAGGCGCATGTTGGCCATGGGACCTGATGAGAGTAGAAGGAATTCACCTGAGTCAGGTCTGGGCTGTGCAGTGTGTCCCTGGATCCAAATGTGTCTGCAAGGGAACGTGCATGAGAGCCAGACAAATGGAGGGCATGGAGCAACTACTGTTGGCAGTGAGCTGGCTCCCGCCCCACCTGGCTTCACACAGTCTAGGAAGTAGAGGGAGTGTGCTCAGTACCTCATGTCAGTACAACTAGTGGAAGCGAGGTGCAGGTGGCCTGGGAAGGTGTTGGTGGGCCAGGTTAGGTGGGTGTGAGGGATGTGTCCCTGAGGAGTCTCATCTGAGCTCGGTCTCCAGGGACGTAGAATAGACAGAGAAGAACGCTAAGAGCCCAGAGGCCCAAAGCAGAGCCCTTTCTGCAGAGAAAAAAGAGTCCCGGGCCTGCCCTGGGTGCCTGGCTGCGGTCCCGGGGGCGGGGTCTGTGTGTGTCACTAGAGACCCGGCAGCTCCCACCTGCTTTCTCCTGTTTTGGGGTTGGCTGCCAGGCCCAGGAGGCCCAACTTGACGAGCTGTTGGACCAACTGAGGCAGGAAAGCAGTGAGGAAACACTGAAGTCTTACCTGGAAAAGGCCAAAGATTTTCTGAAGAATATAAAATGCAGGTAGGCAGACCAGACCCCAGAAGACAGAGGGGGATGACCCGGAACTCAAATTCAAGGTCAGGGGCTGCCTGCTCTGGAGCCCAGGGGGTACCCAATGAACTCAAGACTAAATGTTGCCTCCAACTCGAGAATGTCGTGGTCCTTTACATCTCTGCTCTCAGTCAGCACAGAAGCTTCCAGGGAGAACTTTCATCTGAAACGTTTGTGGAGGGAGGTTTCAAAGCCTGTTATTTAAAGGTCAAAAGCATGGACCCTCTGCTGCCTTTAAAATTTTAAAACATACATGCTCTTTGTTAAAGAAAAAAAAGTTAACTAATACACACATGTAGAAAATTTCCCCTCATTCCTGCTCAACTCCTTTTTATGGGCATGTATAGAGGTGGGTATATACACATATGTAGTATTTTTTAAACAAAGGTTGGATCATACTATGCAAATTGTATGCAAATTTTATAACTACAAATACATTTCCATTTTAAATTACCATGTAGAATTTATTAATATGATTGCTCCATAATTGTTTAATCATCCCCCAGTGGATTAGCTTTTTAAGATTGGTTCCGGTTTTTCAATATTAAAAACAGTTCTCTGTGAATCATCTTGTATCCTTGTGCTTTGCACAATTAACTCTCTGAGGACTATTCACAGAAAAGAAATTACACTGCTGACTGCTTGTAGTTCTTAGGTTCAGAATTATACCTTGAGGCTAAGTAACCCTCTGAGCCTTGGTCTCCTTTTGCAGGAAACAGATAAAAGTCTGGGTCTTGAGGCATTAAGCAGGGATGTCCAACCTTTTGGCATCTCTGGGCCACGCTGGAAGAAGATGCAGTGTCTTGGGCCACACATTAAATACACAAACACTAAGGAAAACAAAACAAAATAAAATCTCATAATGTTTTAAGAAAATTTACAATTTTGTGTTGGGCCGCATTCATAGCCATCCTGGCCCACGTGTGGCCCATGGGCCACAGGTTGGACACCCCTGTGAGATAATGCAGATGACACAGGTGAAGTTCAAGGACAGGATTGGGACTGTGGGCTTGAAGTGGGAACCCATGTTACAGCAAGCAGAGAACACTCTTGTGGGTGTTTTCTAAATGTTCTACAAAGTTTGTATTTCTTGTATGATCAGAAAAACAAACCAAGGACTATTATTGTAAAAAGAAACCTATATAGCAGCTCTGTGTAGAGCTAAATGCCAACTTCCAGCCCACCTCTCTGGGGCAGGGGCTTGACTTTTGTCTGGGGTCTTCCACACTCAGCTGAGCCCTTCTTAGATGATGGTCTCACCTACCTACTTCCCAGGTATGAGTATTTTCATGCCCTCCTGACCCAAGAAGTGATGGAGTACTCAGCAATCATACTGAAAGAACTCAATTCCTACAGCTCCAACCTCAGCCGACACTTTCATGTTCGTGAAATCTTTGAACAGGTAAGGAGAGAGAGGGATACAGAAAGCCCAGCCACTCACCAAGAAGCAAAAGATGGCTTCTAGTTCTGATTTGCTTCAACTTCGAGCACCTCCCCTAACCTGTGTGAAGTTGGATCTATGTCAGGACATTGAGGAGAAAAAAGCTGAAAGCATCTCTAAAAGAGACCACCTCTTCCTCGGATTAAAAGAGGTTGAAGGGCTCAGAACTCAGGCCTCCCGTTTTGAATGGAGTTCTAATAAAAAGATTAATTTAGATGGTCCATTTGCCCAACCCACCACGGCCACATTACCCCCTAAGATACAGCTCTGACCTACCCACTGTCCTGCTCACAAGGCCCTGCCCAACCCTGCAGCCCCTAGATGACCGCAGAGGCCCCGCCTCTGGCTCCCACCTTGACTGTCCCTGCTTCAGCCCCCTCCTGGCTCTTCCTGCATGTGCCCCTGCCCCTGGCCTCCCTCGCTCTGCTCCTCTGCTGGCCGCTGCCTGTCTCCGCACAGCGCGATCCCGCCCGATCTTCCAGGCCACGGCCAGTGATAAGGACCCCATTCGCCAAGCCTGACCCCCGTATTGCCTTCCTCCCCCTCACTTCTCCTCTCTCTGAGTGTGCTTGCACGTTGGTTGCTTTCGAACACAGGAGTTCAGAGCACCTGTTGACGGTGTTTCCTGAAGGGCCGGTGTGCCTTACCAACTTTTATTCAACTTGGATTGCAAGGCCTTAGCACAGTGTCTTGCACATAATTCAGAAAAAAATGAATGCCCCTAGGTAAATGCACAAGAGTCTGGCATGTCCTGATCTGATTCTCCCAGAGAGGTTGGCTCTTTCCTGCACACCCAGCCAGAGTCCAGCATGGCCAGAGCTGAAAATATTTGTGATTGACAGTGAACCTGGCCAAGGCTTTCCCATACACATGGCCTCCCTGCCTCCTCCGAGAATCCCTCCTCTCAGCAGGAGTCACTGTTCCCATTGCTCCTCAGTGCTCCTGTGGCACCTCCAGTGAGGTGAAGCTCAAGCTATAGGAGAGTGAGATCAGTCTGGCTGCCTGGCTTAAAGGATAGATATTGTCATAGTCTCCTTGTCATGAGGGAGGACACGGAGCCCCACAGGGTTTAAGGGGTTTGCCCAAGGTGACCCAGCTTATCAGGAGCTGGGGTTCGAGTCCAGACCTGCAAACCGCTCAGCCCACACCATTATCTATGGCACACTGAATCTATAACTTCATCCAGGGAATTGGTAGCATCAACGAGAGGACTCCCAGGTCCCCTAAATCATGCTCATTCTGTAAGTCTGTGAACCCAGAATGAACTGGGTGCAGTGGATTCCTGCCGCTTTGTTTGAATCCTCCAACTTTCTAGCCCTTTGCCCCAGATGATTAACAAAAATGTGTCAGAATGAGACTTGATGCTATTAATGCCCACTGTGGGAGGAAAGGGTTTGCCTGGGATTAAGGAAAGTGGATTCCCTGGATTGGGAACACCCTGATGACCCCAGTGAAATGGCTACATTAGATATTGGAGCGGGAAGCAGGTCTTCTTACTTAAAAAAAAAGAGATGCCCTTAGAAGTGACGCCCTGGAGGAAGGCCCCATGGCTCCCTCAGTGTCCCGTGTTCTTTCCTTGCAGAACTTGGATGGGGAAGTCATTCTCAAACTCAGGGAACCAGGTAAACCCTTCGCACATCAAGTCTGATCCTCTCTGACTCCACTCCTGTGTATTCTGGGGCTGGGGACACCCAATTCAGGCTACATTGGTAACCCGCCTTTCCTCATGCTTTGGGCTTGGTCCTCAACAGAAGGATGTGAAAAGCATTTCCAGGAGAAAATTAGAAAACTGAGGAGGAAGCAAAGGGCTAATGTGGAAATGAGCAAAAGTGAGGGAAGCATAAGTGGAAGCACAAGTTCCCCCAGGCCAGCAGAAGAAATGGAAGAAGAAAAATCTCAAGACATTGAGTCCTTCATGATTGAAGAGGTGAGAGTAGGCCAGCAGGTGAAATCCATACTGAGTGAAGAGACGGGTGAGCCCAGAGAGGACTCTATTCAGGAATTAGAAGAAATGCAGGTTGAAAGAGACAGCTTCTTAAAACCATCCCAGGAAAATGTGATGGTTCAAGAAAAGGAGAAGGAAGAGAAGAAAGAGGAGGAGGTGCAGGAGGAGGAGAAGGAGAAGGAAGAAAAGGAGGAGAAAGAAGAAGAGAAGGAGAAAGAAGAAGACAAGGGAGAGGAGGAAAAGGAAGAATATGATAATTTACTTACATTTGAGGTAGGTCAGCAATGGATTATCCTTTGGTAAAGGAAAGCGTGCTATGTTCACTCTGCGTATCATTAATACAAGCTTAAGTCACCAATAGTTCAGTCTCTCTTGGGGTACATATGAAGAATGACAAAGGTATGCACACCTTTTATTTGTGTCAACAGGGATCCAATTCTTATCTCACAGCAAAGCTTTTTAAAATTCTCCTTCCTCTTCTCACATCCCATCCTACAATCTACTCTGAACTCACATGGCTTTCCTCATTCTTTTCTCATCCTCTCTCTTCCCCAGCTTCTCTTTATTGTCTAGATCAACTTAGCCTCTCTAGTCCTTCTTTCTTCCCATTCTCATTCCCATTCCCATTCCCATTCTCATGCTCATGTGGAAAACAAATGACTTATCTCCTAGTTGGCAGACAGGGCTTTCCTTAGAGTGCAGGGAAGTAACTCTCATGTTACTAAGTCTCGTCCAACACATTCCAACTCACAGAACAGTAACTTGAATTTCATAATCATGAAATTGCAAAAGACTCTTTTCCTGTATTGCTGTAGAAGAATTGTCACATGAGACTTCTTTCTGAGCAGGAATCTCACACTCAAATGCCCACAGGCATGGAATCGAAGACAGAGCTAGAGACCAATTGTAAAATGGTGACAAGTGTGGTAGTGAGTATTGTCTTGGTTCATTCCAGCTGCTGTAACAGAACAGCATAAACTGGGCAGCTTATAACGACAGAAGTTTTTGCTCACAGTTCTGGAGACTGGTAAATCCAAGACCAAGGCACCAGCAGATTCGGTGTCTGTTGAGGGCCCACTTCCTGGTTTATACACGGCCATCTCCTCACTGTTCCGTCACATAGTAGAAGGGGCAGGGGAGCCCTCTGGGGTCTATCTTATAAGGACACTAGTCCCATTCATGAGGGCTCTGCTTCATGACCTATTCACTTTCTAAAGGCTCACCTCCAATAGCAATACACTGGGAATATGAATTTTGGGAGGACATCCAACATTCAGTCTACGGCAACTGTGCAGTCATTACTCAGCTCCAACCAACAACACCATGAGGGAATGTAGGCTCAGAATTGCCAGATTCTCTGACTTTTAAGAGAAATCCAAGATCCAGACTATATGTGAAATCTCCCGATTTTAAAAGCACTGGGTGGGGGGTGGGGGGTGGGAGCGGGGACAATAACTACAGGCAAGATTCGGCTCACAGCTTTACAACCTCAGATGTCAAGGAGCCTGTCGTTGGGATCCCCAAGTCTGTTTGAAGCTATTAAGTCTAAAGTCTTGTTTTCTGCTTAGTTCAAAGCCCAGGAAGAGAGTCTGGATTCTGCATCCTATGAGGACATGGAGTCCTTCACAGTCTCCAGCGGGAACACTTACTTTGTCTTCCTACCCCTGGAACAAGAAGAAGAGGATTGCGAGAAGCCCCAGTCCAACCTTTCGGCCACTCTCCTCAACACTTCCAATGCCAAGTTGCTGGAACAAGTAATAATTCCGTCCACACTAGTTACAGAAATTAAGAAACAGTGAGTAGGAAACCCTTTTATTCTCACTCTTTTGTCCTGAGTTTTATTAACATGGTGAAATATTTTAATAAAAAATGGACTAATTTCAGCTGGTAAAAGGAAATGTATAGCCCAGGCTGTTATGGCTCAGGTGGTTAGAGCATCATCCCATAATTGAAGGGTTGCGGGTTTGATTCTTGATCAGGGCACATACTTAGGTTGTGGATTCAGTCCTTTGTCTGGGCATGAATGGTCCCCAGTCCAAGCATATATGATTCTCAGTCTGGGTGCAAATAGGAGGCAACAATCAATGCTTCTCTCTCACATCGATGTTTCTCTTCCTTCCTCTCTCTCTCTCTCTCAAAAAAAATAAAAAATAAAAAAGCAATGAAAAAAAAGTCCTTGAATGAGGATAAAAATTTTTTTTTAAAAAGGAAATGTACAACTGAAGGCAGAGATGAGAAACACAATAAATAAATAGAAATGTCCTGGAACTATTTGCAGTCACAGATAATTCTCTGTGTGAATGACCCCTCAGCCTGTCCCGGGTTGCCTTCCTCTCTTGGGCCTTGTACCTACAACAGTGTTTTATCTACAAGATATTTCTGGGTTGTAGATCATGCCCCATCAGTAATCATCGGGTTTCTAAGTTTTTTAAAAAATTTATAGATGTAGACCATAGGTATGAGTATATCAGTATGGTATGTGGTTTGATTATGTGACAAGTATATTGCAGAAAATTAGAAAATTGAAAAAAGTACAATGAATATAGAAATGACCCATAATTCTACCATCAAGAATTTACCTCCCCTAACTCCCAAGTTTCCTGGCCTTCATGTCTGAATTTGGACCAAACATGGAAACTTGTGTTTGGCTTTAGGACAGCATTTCCATTGCCCTCTTGACTCTACAAAGCTACAGCTAAGACTAAGCAGTTAGAGATTACCTGCTTAGTCTACCTCCCATGTTTATACATGCGCAGGAAATAGAAGAAGTCAGGCCTTGGTACTCTTTTCTCCTTCACCTCAGCATCTTTTTATCTTGGAAATGTCTCTTTATTTGAACCTCATCCTCTCCTTCCTCTATCACAGTTCTTTGTCCTCTCCGTAGGCCATAAAACAAAGAAAAGCAAGAACCACCGCAAGAGCTAATATTTATTGAGAGGATTTAATACTTTCAATAATTATAGGAGGGGTATAATAATTAGCCCATTTTACAGATGAAGAAACTGAACCTCAGAGAGTTAGTAACTTGGATAAGATCTCTGAGATAGAAAATGGTTAGATCCATGGTATGAATTTAGACCCTGTTAATTCCAGAATGTTGAACAAACACCATGCCATCTGACCTTGGGACTAACCATAAAAAGAGTTCTGTGTTTAGATGATTGCATTTGCATGTTGCAGGACAACATACATATCAAAAAGTACAAAAATCATGAGTGTATAGCTCAATGAATTATCCAGAGGGAATGCACCTGGTAACGAGTACCCACAAGAAGTGGAGCATTACCAGCTCTCCAGGGGTTCCCCTCATGCACCTGTCCCAAGTCACTGCCCTCTCTTCCCCAAGGATAACAAATATTCTAACTTCTGAATTAGTTTTGCTGGTTTTTGAACTTTATCGAAATGGAATCATACAGAATGTACTGTTTATGTCAGGCTTTTTTCATTATGTTTGTAAGGTTCATAAATATTTTTTAATATTGCTGTAGCTCATTTTTTATTTCTGTATAGTATTTTATTTATCCATTCTACTAGTGATGCATGTGTGGGTTGTTTCCCATTTGGAGATATACCAACAATGCCACTCTGAACATTCTTTTATGTACAAGTCTCTTGGTGAACACACACACACACACACACACACACATTTCTGTTAGATATATAACTAAGGGTGAAATTGTTGGAACATAGAGTTATATGTGTGTCCATCTTGAGAGGATACAACCCCAAGATACTACCAAGAGTTTTCAAAAGTGGTTTAACAGTTTACAACAGTGTGTGAGAGAGTTCCACTTGCCCCATATCCTCAGTGGTACTTGGTATTATCAGCAGTTTTTATTTCAGCTATTTTGGTATCTGTGTAGTGGTGCTTCGTTGTGATTTTATTTTGAATTTTTCTGATGAGTAATGATGTTGTGAACATTTTTCATATACTTTTTGGCCATTTGGTTATTTTATCTTCAAATTCTTTGCCCTTTTTATTTTTCCCTCTGCTGGATCTTTTCTCTCATTGATTCATATGAGTTAGTCACCTCCCCTAGACATGAGGTTTTTTTCAGAGAAATACATGGCAAATATTCATTCCTTCTCTGTGCCTACCTTTTTAACTCCTTTAAAGGTGTCTTTTGAAGAGCAGAAATTCTAATTTGTAGTCATGTGCTAATCAGCAATTTTTCTATAAGGGTTAATGCAATTTGTGTTCTAAGAAATCTTTGCTTGCCCCCAAGTCATGAAAATATTGTCCTGCATTCTCTGCTACAAGTGTTATTGTTCTAAACATCCACATCTAGATATAAAATCCATGTGGAATTGATTTTTGTTTATGGGGAAAGGTAGGAGTCAGCATTCATTTCTTCCCTGTATGGATACCCTGCTATCTCGAATACCCCAGGCTATTCGAGAACACTCTCCAGTCCCCGCGGCTCTGCGGTGCCTCTTCCTGTTGCTCTGTGTGTCTGTCTGCAGAATCACCTCACTTTGCCTGATGACCGTATCTTTACACTAAGCTTTAATATCTCAAAGTATAAGTCTTCCAAATCTGGTCTTCTCCAAGACTGTCTTGACTATCCTTGAACACTGGTATTTCTATATCAATGTGAAATCAGCTCATCAGTTTCTATAAGGAGACATCTGCTGAAAAAATTTTTTTGTTATCTCATTGAATCTAAAGGCAAATTTGGGGAGAACTGACATCTTAACAGTACAAAAATTTTAAAAGGGAAGAAATGATAAGCTGAGCAAAAATTTGCGATTCATATCACGGTCAAAAGACCTCCTGTTCGCAATATGCAGAGAGCTCCTGTATAAAGAGATTGCTAAGAAAAAAAAAGCAGTTACAGAGTAGAGGAATGGGCAAAAGAAAGTAATGGATAGTGTGAAGAAAAAGAAATTAAATAATCTTCAACAAATGAAAACACACTCAATCTCAATCATAAAATGACAACACTGTCAAATTTAAAAGCATGATAGTATATTCTGAAACTATGGAGAAGTAGGAATTATTCCTCGCTGCTTCCAGGAGTTCAAGTTACTTGCAATAGAAGCACTTTGGTTGCATCTTCAAGAATCACACATGTATTTTAGCCTTTGATTTGACACTTCCAGTTCAGGAAATTTATCCTATAGAAATGCTCCTACATGTACTCGACATGTGTACAGCGTTTTTCACTGTAGCCTCCTTTGTAAGAACAAATGTTTGAAAACTACCCAGTATCTTCCAGCAGGGATATGGTTAGAGAATAGTGGTCCACCCAGACCACCCAGACCCAGCCCAAAAAATGCAGTGCAGACGAGAAGTAAAATAAGGGAGAAGGAGCGAAAGGGCAACGAACTTTATCAACATGGAAAGATCTCTCGTTGGCACGATTGCAGGCAGACTGACGCTCACTGGTCTCTCCCTCAGACTTCGAGCTGGCTTCTTTCAACACTTAGAGGAGTGGTTTGACCAGTGTGCTCTCAGTGTCCGGGCCATTGTTGCCACCAAGATTGATGAGCTGGAGTCCGAACTGGAGCTGCGTCTGCGTCTGCACAAGCCAAGAGCCCAGCGCATTGAAGAGGACATCCACAATGTCAGGGCAGGTACAGAGCCTGCCTGGGGAGGCTGCTCTGCCCCAGACCCCTGGTGTTTGTGCCACCACAGCTCCACATTCATTAGCTGCCCCAGTTTGCATCACACGACATTTATCTTGCTGCTATCACACCGCGGAAGATGTGTGCACAGGTTTGCACTGCCCAGGGTGGCAGAGAAGGTAGTACTCAGAGTACTCGTTCAAGATTTTAAAAAAAAATAAAAAAATTTAAAGGCATTAGATACTGAGATGACAAGTATTGTCCTTTTTTAGCTGTGTGGATCCCACCTCTGTCCACATACCTGTCAGATACATACCTGCCTGGCAGATGCTTTAGAGGCAAACGCGTGGCTCAGGAATCAGAGCTATCAGGCTCCACCACTGCAGCTGTGTGACCCTGGGCAGATGACCCAACTTCTCTGATCCATCTCTCATCTGCAGGGGATGTTGGTGGTAGTGGTACAGTCAGGAATCATGAGCGCCTGGTACAAGTCACAGCCTCCAAAAGTGGTGGCCATTAATTTCAGAGTACAATTTATAACACTTAAGAAGAGGTGTCTTCTTTCTTAGGCAGAGGGCTCCATTAATGGGAGGGGGCACACTTTTAGTTGGATCCTGCAATGACCCCTGTTAGGTTTTCATTTGTGTTACACTTCAAGCTGCATCATAGACCTTTAGAGCTCGCAGGCAGTCCCCACATGATCCCACCCAGCCTCCTATACCGGGGGCTCTGAAATGGTTGTGGAATCAGGCAACCTGGCCTGGAGTCCCAGTGTCTGTGGCCTAAGGAGACCTGCTTGACTTTTGGGACCTCATTGTCTTCATCTGGAAAATGTACATTAACTATACATATAAATAAAGATGCTTTCTGAAGCCTGGTTTCCTTCCCTTTCCCTGGCTCCATGGCCCAATACACAATGTGGAAGTCAAGGGCAGAGAAGCAATGTTCCAGAGTCACAGCGCTCCTTTTTGATAGAGCAGAGACCACACAGCACTTTCACCATGCCCAGCAGGAGGGAGACCAGATAGGGTGAACTGGGGCTGTCTGCTAACTCTAAAGGACCATGAGCCAGCTTTTGAAGCCAAATCCTGGTCCTTTTTACTATACCTTAGAAGCCTGTTGGAATTCAGGCTCATTGGAAATGAGTAGCCACTGATCTAAAGAAACAAGCCCCAGCTGCCCAGCTGTGGGCTGGACGTTCTCTCCCAGACCCTCTCCAGAGATCCCTGCCCTCCCCAACATCTTGCCTCCATCCCACCTGCTCCCAGGTTGCTCCCTGGGACTCCTCCTCCCTTACCGTGTTCCCTTCAGCTGCACGCAGGGTGTCTCCACCAGCAGAGACCTCCCCGCCCCACAGCTGGGCAGAGCCTCCTCTCCAGTGAGAGGCCTTGGAGCAGTCTCAGGTTGGCCTCCCTGAGATCAGGCCTATTGGTAGGCCGAGCTCTTGTGAGGGCTGCGGAACAGAACGAGGAACGTTGGCCTGAACGGTCCCTGCTCTGCAGCTGGCCCAGGAAAGGAGTGTCCTGAGGCGACTCTGGATCCAGAGGACCTCAGCTCCCCTCATCCTTTTCAGCCGAGCTCTTGCTTCATCAAGAGCGTGTGGACAGCCACTGCGCTGGGGTGGTAGAGGCGCTGAGGAAGGAGAAGCTGATGTTCTCCCAGTTCCAAGAGGAGCAAAACATGAAATCTGAAAACTTCCGCCGCAAAATTTACGACATGGAACACGTCTTCCTGAATGCCACCAAGAGCCAGAAGTAAGGGTCCCCCACCCTGACCTTGTGGTCCTAGAACCCAGCCAGGTGGCTGCTCTCAAAGGAGTGGTCCCTCCCTGGTGGGTAAAAGAGGGGGTTTTCCAGACCTAGAGCAAACTTCTCTTTTCAGTTCACCTCTTCATGAGAGTCAGACTCCAACTGTGTGAAACATCTCCCTGGGGGCTGGGGGCTGGGGGCTGGGGGCTGAGGGCTGAGGCCGAGGCTGGGGCTGGGGCTGGGGGTGGGTGAGCAGCCAGAGAGAAAAAAGGATGCTCGTGGTCAGAGTGCAGGGATGCAAATGGCGTGCCCAGAAATGTCCATGGTGGGAAAGACCTCTTCCATCTGGGGTGATCAGGAGGAGTTTCCCTGCAGGACACCCCTGGGCCTGGGATGGAGGAAGGTGAGGAGGGGGCAGAATTCTCCCCCCTCAGGAAGATCAGGAAGGGGCACTGGCCCAGCTCTGGGTAGGCATGTGCTCAGGGCAGAGCAAGGGCTTCCAGGAAGGTCATTCAGAGGTTTGCAATGGAGGCTCTTGTGTGCTCAGGGAGGCCTCAGTCAGGTAACAGGGGAGGAGTCTTTGAGGAGAGCACGAGGGAGCAGGAGCTACGTTGCTGGGAGTCAGAGCGAGCGAGCTGGAGGGAGGATGAGATCCAGAAGGACCTGGGGATTCTTCTACCAATTTAGTGGGAATTCCAGAGGGAAGAGAGAAGTGCCCTCTCATCCCGCACGCTGACCGTTCCATACTGTGTCCTGCACTCGCTGGCATTTTGAACTTCCTCCGAATGCCTCTTTTTCTACCCAGAGAAGACAGGCAGTGGTTCTGGTGGCTCCACAGCTGGGCATTGGCGGTAGAGCTCAAGCAGCCTTCCAGGTTGCCCTGCCACGCCCAGGTCACCACCCTGCCCCTCCCGTGTCCCCCAGGCTGGCCACTCTCAGCAGCACACTGCACCAGGAGCTGCTTAGCTACGTTGATGTCATCCAGGTGTCCCTGCGCAGCTTCCGCCAGTACCTGGAGGAGAGCCTGGGCAAGCTTCGTTATACCAACATCGAGTTCATCAAGCACTGCAGGTGGGAACCAGCCTCCTGGGCTCCTGTGGGCCACCAGGCATTTTCTCATGAGAACTGCTCACGTCCCCCTTACTTTTTTATTGTGACAAAATGTACATAACGTAAAATTACCCATTTTAACCCTTTTCAGTGGCAGTAAGTCATTCACAGTGTGGTGCCATCCTCACCACCATCCATCATCAGAACTTTCTCATCTTTGCAAACTGAAACCCAGCACCCGTTAAACACTAACCCCCCTTCTCCTCTCCCTCCGCCCCTGGCGGCCACCGTTCTGTTCTCCGCCTCTATGAATCTGACTACTCTAGGTACCTCGTTGCAAGTGGAATCGCACAGCATTGGTCCTTTGCACGTCTGCCTAATGTCTCTTTGCACAATGTCTTCAACATTCATGCACATTGCAGCATGTGTCAGAGTTCATTCCTTTTTCAGGCTGAATATGATTCCATTGTGCATGTATACTGCGTTTCGTGTATCCATTCATCCCTCGATGGACATTTGGGTTGTTTTCCTGTTTCTGTCTTTGACCTACCTGGTTTAACCTTGTAGGTTAAAAATAAAATTGTACAAAATTTTATAGGCCAATTGTACAAAAAACAAAGTACAAAATTCATTTAACCTTGATTTTGTACTTTTAATCTAAAGCCTTATCAACCACAGTGTTTGGGATGAATGGAAAGTATCGGGTCTGATCAGTGGTTTCTATTTCCCCCAAATTATTTCCAGATTGTTTTCAGAGGGAGGCAACTTTTCTTCTGAAGAAATTGAGTCACTATGTAACCGACTAGATAAGGAAGCTGCCCGGATAGAGTTTGTTGAAAGCTCTATCATGATCAACATGGAGAAGATGGAGAACGACTACCTGGACCAGGTGGGTGAGCCGCACCCTTGACCTTTAGCCAGGCTCTCAGGACACCTGGTTACAAGATCAACAGGGCCAGTCTCGCCCCCTTTCCAACCATTAGTTCAGCCTGTACACCTGTACACCTCTGCTTCCAAAGCTCAAAAGTTCCCAATTAAGTCCCCCTCCTTTACTTTTTGTATTTCTTTATAGGCCAATGATTTCATCAACAAGTTTGAAAGTAAATTCCATAACCTGTCTGTGGACCTTATTTTCTTAGAGAAAATCCAGCGTCTGCTGACAAATCTGCAAGTGAAAATCAAGTGTGAGGTAGGACAGACTAATTCCTTACCTGGAGGGAATTTATCACACACAGCTGCATGCCGGTGCTGTCCTGGACGCTGGGGGCACCAGCGTGGACTCTGCCTTGCGGGGCTTGCACTCCAGCCAGGATGACAGATTAAATTGTCATGTCTTCTCATGTTCACTGAGTTCTTATGCTCCATGTGTCCTGCTAACCGACTTATTTTGATTAGCTATGTTAGTCCTCACAGGAACTGTGTAAAGCAAGTACAGATTTTGATCCCCATTTTAGAGATAAAGATACACACAAAGTGACTTAGTCAAGAACACAGAGCTCTTACATGGTGTCGCTGAAATGTGAATCCAAGTCAAAAATCTCAAATAAACAACCTAACTGTACACCTCAGGGAACTAAAAAAAAAAGAACAAACTATACCCAAAGTTAGCAGAATGAAGGAAATAAAGGTAGATCAGAAATAAATAAAATAGAGACTAGGAAAAAAAATAGAAAAGATCAATGAAGCTAAGAGCTCATGTCTGAAGATAAATAAAATTGATAAACCTTTAGCAAGACTAAGAAAAAGAGAGACAATACTTAAATAAAATCAGAAATAAAAGAAGCCATTACCCCTGATACCACAGAAATGCAAAGGATCCTAAGAGACAACTATGACCAATTATATGCCAACAAACTGGATAACCTATAAGAAATGGGTAAATTCCTAGAAACATACCTATACCTTCAACAAGTTCTGTGAGTCACCGATTTTATTTTTAACGTTTATTTATTTAACAGTTTAAAGAAAATCTTTTAAATTTATATTGATCAGGTTTTTTATGAGATCGTTCATTTTCCCCTCCTGATTTCATTTTTCCAGTATTTAATTCATCTCTGAGATTACATGTTTTGCTGAACATTTTCCTGATCAAAATAGGTATTCTAGAAACCAATCTTGGAACCTCTGGTTTTTCTAGGTGGCAAAATCCAATTCACAAGCAGATGGATTAAATTCTTCTCTGGAACGGCTTCAAAGCAAAGTAGAAATGTATCGAAACTCAAGGGGAGATAAAAAGGTACGTGCTCAGTAGATGCTAAGCTACAAATGGTAAAAATTCTTCACGCTAGAATCGTAAACTGGGAATAAACTTACATCCGTGGTCAAGACTTCTTCAGCACCGAGGGGCCTCTGAGCTTTCCTACTAACCCCTGTTTTATTCCATGGAATTAAGGAAGAAAAGCAAAGCCTGCCATTTCTCCCAAACCCCAGGGCCTCCCAGGCAGGCAGCTAGGGTCCAGTCAGAGAGTTTCTTCTCTTCCATTTCTGTGATTGAGTTAAGGTTTCATTGTTATTAGCAGTAGAGGTCATTTATTCTTCTATCTTTATTGTTTTTTCTTGCACAGGAACACATGCTTCTTGCAAAAAGTCCCAACCTCCACGAAGCATAGAGTGGAGAATGCATATTACTCTTGTTCTCATTTCCTGCAGAGCCCCTTGTGACCGCTGCGATTTTGTGCAGATGTTTCCACACATCCCCTGCAGAGCAGGGAAAACTGGTCAATCTGCTCTGACCCCTTCCAATGGGGGGCGTTAGGCACAGCTCTGCCTCTCCAGGGCAGAAACATTTGCTCTCCCACATTTCCTCGCCTCCCGACCTCCCCCAGTTTCTTTGCTCTTCTGGTGGTGTCAGGGGGGCTAGGCGGGGTGCCAGGGGTTTGCACAGCCTCTGGGGGAGCACGAGCTTGGGTGAGCAGACAATCCTCTTGTTGATGGAAGACACCGGTTGGACACTTAGGCAGAGCAGCTATCAGGAGATGGGAGAGACGCATCAGGTGCATGCGAAGGCTGTGGGGACCAGGGATGGCACAGCCTGGGCTGTGTGCTCAGGGCCACTTTGAGCAGGGCTGTCTGGCTGCTGGGTACAGAAAGGCAGGGAGGTAGGTCAGAGAGAGGCAGGGCACCAGGACTGAGGCAGAGAGAATAGTGGCCTGGATAAGGTGCCAGCAGAGAAACGTTCCAATTCCAGAGCTGAGTGGAAGGGAGAAGGGGCATTGGAAATGAAGGAAGTGGAAGAGGCCAAGGCGCTCCTGGCCTGGGTCATCTAATAGGTCAGTGGACGATTCAGGGAGCAATGTGTGAGCACTGCCGAGTGATATATGGGAAGTGTGGTCAAGGTGAACCTACTCACAGTGCTTTCCTGCCCACCCGTGGGGCGTGGGCAGTGGGATAGCTGCTGCAGGGGTGTGTGCACTTGACGTTGTCATGAGAACCCTTCTGGAGAAGCTGTGGTCATGTCACTCTTACATACCCTCACCATCTCGGGCCAGACATTTCCTCCTGAATGTAGAATGTTACAGCTGGAAGAAACCCTAGGTAGTGTTCTTTGCCTCATCATACAGATGAGGAGACTGAGTCAAGTATGTTTCTTTTTTTAAAAACTTTTTTAAACAGATTTTCTCTATTTACTTTTAGAGAGAGGGGAAGGGAGGGAGAAAGAGAGAGCAATAAACATTAATGTGCTAGAGATACATCTACTGGCTGCCTCTTGTATCCCCCCACCTAAGGACCTGGCCCACAATCCAGGCATGTGCCCTGACTGGGCTGAACTGGCGACCTTTTGGTTCACAGACCAGCACGCAATCCCCTGAGCCACATTGGCTAGGGCAAGTCAAGTATGCTTAAATCATTTACCTAGAATAAACCTGTAGAACCGGGACTAGAACTCCAGATGCCTCATTAACTGAAGGATCCGCTGTCTCAGTGCAGCGGCGTAAAAGAGTCACCCTGGTGTTCCCACTCCCCCAGGGCCTCCCTGCAATGAGGGGCCCCCATCAAACCAAGAGGCACCCTCGCCAGCCAGCCCCCATTCCCGAGATTCGGATGGAATCAGCTCGCCCTCCCGCAGCCTGCTTCCTGTGGCTTTCTTGTTCCGTGTTCTCGCTAGGTAGTGACCACAGAAGATGTGCGTGGCTCTGTCCAAACTTGGAAAGAAAAACTGAACCAGAGGATTCAATACCTCAACTGTGGGCAGGATAGAGTGTCCACGACTCAAGTGGATTTTACTGTAAGGAACGGACTGGGGTGACGGCAACGGGTGGGTGAGCTCCTGGGTCTGGGCCCTGAGGACACGTGCAGGGCTCAGCAGAGCCCAAGGGAAGAGGGGGTTCCCGGATCCCTGCTGGGCATCAGGCCTGCTGGGGTGCCTTGGAAAGACTGCAAGCTGTGGGTCAGATCTGGGCTCAAGTCCAAAATGGGCCACTTCCCTACTTTGGCCTCTCAGGAGACCCCTCAGCTGCTGGCTCCACCTCCTCTCCCCACCAGCGCCCTCGGCTCACCCCGCCCACCAGCTCTCAGTGCAGCCTCACCTCTCAGCCTCTCCCTTCCCACCCACACCCATGAGCAGCCACCAGCTTCTCCTTACCTACCCCCACCACCTCATCCAGGGCCCCGGTCCATTGCCCACCTGGCTGCCCTTATCTTCTTACTATCTTCCACGTGCCGCTCCCTGAGCTGCAGCCAGACCCAGCACTAGAAAAGGCCAGCCTGATCGCGTCACTCTCCTGCCCTCTGGGCGAAATCCAGACCCTTTCATCAGACCTATGCAGCAGCCTCTGCAGTCCACCCTCCACGGCCTCTTCCTTTCTCTGGTTCCCCTAAGATGTCACTTTGCCCTGAGCCTTCTCCCACCCCTGGACTGGTTGGGGTATCCCGGCCCCAGAGGCACCTCAGCTTTCCCCATGAACCCACAGACCATGCAGCAAGGTCTCTATCTCCCCTCGACTGTGCCCCTAGAGGGCAAAAGAGCCTTAACCCCCTCAGCCCATGCTCAACCCCCTATTCCAGGGTTTGAGCCTCAGAGACTCTCCACCAACTTCAGGTGATGGAGGAGGGTGTCATAGAACCAATGGCAACGTACATGGGACCCCTCAGGTACTGCTCTGGTCATCTGCAGGCCCTGCCTCCCGCGGCCATGTTCTGAACCAGCCTTTCCTTCTGTGGGGAGGCTCTTCCCACCAAGCCACCAGCGCTGAGCCTCCATTGCACCACCCCTACTGTGCCTGACGAGGTGGGGCTTGGAGTCCAGCTGGGGTCCCTCCCTCTCACAGTCCACTGCTGAGTCCCAATGCAGAATAAAATAGGGAACTGCCTGACCAAGGGCCCATCGTAGGTCGCCCCTCTGACCCCTTCTCTCAGGTCCAACTCGAGGAGGAGTCGGCCACTCACTCATTCATGCATGCATTCATTCACTTGCCCATTGGTCCCAGGCCAGTCTTACAGGTGCCTGGCCCTCAGTCTCGTAGAGGACCCTGGAACTTTCCCTTTACAGGACTGGTCCCTGTTGTGACCAAGCATTTATTTGTAGATGCACATATTAAATGTCTGTCTCTGCCTAGACTGTAAGGTCCATGAGGACAAGGGTCACATGTGACCTCTTCACCCCATGTCCTGGGACCCAGGCAGAGCCTTGCAGAGAACAGGAATGCAGGAAACATTTTTGAAGGTTGACATGCATGCATGAGTGAATGAATGGCCCTCTAAAGGAGATATGAGCATTACCATTTTATAGAAGGGAATATAGAGGCTCAAAGAGGTCCGGCAGCTGGCCTCCAGCCACAGCACCTGAGCAAAGTGGTGCTGGAATGTGGACCCAGCCTGTCTGACTCCCTGGCACCTAGGCTGGGCCCACACTCTTGGGCCCTTCTCTCTGGCCTGCAGGACAATGTGCTGACTGACCTGGAGATAGAGAGTGAAATCCTGGTGTCTTCAGAAGCCCTTGAAGAGGAGGCCAAGACACATGGAGTCACCCCCGAGTCCTTGGCCCATCCAAGCCGCATGGGGAAGCCAATGATTGAAGACCCAGCTATCGAGGTGGTCAAGAAGATCCTGCAGTGAGTGGTCCTGGGGTGCATGGGGGCACTGCCACCATGGCCCATGCCATGAGCCCTCAGGCACTGGCTTTGGGGTCCCACACACTGGGTTCTAATGTGAGCCCACTCCTGAAAGCCTGTGATCTTGAGCAAGGGACCTCTCCTCTCAGAGTCTCAGTTTCCTCCTCTAAAATGTGTCGTGTCTCATGGTAGGGTGGAGTCACATGGTGTTGTGTGCTAACTGGCGAGGGTGCTTAGGACCTGGCTTGAGCTGTCCCCATGGTCGCTGGGTAAACCTCACATCCTTTCCTTTGGTTTCAGACTTCAGGACTCAAAATTCTCAACTCCCTCATGTGAGAAAATTCGATCACAGACAGGTAGAGGCAAAGAGGACTGTGAATCTCAGGGCACTGGTGGTAGGGAAGCCAATGGTGCTGCCTGGCCCATCCTCACCTCGGGTCCTCTGCTCTTGTTCTGGGCAATTGCCACCCAAAGGCTTGAAGCGACACCGGAATCAAGGAGAACACCCTGTGAAGCCCTTGTGCGGTGGCAATGTCACCTCATCAGGGAGGTAAGGATGCTGGGCTGCCTGGGATCTCCCCTTCCCTGACCCGTACCTTGTCTCCCTAAACGGAGGCCAGAGATCACCCTGTTTCTTTACCAAAGTCCGTCCTCAGAATGTGCTGCTTGTGCTCGCAGCTCTGGGACTCCAAGGGACCCAGTGAGGGCCTGGCTCTGATGCTGGCTTGGGTCATATCTGCACTCATTCTTGCAGAGTGACTCGGCTCACATAGGCCTCCCACTTTGAGAACCTTCTAAAAGCTCAGTGGTTTCCCATGGTGATGGCTGGTGGATCCAAGCCCTCCTACCTTTCGACACGTCATCTTGATCAGAAAGAGGGACCCTGCAGATTGCTTTCCTTGGATGACATCACAGAGCCATAGGAGGAACCTTGGGCCTCTGCATTTCTCCTGGATGCAACCATGTGCTCTGCCCACTGTGCCCCATTGGGGTGATTAGACTCATGGCTCAGGGAGTGTGGTTAACACTCCACATGGATTTTACAGAATGTGGATAACGGAAGCCACATGGCTGAGCCATCTGTCTTGGTCTTCTGTGAGCCTTTGTTGAAGTGGTTTAATTCCTAGGTTTGAGGAAGTGGCAGTGAGGAAACTACTGCTTTGTCTACCTCTTAAGGTCTTTTTAAACAGTCCTGCCATCTGCAATGTGGAAATGAGCAAAGACCAACCAAATGAGAAAAGCAAAGGCTATTTATTCAGAGCTCACTATAGCATGGGAGTCAACCATATCACTTGCATTTTGGCGGAGGATCAAAGGCAGACAGAGGAATAGGAAAGCTTTATAGTGGAGAAAAGGGAGGCCTTTGGGCACACCCAATGGGAGGCTGTTGGCACAGGAAGCAGGAAGAGGGGGCGTGGCAAACCAGCAGCAGGACATCTTTTGTGATTGGTTAGGGGAGCATATTTGGTTTTCTCTTGTTGGTCCTAAGTTGGAAACAGGGACAAAACTTGAGAAAGCTGTCACTTATTAATCAATTCCTGGTCCTTTGGGGGCCAATTATTACAGACATTATTGTTTAGCTTTCTGAATTGTCACTGGGATAACCACCGGTTTCTTGCAAGCCTGACAACAGGCTGGCTTCCCAAGTTGTTTACTGTAATAAGGAGCTGGTTTCTCTGGCAGGCTACTGCAGGTTGCAGGTCAGACTTTTGTATTTATATGTGATCCAGCCATTGTCCATTTGTATATTCGGCCTCTCAGAGGCTGCAAAATGAAATTCATGTTGCTCACACTGCCAGACTAAAATTCAGGATGCACGGTTAAATTTGAATTTTAGATAAATGACACAGAATATTTTTAATGTAAGTATGTCCCAAATACGGCATGACACATACTTACCCTGAAAAAATTACTTGTTGTTCATATGAAATTCAAGTTTAACTGGGCACATTGTATTTTTATTTGAAAATCTGGCCACCCTCCATGTGGCTCTATCTATTTGCCTTTGGGGGCTCACCAGAGGTTAGCAAGGATACAAATTTTTAGGCCCGAGCCCCTCTCCCCCTTCCCCCTTCTGAGTGGCCTTGGGTGGGTTTTAGCGGTAGAGGCTCATCCCCACAGGAAGGTTGTCTCCAGAACTGCTGAGGAGAAGGGAAGCATCTCGAAGGACTCAGACCCAAACAGGGGAATCAGTTTGCCTATAGGCTCAAGTGGGGCTCCCGCAGGCTGGTATACAGCCTGTGTGTGTCCACAGCCCCCAGAGCACTGACCCAGCTTTGTCCTGCAGCAACATACCGTTCGCCAAACCCAGCAAAATCGACAGAAAGTACCAGGTGCTCTGGGACAAGCCACCTCCTCAGGCTGAGTAAGTGACGTCTTTTCCTTTAACTCCATCTCAACCTGTTGCCTCCATCTGGGGGCAGCTAAACCTGATTCAGTTCAGGGGAAAATAAGTAGTAGGCAGAGCCAGAGGGGGTGGCGAAAGGACAGCTAAGGGTCCAGGTCAGTTTGTCTCAACTCATTTCCTCTGAATTTGTTGAGAAATTTTTGCCAAAACTCACATTTTTTCAAACTAAGCAGTTTGTGGAAGCTGGGCAGCATACCCCTTTAAGGGAAGGGTTTTGTTTTCTTTTTTAAATGCTTCTCCCTCCCCCATTCCTCTTTTCCTTTATTTTAATTTCAATGATTAAAACAAAATATTTTCCACTAAACATTTCAAGCTACATTTCAAGCAAACTAGCCAAGCTTCAACTTGAGAAAATCGAAAGCACTCAGAGAAAGTTCAGGTCTACAAACGGTCCTCCTTCCCCCTAATCACAGGTCCCACCATAGCAGCGCCCCCGCCACATCAGACTCAGCTCCACCAGCCCCCTCACCTGGGTCTTGTGAACAAGCAAGGAAAGGTGGCTTTTACATCAGGTGGCCCAGAAGTTGTGTCCTAATCAGCTGCTAGACCTTCCCTTGCCCCACACACCCAAAGACATTCCACTTGGTTAAAACCTTGACTCTCTCTCAGTTTCATATAGTTCTTCCATTTGATCACATGTGTAGATTTATGTAACCATCACCACAATGCAAAACAGAACTGTTCCGTCACCTCCAAGATCTCCCTCCTGCTGCTCCTTATAGCCATATCCACCCCGTCCCTCGCTATCCCTAACCCTGAGCAGCAACTAATCTGTTTTCCCTCTTTATAGTTTTGTCGCTTTGTGAATGTCATATAAATGTTCTCATACAGTATATGATCTTTTCAGAGTAGCTTCTTGCAATCCACATAATGCTCTTGAGATCCATTCAAGTTGTCATGTGTATCAATTGTTTATTCTTTCGTGTGACTGAATGGTATAGATGATATCCACGGTATAGGGGCACCACAGCTCTTTCGTGATTAAAGGAAAAAATCATAGGCTACACGGAAAAAATATAAGTTGAGAATTTATTTAATCTCTGAAAGCAGGAAGACTTCCCTGGCATAACACAATGGTTAATTGCTCAGAAAATAGAATCAGACTGATCGTGTTTTTACCTCTACATTGGGGGCCTTGGCTGAATGACTTCTCCCCAAGCTCAGTCTTCCCCTCTGTGCAATGGGTAGAAGAGACCCCCTCCTCTCAGAGCTGTGGAAAAGAGCCAGAGAGTTCCCAAGTGTCACCCACAGGCCTCCGTTAAGTAATACAGGATTGTCACACTGAAAGGCACTAGAGGAAATCACAATGAAAAAGATGGAAAATTTTGGAAAATGCATTTTTAAATTCCTGTGGGATAAAATGCAATTAATAGTTATCAATAGATAGCCACTAGCCAAGAAACAATGGCAGTAGATAAGGACAACAAAGAAAAAGATGTTTAAAAATTGGAACCCTCTACCCCCCCCACCCCCCGCCCCCAGCAAATTATCAAGGAAACCTTGAGAATTTAGTAGGGTAAGAGAATTTGAAGCGACCGCTCCCAAAGGAGGAAATAAAATTAGGAACAAGCACGTGGACAAGACGGTCACCCTAGAATGCAAAGAAGTGAAAGGGGAACAGGTTCATGCCATATTTCGCCTGAGGTTAACCAATACAGAAAGAGATTTTAGTGGGAGTTCCCAGTTTATCTAGGGAGGTTGGAGATGATCCCTTCCGGGCAATGCAGGTGGGAGGCATTAAAGACAAATTTATTCTGACACTTGTTAAAACAGGAAGGAAGACTTTATCCCAGACTATTGCTTGAGGTGTCAAGACCGCCACAACAGAGAAGAGATAGGCCTCAACTCAGAATATAACAAGGGCAGTTGGGGCCACATAGCCAATGGGCAGACTGAAGGGGGTCAGTGGATGGGAAATTCAAGAGCGTTGGGATTCTTGCTAAACCTATTTAACAAGGTTCTTGCTGATGGCAGGCTGGGGGAGTCAGCTATCCAGGGCAGGGAACTGTCTTTAAACTGACTTAACAGGATTCTTGCTAAAGCAGAAGCCAGCAGTCCCACGACAACGCCCAAGGATGAGGCCGAGTTGAAGGGAGGGCTCGGAAGAGCCGAGCCGGCTTCAACTTTGATCAAGGGGAGAGTCCTCGCCAGTCCCTCTTCTGCTTCAAGGGAAGAAGAGCAGAATGTAAAATACACATGAACCTAATTCCAAACCTATTTTAAATCAGAAAAAGGAAACACAATAACATGTCGGCACTGATTTTTTCCTTCTTGTTTTTTCAGTCTATTTTCGATTTAATTTAATGATGATGAAAGAAATATAAAATGAAAGATTAAGTGACCTATATACATATATTTTAGGAACCAGCCAACAATGGTGTGTTTATGACAGGCACTGTTACATTTTATAGAAATTGTAAACAAATTAAGCATCTTGCAGCTATACATAGTTCTAACATATCTGTCCCTTACTTCACTTTATTGAGATGGTTGATGTAACTGGGCAGGGGTATCCATTGGATCTGTGAAAATTTGTCTAATAAAGCCCTGGTGTGTTCAAAGTCACCTAAAGGCCAGAGGTATTAGAAGGAAAATGTTTGGTCCTGCAAGTAGTCCTGCTCATTTGATGAATATTTATAAGAAATTGTTATTTCTTCTTTCAGTCAATGCTGAGGCAGGGGTAGGTGCAGTCACTGCGCTGGGCCTGGGGATTCCATGGTGAAGAAAAATAGACACACAATTCTAAATCTCCATCTGCTGCAAGAGATGGAGGTTAATCAGCTAGTTGCATAAATCAATCCCAAATCTCTCAGTGGGGAGTGCTGTAGGGTTGAGGGCCACGCTGAAAGCATTGGAATGAGGCCACGGGGAATTGCCACCAAGCTGGGATCTGAGGAAGAGCAGGAACAAGTGTGACCAAGAGGAAATTAGCAGTGTTCTCAGGAGAAGAATCAGTCTGTACAAAGGAGTGAGTAATTACAAGGACCAATGAGGCCAAAAGAAAATACAGACCCTTGGAGGGGCCAAACACAGCTTGTCACACACAAGAAGCATTGAACTTGACAGACAGAAATATTAGGTGGGCACATGCTTGGGCATCACATGAACTGTCCAGCTCCCTTCCTGGCTGGGCTGCTGAGTCCTCGGAATGTTCTGTCCATTTGTTTTTGTCCACATTGGTGTGATTAGACCAGGCCTCTCAGGGATCTGTCTCATGTGTGTTGCAGGGATTTTAAAGGGATCATCCTGACCCTCCTTTGGGAGAGCATCGAGCATCTGATGAACGTCGTGGAGGTGAGAGCTGCAGCCCACAGGCCTCTGCCTCTTTCCTTCTGCAGAGAATGGCCTTGCATGTGAAACTGAGGAGACGGGATTCCAGCCCCCGTGACCGTGGCTACCCAGCTAAACCTCATTCATTCATTTATCCATTTATTCAGCCACCAGGCATTTCTTGGACACTAACTGTATGTTAGCTACTACATGTTCCTGGAGGAACAAGCCCATCTCTGCCCCAGCCAGTGCCCAGCAGGAGGGTGACCGACATGGCAGCATCCTGGGGAGAGAGGTGGGACAATGTGAGCAGGCACCTGAGGAGTCCTCCGACAATCGCTACTCAGTGCCCTGTTCCAGCACATGCCACACAGGGGTGTCTGTGCAGTCTTCTGCTGGTGCCTGTCATAAACACACCATTGTTGGCTGGTTCCTAAAATATATGTATATAGGTCACTACCAGTCTGCTTAAGAATAGGAGCCTCAGATCATTCTTATTAGTGGCCCCCAGCCTGGTAACCAGCTTGGCACTCCATAGTAAGTCCTCAGTCTGGTTATTGAAAGGAGGTTCCATTTTGGTGTTGAAGGATAACTAGAATTTTGCCGCTCACTCACTTGAGCCTTGCATAGCCCTGTGATACCAGCAGTGGAGAAAAGGACAGACAAGCAGGAAGATGTCACCAGGATAGGGGACAGCAGGAGAGAAGGCCAGGAGGTATTGAGGGCACGGTGGAGGATGTCAGGAGCCTAGACCAGGGTCCCATGGTGAGAGTCCTTGCCCGTACACTGTCAACTCTCTATAGCAGGAGTTTAATCGCAAAGAGAAGCGCACCATCACGAGGCCTGATTGCATGTGTGACAACTTTGAACAGTGTGTGGAGAACATCAGCAAGAAGATGCTGGAGTACCAGACACAGATGGATGAGTACCACAACTCCTGCCTCCTAGGTAGGTGCTGGCAGCCTGGTGGGCGGGTCTCAGGTGTGGCACAGAGCCATTGACTGAGCTAGACCTGGGCCTTATGGTCTGGATGTGACTCTTGTGACTCGAAGGTCACCAGGTAAGGCAGAAGAGTGAGCCTCTTGATGAAAAGTCGACATTATTAGAATTGGGAGAAAACCTTGATCATATTTAATTAAGGAAATAACAATGCCCCCACCAAAAGTTCTCTTTTTCTTGAGAAACATGGGGATTTGTATAACTAAAAATGTTTTGTTCATTGCACAGATATTTTTGAAAGCTTTATTGAGATAGTCACATATGTATAGTTTACTCATTTAGAGCGTACAATTCAATGGATTCAGTATATCGACAGAGCTGTGCAACTACCACACCAGCAGGCTTAGAACACCCTGTCCCTCCAGCACTTCCCCAGCCCTGCACAACCACTAATCTACTTTCTGTCTCTGTAAAATTGCCTATTCTGGACTTTCATGTGAATGGAATCATTTAGTATATGGTGTTTTGTGACTGCGTTATTCCATTTTGCATAATTTTTTAACGGTTCATCCGTGTGGCAGCGTATATCAACACTTCATTCTTTTTATTGGCTGACTCATATTCCATCGTCTGCACGAAACCACATTTTGTTTATCCATTCATGGATGACTATTTGGTTATTTCAAGTGTTGTGAAAAATATTGCTAAGAACATTCATGTACACAATTTTGTGTGGACACGTGTTAATTTCTCTGGAGTGTATAAGTAGGAATGGAATTGTGTATCATAGGGTCACGCCTTTTAATCGTTTTAAGAACCCTCCCACAGCACCTACTGCGTGCCTGGCTTGGGCTGGGATGAGGAACGTGACAGACACAGCCTCCTGGAGGATAGGGAAGTGAAAACAGGCTGGTAGAGGACATCTTGCCATCACCTTTATTATTTATGACATTCAAAGGAGTTGTGAAGACATGACCATTGCCCACCTTGGGTCCATTGCTCCATGTTCCTCTTCGCCTTTGTCCACAGCCATGTGTGTTTCATGCTGTGGTACATTCCAATTGTTCCTCTTGTAAGTCAGGGAACCTGCGGGCCCATGGTAGGCCTGCTGTGTTGGTGGAGAGGCAGCAGGGATGGAATAGGGAGAGGATGAGGGGGCAGTCAGACCTGGGGCCAAGACCCAGCGCTGCCATCTCCCAGTTGTATGACCCTAACCAAGTCACCTCACCGCTGTGAGCCTCGGTTTCCTTGTCTGTAAACTGGAGATAAAGACAAAACCCACTAAGCAAGGCTTTTTTGAGGAGGAAACCCCTCACACAGACCTGCCTTGTACAGGATAAACAGTCTGCCACAGCTCTTGTTACTGTGGCTGTGCCATGACTGGAATTGAAACTACAGACAGTATCTTATTTCTTTAGCTCAGTGTTCCCCCCAGTGAACTCTGTGGGATCCCATCCTATATAATCTTCCTCAAAAGAAAGATTCCGTGGTCGACTGGATTTGGGAAATGCTGCAGATTACGTGCCTCTCTGGAAGAGTCACATTTCACATCAAATGGACATTTCCATGTCTTACTGTTTGGGAGTCCAGCAATCTGACCAACTCCCCCAGTGAAAATATGTAAAAATGCTGGATATGATATGTTTGTGAGGAAATCTTTTAAATGCATGGAGCTAACTATAAAGTAAGAAACACACAGGCCCCCAAATTAAATAAAATAGGAATTTAGAGAGAGAAATTGAGCAGTGATTTTTGGCCATTGCCCAAAGGGCTTTGGTGACTGTTTTCATGGCCATCGGGGCATTGGGAACAGGCGGCAAAGCCTCAGAACCGCCAAACTGGGAAGTCTGAAAGGACATAAGCCACAGAAAACTGGGACTCTACCTGGAGAGTGAGGTGACTGACAAAACCCATCCCTCCCACTCCCACAACTAGAAGGAAACTATCTTATTAAAAACCTTGGTACTAGGTAAAGAGGAAGAAAAAAAAAACTCCAATAAGAATCCACAACTATAAGCCAGCCCTTATGTGGTTTGTAAACCTGCAGCCGTACCGAGGTAAACCTGAACTCCACTTTGATTCTGTGGATTGTCCAAAAGACCTCCCATTGATGCTTCATCTTAAAATGATCTTGAGTTAGTTGTGCTGAGATGCTTGTTTAAGTAAAGACACAACAAATCTTCTCTAGTAAAATCCACGTTCAATTCAGGCCTCCAAGGATTCCCAAAAGTAAAGTGCCCAGAGTAAGAAGGTCACAGTAAAAATAAACAAAACACATGCACAAATACAAGTAAAGAGGTAACTTGAGCTTGAGGTATGCCAGTATGAGGCTAGTAAGAGCTTTATATATTGAATATATCAGACACAGAATATAAAACAATGTATTTATTAGAATTAAAAGAGAAAAATGGAAACATGAGTAAGGAGCGATAGACTATTAAAATGACCAAGTAGATATGAATACGAACCAAATAGAACTCCTATATTGGAAAAATAAATAGTTGAAATATAAAAATTATAAATGACTTGCCCTGGCTGGTGTGGCTCAGTTGGTTGGAGCACTGTCCTGCACACCAAAAGGTTGTGGGTTCGATTCCCAGTCAGGGCACATACCTAAGTTGTGGGTTTGGTCTCTGGTCAGGTATATATGGGAGGCAACCAATCGATGTTTCTCTCACATCGATGTTTGTCTGTCTGTCTGTCTCTCTTACCCCTTCCTCTCTCTCTAGAATCAATAAATATATCCTTGGATGAGGATTTAAAAAAAAATATATATATATATGGTTTTTACAACCAGATTATTCACTGGTGGAAGTGAAATCAGTGAACTGCAAGGTAAATCCAAAGAAAATATCCACAATGCAACACAGAAAACCAGATCAAGATTGGGAAGAAAGGTGAAGAGATGAGGAGGACAGAGCAGATCTAACATACACCTATTTAGAGGCACAGAGGGAGAAGGAGACTAGTAGAGAGACTCAAGGCAATATTTGACGAGATAATGGAAGAGACAACTGCTTAAAGGCACGATGTATTTTAAGTGAGCTGAGCCCCGGCCAGGTGGCTCAGTTGGCTGGAACATTGTCCCATACAGCAAAAAAAGGTTGCAGATTTGATTCCTGGTCAGAGCACATGCCTAGGATGCGGGTTTCATCCCCAGTTGGGGCTCCTGCAGGAGGCAACCAGTCAATGTTTCATTCACATTGATGTTCCTCTTTCTCTCTGCCTTCCCCTCTCTCTGAAATCAATAAACGTAGATCTCTGGGTGAGGATTAAGTGAGCTAAAATGTCCTGCAGAGTATAGAAGAGAAGTCCTTTAAACTTGTTTAATTCAATATTTTCTCTAGTAGTTTGACCACACGACCCTTTTGATGAAATAGCTATTAACCACATTGAAGACCAAGTCTTTTTGTTTGGGGGACTGCTTTGGGTCTTTGTTGGAGAGATCGCCTCAGCAATTTGGCTCTGTTCAGTCCTCTCTCCCAACCCCAATGTCCACAGAATTACGAGCCCAGATGAGGAGGTTTGAGGAGCTGCTGCCCCAGGTGTGTTGGCTGGTGATGGAAAATTTCAAGGAGCACAACTGGAAAAGATTTTGCACCTCCGCCAAAGAGATCCGGGAACAGTTCTGGGATTATCATAAACGACTGGAGAAAAAGAAGGTGGGGACCGTAGGACCAGGCCGTCCTCACCAGGACCAGGCGCCCTGGGAGTTCAGAAATGGATGTAGGGCATGGAAAAAACTAAGTCCCAGGGAAGGCAATGGACTAGGCTTGGGATTGTTGGATGGGGACTAAGGGACACAGGCAGTGGAGAAATGAGAGTGGAGCCGACAGCTTCTTCAAAAGAGTCATTCAGTAAAATCCTTGTTGAGTTTAACGGAGGGGGGTCAGCTGGCTTCTGTGTGGCCATCGTCATTGAGATCAACAGTGATTGTCTACCTGGTCCTTGCAGCCATGGGATGTGGATGCTGTTTATTTCCTTGGACCAGAGCCTGCTTGTCCTGGACAGATGCTCAGCTCATTCTCCCCCTACCGTCAGAGTCAGCTCCAGCCGTGCCCCTTTCTTGCCTTCTCCGCCCACCATGGCTCTTCTTTGCCATGGCTCATCACACACCCTGGTCAGGGCACATGGCAGTCTGGCCATTGCCATAATTTGCAGAGAACAAAGGCCAGTGACTTTTGGGTCCTAACGTTAAAACAGTGTGGTCAAAATTCCTGCTGATTTCTGGATTTTTTTTTATTGAAGGATAAAAATGCCCAGAGTCTCCATCCAAATCTTGGACACCCTGCACATTTCCAAGAAATAGAGTCTCTATGTCTAGTGGAAGAGAAAAGGCAGGCAGAGTTGGACAGCACAATTATGGCAACCAGGGAGAAGCTAGAGGTCAGTGGTGCCATCGACTCCCAAGTCCAGGGCTGAGGGTTGCAGTGTCCTCCAGAGAGATTCCCCCAGTTGACAGCCTGCCACTGGCGCTGAGCATGGCTTTTTGCTGGCACTATGGCCAAATCGGGGGATGAAAGTGGGCAGGTTTTATAGATAGAGATGGCTATTGTTGGCTGTTGTAATTTGCATTTTCTGATTTCTAAATTAATTACAAAATGACTGATGAGAATTTTTTTTCAAGATCCATGTCTAGTTGTATTTCTTCTTTTGTAAGTTGTCCCTTGGCCATTTCTGAATCATTTTCTGTCTTCAAGCCAAGTCGCATATTGGGAGAGGCCTCCTGGCCGAGGACCAGGTGCCAGCTAACTTGGATACAGCTGACCCATGGCTTTGGCCTTGTGCTACATGCCAGCTCCCCAGGCCCTCTCTCGCCTGCTTTCAGAGGCGAGCTCCTCTGCCACCAGCACCGTGCTCCCCATGTTTCCTCCAGGAATGTGCCAGGAAGCACGGCCGGTTATTCATAGCCAGCTTGGCCACCTTCACCGAGAAGTTCCTGCTGCAGCTGGATGAAGTGGTCACCATCGATGATGTCCAGGTTGCAAGTAAGGTGGTCACTGCCGCCTTGTGTCCTGGCTCCCGGGGGTCGGTGAGGTGTAGGTGGATGGGCCTGAGTGGGGTCTGCTTCCCCCCGATTCCACCAGAATGAAAACAGACTCTCCACTGAAGGGACTGATATGTTTTTGTTTGTTTTCATTAAAAGTCACTGTTTTCAATTAAAAAAGCACATCCCAAATAGGTCAAAGGTTATGTGTTAAAAATAAATATCTTTATCATTTTGGGGCAGGGACAGTTTTCCTAAGTATGACAGCCAGAAACTGTAACGGAAATGGCTGGCACTTCTCTGTGGTCAAAACAGAAACAAGAAAAATGTCAAAAGATGGAAAAACAAACCACAAACTGGAAAAATATTCCTAATACCCTTAAGGTCAGAGAAAGGCCTAATATCCTTGTGGTACAAAAAACACCACCAGGTCAAACTGTAAAAAGAGACAAAGGAAAAACACATGAGTTCAAAAGAGAAGTAATTCATACGGCCAGTAAATGTAAAAGGTGCTTGACTTGACTGGTGAGGAAAAATTCAAATATAAACATTATCAAAATAATTATCATTATCAGTTTTCCCCAACAGCCTCGCAAGGCTTTTAAGTTTGGCGGCAGCTAGCCCTGGCGAGAACGCGGGGAAGCCCAGGGGCGGCTGAGGCCCCAGGGGAAGGGTGGCATTGATGGCGCTCCCCGGCAGAGCCCTCGGCGGCGCCTGTCAGAATTCTCAATGTGCACACGTTTGACCTCACAGTTGTTACCTCAGGAATTTATCCAGCAGAAGTAGTTGCCCACTTTTTCAAGGATATATTTTAAAACATATTCACCACAGCCTTAAAATTGCACAGAACTGGAAACAATCCTAATATCCAGGTACAGGGGAATGGATGAATAAATTATGGCTGAAATGTGCAGTGAACACAGTTCAGCTATTAAAGTGGGTTTAGTAGGTCTACGTGTGCTAATGTGGAAAGGCAGGAAGGAACACGGTTATGTAAAAGCATAAGACGACAGTACTTGTCCATGATACCGTGAAAAAACCACAACATAATAGAAACACACACATTCACATATATGTGAATGAATCTGTGTGAGGGAGACAGAGAGAGACATAGAGGACGAGAGGCAGGCCTGAGGGACAGGCGCCAGACTGTTGACAACGATCGCCTCTGATGGCTGGGACTATGAGAGACTTACAAAATCTTTTCTCTTTCCAGGTTGGATGGTGATTAAAGTTTTTATAATGTGCATATTACCTTTATAGCTCTAGAAAGACTCAAATCATGTCTTCAAAGTTACCCATTTATCACTAACCTATAAAGTAATTAAAATATATTATATTTACTCAAATTTTTTATTACAAAGAGAGTTTTATTATAGTAAAATAAGAAATTCAATATGAATTATAAGGAAAGTTAAGACGATAGCCTGCATATCTGGTGCATTCAGTCAGCGTTTCTGTGGGAGGGGGCTCTGCCTCCCACGGGAGACACCAAGTGGGGATGGAGGGAGTGAGCCCTCGCTTCCCTGAATGTAAGGTCAGGAGGTGGGCCCCTGGGTCGCAGGCTGTGGGTGAGGCCCAGTCAGTGACCTGTTTCTTGCCTGCCAGGGATGGAGCCCCCCAAACAGAAAACATCAATCCTCATACGGAAGAAACTTGCCCAGCTCTCCCTGGAGGAAGAGAGCGAGAAGCCCCTGATTGAACGGGGTAGCAGGTGAGAGCCAAGAACAGGAGGGATACTGGGAATGGCTGTATTTGCTGGGGGCGGTGCAGTGGAAAAAACAGACTGGGACCCTGGGAAAGGCATTCTATCCTGTGCCTTGGTTTCCTCATCTGGAAATAGGCATGGCGGCCCCCCTTATGTGGTATCATGAAGAGAACGTTAAATGAGGTTGGAGTGACCCCGGCACCTGCTGAGAACTCAGCGGCTGTCAGGACCTGCAGAGGGGCCACACAGAGAAAAGGAGGCCTGTCCTTGTGTGAGGCACTTTTTTGGGTTGCTGGTGACACTGTGAATGTGTGGTGAGAGCTAGCAAAGTGCTTGTCCCTGTGTCCCAAGAATGTGAGTCTGGAAGAAGTAAGGCAGTTATTTGCCCAGCTATGTTCTTAGCAGTGGCTCTTACAGCTCAGTAGAAACAAGGACCAGGAACCAGCGACTTCCACCTGGCTGGCCGACTGATGAGGAAACTAAGGCCCGGAATTAGGGAACAATGAGAGGCATGGCATTCCCCTTCCCCGCACAGAACCCAAGACTGGCTATTCACATGGATTTAAACAGTAGGAAAGTACAAAAAAAGAACTTGAAGAAGCTTAACATTAAATGCTCAGAAGGTTTTTTCTTTTAATTAAAACATTTAAAGGAACGCTAACCTTTCCCACCAGGGTTAGTGGGTGCACTGAGAATGGGGAAGCCAAAGCCTGTGGGGCTTTGACATGCATGTTTGTCTGTAGGAAGTGGCCTGGAATCAAACCCACTGAATTCACCATCCAAAACAAGATTCTTCTCCGGAAGACGCCATCAATCACCACCGCCAAGACAACCTTGGGCCACCTGGCATCCGTGGAAGCCCGAGATGCTGTCTACCGGGTGAGTGGAGGGGCGGGTTGGCATAGGCACACTGGAGGGAGCGCAAGGAAGTCCAGCTTGGCTGGCTGGGGAGGGAGAGAGCTTCCCATCACAGGTGCCGAACATCTGACCATGGAGCAGATGACACACATCAGGGTGCCCCAGAGCACAGTGTCAACACTCAGGACAGTTGATGTTCCCATATACAAGGACGTGAGCTGCTGGTAATGGCCAGTTCCCGTGATAGCGTGGGTCTGATGGCGTGAGCCCCAGTGCTGCTGCGGGTGCCCAGCAGAGGGACATTCCACACAGACTTAGGGTCGGGGGTGTGGAAAGGAAGGTTTTCCAGAGGAACAGTTGAGTCAGAGCAAGGGGACAGAGTTAGTCAGAGGCATGGAGGCCCTGGGAGCAGTGGGTGGAACAGTTGACAGTTTCTGCTTTCAACAAGAGCGTCTCATTGAATCCTTGTGACAACCCCACAAGGAAGGTAGGGTTGTTCCCCTGTTACTGATGAAGACACTGAGACTTAAAGCAAGTGCCTCCCATATGCCACTGTGAAGTGGCAGAGGTAGGGCTAGAACCCAAGTGCCTGTTAGACACCGATGGGGCTGCCTGAGGGAGAGGCTACACCCAGCTGCCGCCTGTGAGACCTGTCAGCTCTAAAGATGTGTGGACCTTTGGTCCAGGGGCCCAGAGAGAAACCTTTTTCTGCCTGGAGGTAGGCTGACCCTGGTATTGGTAAGACTCAGTCAGAGCCTCAGTTTCCCCACCTATAAAATGAGGAAAACAATCAGACCTGCCTGATTGGTTGTTGGGCAAATACATAAGAAATGACTTGTGAGTTCTTGCCAGTACCCGGGGGGCGGGGGCAGTTTAAAAGCTACCTGCCATCAGTTTATAGTGTTCCTCTAGTGCACAGAACTCAGAAGTCCCTGCCCACACAGCCTCCTCCTGCTGCCTTGCTCCTAGAAATATTTAGCATTATTTGAAGAGGAATTGAAGAAGATCCAGGATGACAACACAGCACAGATGAAGGAGGCTCAGCGCTGGAAGGACAGCTGGAAGAGCTCTGTGCATACCATCCAGGGCCTGTACTTGTGACACCCCCTCAGCTCACCCCAAATAAAGGCTCCTTTTGCATTGGCTTCTTTTTGATCTCTCCATCTGCCTGTCCATCCATCCATCCATCCATCCACCCATCCATCCCTGCTCTGTGCCAAGCACTGTAGCATCGTGACCAGGCACATCATGTGGACATCACTTCCAACGAGGAAGACTGAAGTGAAAGGCGGAGTTCCATGTGGCTAGCAGGGATGCTGGTTAACAGGGGTAGGTCACGTAAAGCAGGAGTACTTCAAAGGAAATAACTTCTAAAAGTCATGCCTGGTGCTTCCTCTTGGAAAATGAAATAATTAAATCTCCTGGAAAAGGGTATATTTTATATTTAACAAAATGTGGGTTATAATTGCAACCATGCACTGATTCCTAGAACCAACAAAGAATCAATCCGGTGCCAATTGGGTATTTGCCTGGCAACTTGCCTGACCAAATGACAGCATTTTGGAAAAAAATCTTCTAGGCTTCCTTAAGTTTCCCAAGGGCCTCTTTAATCCCATGAGGCTCAGATCATTCTCTCTGGAAACCTCCATCCTGCTCTCTTCCTTGTCAATGTTCTCTTCTTCGATTGCTAAGTGGCCCAACCATGTCAGGTCTCAATTGTCAGTTACTTTCTATGTCACTTGGACAGGCTGCTCACATCCCTTCCTCAACTTCATACTCCTGTTCCTGTTTCTGCATCTGTCTACATTTTCACATGCTTTCTCTCTTTTAATGACTCATGAGGTAGGCTCCAATACATCTCAATACCTAATGTGGTTTCTTTCCACTGCCTTTACCTGTCCTCACCTCACCATCTACTGCAGCATAAATTTTGTACCAGCTGGTTGATAATTATTACAGGATCAGTAATATTATAGTTGGTTGCTTTGTTTAAAGTATTAGTTACCCCACCTCCATGCCCTACCCCACAACTGGGTCCTTAACCAGCTGCCAACCCAATATCTGCATCCTCGGAATCATCCAAATATCTGGGCCTTGTTCAAGGTTGAGCTGCGTAAATGACCCACAGCTTGGGAGGGGACAGAGGGGTCTCTTAGACATCCAAGACCCTCCCCTGTTGCTTCTAAGACCTCCCTCTATACAATACCGCTTTAAGCTTTCATTATCCCCTGTTCTCCAGGGTTCTTCGGCCTTGAGGCCTCTACAGCTTTAGGGATCAATCTTTCCTGGGGATTAGCCCCTTTCAGCTGACTCACCTTGGAGGCTTTTGTGGGCAGATTAGGGAGTTTTGCTTGATCAGCACATCCCTCACTGTATCACGGCCTGGATTTGAGCAGGGCTCTGACAATCCTTCCCTTTTGTTTTTGTTTTGTTTTGTTTTTCTCCTTACTCAGATAAAACAAATGCAATTGTCTAGAAATTTCTCTGCATTTGTTTGTGAGGCAATAGCTGATAGGAGAGGAAGTGATCATGGTGTTAATGATTAACCAAAAGTAGACCTGTCCAAAGATCTCTTTTGTCATGGATCTGGTTTTCCTGACCTTACGTAAGCAACAAGGTCCAGCGAGGCTGGGTTTTATCTGTATACACAACTTAGAATGTGTTGTTTAGGTTCAAAAAGGAGCTAAAATTATTGTTACTAAAATTATTTGTGATTAAATAACTCAGAAGGGAAAAAGATGAATAAAATCTAAACTTTTTTCAAGTTGTTCACAAGGGAGGTGAGACATGGACTCACTTCCTACAGTCTCCTCCACTGTAAACATGTTTGAGGAACAATTCAGGTGCTCTAGGAGCTCAGCTAAAGAGGAATCACTTTTGCGTGGGGGCTTCAGAGAGAATTTTCCAGGAGAGGAATTACTCAAGACACTGAATAATGCTACAACCAAGTCCCTGAGGCTCATCTGGTAGTACATGGGGTAATAGAAATGAGAGTTTGCATTTTCTTTTTGAAGACAATATACAGAAGAAACAGATAAGTTCAGATGGGAAGTGAGCTGTGGGTAACCAGAGGTTTCTAAAATTGCCTCTATATATTTTGGAGAGTGAGAGGGATGTTAGTAACGCTGCCCTTGGTGGCTGTAAAGTCTGAGAGGCTCTGAAAGGGAGGATGAGTCTTTCTCTTGAGCTGTATTGCAAACCCCTAAAAAAACAAAAACAAAAAAAAATCCACCAGGGAGATAAAAACAAAGGGAGAGACAGATAGGTCCTTGAACATGGTTGTTGTCTTCCTTTCATTTTAAATTGTGCTGGCTGAACTGAGACAAGGGAGGAAGGGTCAGAAATTCAACTCAACCTATATAGCTTTGGTCCTGTCTGCCTTGTAGAGGCGTTTTGGTGGTTTGTGTCCAATGTGGCTCTCTCCAAAGGAGCAGACTCCCCAGTTAGGGCCAAAAATGCATGAAGAGCTTTCGATGGAGGTTTTACACTTTTAATAGTCCCACCTTTCTCAGCCCAGGATAAGCTGGTAACAAATTCATCTTGCTTCCTTACACCTGGGCCTTGATATGCACTTCAAGAGAGGTTATCCTAGAAAGGGGAGTGGAAGACCTTCTCTGAAATCATATGCTCGATTTTGCATCTAAGTGTTACTTGCACATATTCTGACCTTCTTCCTTGCCAAAAGGTAAGAACCATTGTGTTTAAGGAGTAATCAGTTTGTATCATCTCCAATGTCCCTGAATTCCCCTGAAATCCAATTATATTCAGGGCATGGGGGTTAATTCTTGAACTCCTTGGGTCTTGGGCCATTCCCAAAGAAAATAAACACCACTTCCTAATCTGTCCTATGTCAGCTACCCAGGGACTTTTGAGGACCATCTAGTATGTCTTAGTTAAAAATCTATCTAGAATGGACACTTAGCCCGAGAACATGAAAAGATACTCAATATCATTAGTCAAGGGACAATACAAATTCAATATGATATTTCTATATACCTACTGGAATGGCTAAAATTAAGAATACTGACAATAGTAAGTACTAGAGAGGATCTGGAACAACAGGAACTCTCATACACTCCTGGAGGTTAAGTAGGAGGGGAGTCCAAAATGGAGCGGCCACTTTAGAAAACAGTTTGACAGTTTTTACAAAGTTAGACATGCTCTTGCCCTACAACCAGCAATTATACTCCCAAGTCTTTTTGCAAGGAAAACATAGGACCACACAAAAGTCTGCATGTTGCATGTTTATAGCTACTTTATTCATAGTAGTCCCAAGCTGGAAACAGCGCAAATGTGTATCAAATGTGAACAGGTGAACAAGCTGATATATCCATGCATGCAACAGCATACTATTCAGCAATAAAAAGGAAGAGGCCTCTGGTATAGGTGACAACATGGGTGACTCTCAAAAGCATTGTATGAAGGAATCCAGACACGGAAGATTACATATTGTATCATTCCACTTATATGATATTCTAGAAAAGCCAAAGCTATAGTGACAAATCAGACCCAAGACTGTGAGGGGCTGGATGTTGGGGGGATGAAATGAAGTGTAAAGGGTCACAACTTTTGGAATGATCAACTAGTTCTGTATCTTGATTGTGGCAGTGGACACATGATTGAATACATTTGTCAAAATTCATCAAACTGTACATTTAAATTTTTATTACATGCACTTATTGATAAAGCTGATTTAAAAAAAAATAGCTGCAGACCATCTTTTTTCTTAATCTATAGGACAGCCCAAACTTGGAACCCCTTTGCAAGGATAAAGAATCTTAGACATGGGGTCAACTCACTTGGTTTTATCACTTACAGTATTTTACATACTGGACTCTGGAGTTTTTCTTAATTTCCTACTCCAACTGACATTCTTTCAACTGGGTGCAGCTTTTTATATCTTTCCCATCTTAAATATGGAGCCAGAGGATGTTGTGAGCACTGCAGAGTCCAAATTGGCTCTGGTTGTATTTTAGGTCTATTAAATCCACCGCAGTGTTTGGAGCAGACTGGAGGGGAGAGTAGGTAGAGAGAGCTCTGAAATAGACTCAAATACAGCAACAGACAGAGCGAAGTGTCAGGGAGAGTCCCCCGGAAGACTTAGGAACGAGATGTAAGAGTATAAAAGAGAACAGTGTTCAAAGAAGACTGAACAGTTCCCCACTGCCTTTGGGAAACGGCCCAAATTCTTGAGCATGGGCTCTCATGCTCTACTTTCAATCTACTCTTTCATTGTCCACCAGATCTTTTCACGTAATGAAAGGCTCATCAAGCACAGGTTTGTGCCTTAACATAGTAGGCACTCCGTGAAAGTTATTTAACAATAGGTGTTCCATATATACTGTTTGTCCTTTCACTTTCTGATGGACATTTGTGTGTTTCCATTTTTGGCTGGTAGGAAAAATGCTGCTATGAATATTCTCATCCAAGTCTTTAGGTGGACATATGTTTTCATTTTTCTTGGGTAAACTCTGGGAATAGAATTGCTGGGTCATATGTTGGTTTATGGACCATAAGCCAATATGCCCAGTAAATGTTGGTAGAATGTATGTGCAGGAGAAATAAGTGAATAAATATTAGGTGTTCAATAATTTTAGAATGAATGAATGAATGGATTTGACAGATATTTGTATCACCCTTATCATGTGCCAGACACTGGAAACAGACTAGGGAACAAGACAAAGCTCCCTGTGCTTACAGATCTTTAACTTCAGGAGGAGTACAGACATGAAAAGATTTAGAAGGCATTTACTGTGCTAAGGAAAGAGAAAGCAGAGAAAGGAGACAGGGAATAAGAGGGAAGGAGATTAACATTTTTGAGAGTGTGGCCACCCTCCTTGAAAGGGTGGTGCTTGAAAAACACCTAAAGGAAGTGAGCAGACCAGGTGGCTGTCTAGCAGAATAAAAATTAAATGAGCAAGAGTTGAATGAAACTTCTGATGGAAGAATAAACACAACAGGAGGAGCGCGTCAGTGCTGGCGAGATCAGCTACGTCCCGGGCCCTCCCGGCCCGCCTGCACTCGCTTCGCCCATGAGGAGGCGCTCCCGAGCTCATCCTGCAATCGTCTTTGCCCTCGGTCCGTGCGTGGGCACGCGCAGA